AGTCAACTTTATCGTTTCCCAACAGATGATTATCATGATTAAAATGAAAAATAAGTAAAAAGAATTTTTTTCTCGCAATATCGAATCATTTTTATTTGATATCTAATTATTTTTTCCTAGAATCTTGTAATTGATCATTTTATTGACATCAAATATCTGCATTGAAAATGTTTCATTTTTAATCATAATTTATTTATAATAATTTCTGTGAATTTTTCATTATGCTTTTTCAAAAAATCTTGTACGTAGAACTCATTAAAAGAATCTTTACGGGTCATAGAGTTTCATGTTTGAAGTGAAACTGACGAATTAATTACCCTTGCAAGTTATAACATTTATTTGATTCTATTAATTAGTTTGTTAATCAACATGTTTACAACTTGTCATAGCCGAACACCATTGAACGATTGGCATTCTATTCCATGAAATCAAAATTAATTGATGGAGGAAATCCCAGCAACAAAATGTTTATCAAAAGTCGTCATAATGAAATTTTGAATTAAAAGTAAACTTTGTTTTATCTTTGCCAAAATAATGTTTTCAGTGAATTAAAACTTGGGAGGATTTCAGTTGGAAACAAAGTAACAGAGTGAATTTTAGAAACAATTGAATTGAAAGATGAACAATAATTTTCCATATCACTTCAACACTCTTTCAAACACTTAGCACTTGTTAATATGTAACTGGTGTTCAAAATGATTTCAATTCTTTCAATATGCTTCCCATGCGATCATTGATCAACATAATGTACGAATCTGCTATCAGTTACGTCGTTTTAAAAATGGCTTGAGGATTCACAATTGAAAGAAAATTCTCATTTCTTTCTACACTCATGCACATAAAAATAATCCTCTCACGATTGCCTTGAGCAGCTGCGATAAATAGTTCATATTTCTCTCTTTAATAATGTTTGATTATCTCCCTCAAATACCTTTCAAATATATTTAGTCCAATGAACGATTTTCATTTCAATCTTCAAAGCTTTTACACTCTTTAGAGATCATCAAAGTTTAATCTCATCTTATGAGGTTGCATTTAAAGCTGAATTGAACTAATAAATCAAGTTATATGAACATAAATATGAAAATTTATGAGAATCTATGGAAAGCTTTCATCATGTTAATAAATTCAATTGAAAATCGAGCAAAGCGAATTTTTTCTGTTAAATGACCTTATGAAAGACTGAAAGGTTTCAAGAATTCATTTTATCATTCACGATTTCAAAGAGAGAGCCAATTAAAAAATGATAAAAAATATTTATCAAGTCAAAGCAAATTGCAAAGTCACTAAAAATGTGTGAATTGTTGACCAAGTTTAGTTACTAAGAATGAAGAAAAAATTTAAACACAAACCCGGAAATATAAATTACGCAGCTTAACTCTCTTGAAATCCATTCCACTTCAGAATATTGAAAGCTTAACAATTGAAATAGCTCTTTAATTATTTTCAATGATTCCATTAATAATTTCCGGATATTTAAAGTTAGCCGATAGGGAATTTCAATAAATCATCATTTGGTTTAATTTCTACGATTATCGACGTAAAACAAAAGATTCGAACGAATTACTGCATTTTTTGTCAGGGAAAATCATATTTCACTTTTATCGGATTATTTGTTTCATATTTATGCTGAGTAAATAAATTTATTTAAAGCAGAAAAGCTTTCAAAATTCTTTTCAGGAAAATTTATTCTATTAAACTTTCACGAGCTTTCTCACTCGTCACGTAGAGCTTTAAAGACGTCAATTTACGTTGTTTCCCTAACGTTTTTCAAACTGCACAAGTTGATGTTTATGTTGAGACCAAAAGTAAACAAAAGCAAGCAACACAAACTGATCACATCGTGAAATAAATAAAACAAGCGGCATTTCACTTCGTTACCTTTTCTCTCCTCAACTCTTCTCCACTTTCTCAATGCTGCTAGTCAGTAAGATAGGAAAAGAACAACAAATTCTCTTTGCGTGCTGAAGAAATACAAGAAAGAAAAAATAAAGCAGCAAAGTTATTTGTTATTCTCTCGAGTGCGTTATTCCATGACGAGAATTCAAAGAAGCAACAAGTCTATGTTGAGGGAATCAGTTGAACAAATGTGTTCTTGAAATCAGTTGAATATCAAGCAGTTGATGTGACGGTTTTTGTGAATAGTGACGTCTAATCATGTCGTTGTGATAAGTGATTAACATTCTAATTTAATTTCGTCTGACAGTGAAGTGAACTCTTTAACTGCGTTCTTAGACGAGTTTAAAATTTATAATTATGTTCCCAATACCGTTACTTTTCAATTTTGCTTCAACAAAAGAGTAAAAGCTCAACATTAAACGCCGATACACGTTGCGACGTTAAAGAAGGAAATAAATGAAACATCATTCAATATCTTCAATAAGAAAATGGACACACAAGTGCTTAAAATAAGTTTGTGAAATTATATGTGTTAATAATCAAAACCGTTATCTCTAATTTATTAACATTAAAAATAAATTTACATTTTTCAACGAAAGCTTAAAAAATAAATTAATCGTGTGAAAACAAAACAGCCGAAATGTGGACCTTTAAAAAAAGATTATTACTTGAGTGTGTCTTATGTTTTTATTTATCGGTTCAATTTTGCGGTGCCATGCCACAACGTAAAGATCGAGTAGATGCTGTGAAGAATTCAGGTAATATGAGATGTAGCGATTATCAAGATTAAACGTTTCTTCAAGATGTGTGCCAAGACTGTGAGAATCTTTGCGGCATAACGAAGACTTTAAAGTTAATAGTTTTATTGACTCTTCTCATTTGCAAAAACTGGTAAACTTTTCTTATTTTCCATAATGGAAGATATTGCATGTGTTGAAGAATGTAAGACATTCGTATTAAGCTATTTATCATAAGAGAACTTAATCATTCAAGTGTAACGAATGTTTTTTCATAACGAAATAAAAATCTGAATATGTTTACAGCAACAAAAAACATCTTCAACTTAAAGAATTTATTTTTTTTTTACTTGTTTTCTAACAAGGCGTGATCCATCGTCGTTGACACAGTTAGAAATGCTTGCGGTCAGAAAATTACCATTTCAATTAGTTGCGAAATAATTCTGAGAACATTCTAAATTTGAAAATTGTAAATGACTTTTTAAAAATAGTTTTTCATTGTCATGTCATAACTTTTAAATAATTCCCACAGCACAGATAAAAAAGCACTCGCAAAAAATGATATTAATTAACATTTACTTTGTTCTTCTAATATCTGAATAACGCTTTGACGTGTTTGTTCCATTTTCATCCATTATTTCGTTGAATTAGCGCCAGGCTGTTTCCACAACAACACAATGTTCGCTGATACTTCCATAATCCCATCAACTGAGCCATGTCTCCGTTGTAAATGTTCCAACAAAAACCTGGTTTGTGTTCGGCGTGTATGCAAAGATCAGGTAATAAATATTTTTAACATGGAACAAGAACAAGAACATCTTATGTGATTGCACATGAATAAAAAGCATAAGTCGAAGCAGATATGTAATTTATGTATATAAATAATTTTTTTCTTTTTTATGATGCACAACAGCCTTATCCACCGCCTCGGTCATGTATCCTCGTTTACAAGAAATCAATGTGTTGTCCATATCTCTCTTGCTCCAAGTATCATATCAACTTTTATAAAAACAGTGAGAGAAACAGCGAGCATCTTAATCGTCTTCAAGTGAGCCATGAGAAGACTTTAGAGAAGAGTTCAAGAACAGATGACATTGATGAAGAGACGAATGGTGGTAAGTAGGAATATCGAGAAGAATAAACGAAGAAAGAAGGAATGAAAGAAAAAAGCAAAGAAAGAAAGAATGTAAACATAAACAATCTTTTCTTTCTTTTAGGTTGCATTGAAAGTGGAAGTTTATACGCATCAGGTGGGTAGAGAACGTTACATAATTTGTTTCATTGAATTGAATTAATTTTTTATTCTTCATCTTCATCTTCTTTAATGATATGAAAGGTTCTGCTATGGTTCGATCATCATCATCACTTTGTTCGTACTGTTATTGTATTAACGGTAAGTTTCTTATCTAATAAATTTCTTCTTTAGAAATATTTTCTATAATGAAAATCAATTGTTAGGCCAACAAAAGTGCATTAAACCGAAATGTGAACTTCAAAATACAAAGTGTAAAGTATGTTAAGCTTCAAAGAGATATTTTGTAAGTTTAATCGCATTAAAATTCACGTAAATTAATTTCAACAGCCAATATTCATGGACGCATCTTGTTGCCCCGTTAAGTACGACTGTTCATCGAATGCAACATCGTCTGCAACAGCTCATGAGAATAAAATTGAAAGCCACAAAAATGTTTTTGCAAAGAGGAAGAACCGAAGCAACGGTAAAGTACTTAATGGTAATTAAAATCACTTATGTTATCGATTTATTCAACAGGATGTTTTCAAAGCGGAAAATACTATCAAGAAGGAGAGAAGCTTCCATTAGATCAAAAGCGTCCGTGTGAAATGTGCTATTGCATTAAAGGTTTTCGCAAATGTGTAGTTAAAAAGTGCGCGCCTTTGATTAGAGGTTGCATCCCTAAAATACCAAAGGAAGGCAATTGTTGTCCAACAAGTTACGATTGCAGCAGATCATTAAAGTTGACGAGACAAGTACGACAAAATGTTGAAGAAGATGATTCCGATTCCATTGACTTTTTCTCACTTTTATTTGGTGCTGACGAGCCAGTGGAAGAAGAAGAATCAACAGTTAAAGTAAATGTAATCGAAACAACAACATTGCAACCATTCAAAATGTTATCAACGACAGAGAAAAGCTTTTTTGATTTAATTCGTGCGGGTTTGGAAATTATTGATGCAAATGCTGACAATATTGACTCGTCACTCAATAATGTTGTGTCAACACCGAAAATAATTCCATTAAATGGCAGTACAGACGAGACGGATATCGTAAACATTAAAAATTCACAAACTCCAACAGAAAAACAATTTATTGAGTCAACGACAATCAAAACGCAACCGACCCGAAAAACAGAATCCACGACTACCACAAAGAAATTACCTGAAAAAGTTTCAACTTCATCCATTGAAGCAACAACATCAAAATCTTCTTCGACAGTTGAGACAGCAAGTAAAACGAAAGACGAAATTTCCACCTCACCACAACCAGGTTTGAAAAGCTTTCATAACTTTTTTCTTTGTCTTATCAAATTCTCTTTTTCGGAATTCATTCAGATAAAATAACAAAGCCAAAAGTATCATTGTCAACATCAAAAATAGCGACAACGACAACCGCAACTACGACTACAAGTAAATTGAGAACAACCTTGAAGCCTATAACGACAGTGACAATGACAATGAAAACGACGCGAGAAAGGCTTCAAGAGACAACACCAAAAATTTTAATTCAGACAACTAGCGGCACATCATCATCAACAACAACGAGAATAAAACCAACAAAGTTTACGACTTCGAGACCACCAACAACAACAACAACAGCAACAGAAAAACCAGCATCAACAACAAGAAGAACCGAAGCAACTACAATGAAAAGTCATCAGATCCTTGAGGCTATTTACGGTGCCGGAATTCTGCCTGTCTCGAAATTCAACGAAAATGAAGAAAATGAAGCCGAAACATTGCCAAATATTGAAATTATTCCATTTGTAGCCCACGACGCCATTGATACTGAGAATTATGAGCCGTACCTTAAACCATACGACAATCTTGAAAAGGATTATTTCGCAACTGATAAAGCAAAGCCATTCCGCTATAACAACAAATTTATTCATCACTCTTATGATGATTCAGCCGATTATGCTTACACAAACCCACATGAGAGAATCGATAATAGCCCGTATTATTTCGATACTAACGACAATCAATTCGATGCCTTTTCTCCGCCCAGTGAACAGGATTTTTTGGGTAAGACGACGACATCGTCGACTGATCTACTTAGCTATGAATGAATGGTTTTCGAATTGGCCCAATTTCATTTCGCATGTCGCTTCTTATATTTTTAGGAGGCTTCAGCCCTAAGGAGAGCATTTATGATGAAGTGCCGACTATTGCCAGCCATGAATTGCCACTCAAAAATAATGAATTCTCACAATTGCCTCTTCATGGTAAAGAACATTCTCGTTGATACTTCTCCATCAACACTGAATGGAATTGTATAAATCTCGATCTTATTCATTCTTTTCTTCTCTTTTTTGATTCTTTTCTTGCCCTCGAAAGCAGTTCCAACAATTCACGAACATAAATCAAACGTGACTTCGACAGAGAACACTTTAACTTTCCCCATAAATCAAACGTCTCATAAGTCGTCAGATGATGCTAAACAGCATGATATGATACCGAATTTCAAGAAAATTTCTTCGAACTTCACGAGCTTCATTGATGATTTGCTGCAGGGAAATGTTTTAGAGGAGACGTCGACGAAAGTTCCGACGACACCAACAACAATAGCACCAACATCGGAATCAACAAAAATGACGACGTCTGCATCAACATCAACAAGTAAAGCAGTGGAATCGATAATAAATGATGATGACTTCATAATAAAACATTTCAAAGCTCCCGTTGTTCCAGTGAAAGCAGCCCAAAGCCCGTCACGTCATGAAATCTTTTCGAAACCCACGTCGCCAACAATGAATGGTTTACTTAAACTTGCCGGTTGTAATATTTACGGGCAAATGTACGCTGTTGGTCAGATTATAGCGGAATTATCAAGTGAATGCCTTGAATGTAAATGTCTTCCTGACATCGGGGTCGGTTGTTCACCGAAATGTTAATAATTAATTAAGTTTCATCGATTTTTACTTACTTTTTAGAAGCTTTTTAATCAAAAAGAAAAATAAGAAAAGTTTTGAAAGTTTGTCGGGAAGTTTAAAAGTTTCGTGATAGTGAAAGAAATGAAACGTTTTGATTATGTTTATAATTTAATTGTGCGACGTTACGCAACTTTTCTGATTCCTTTTTTTTTCTTTTTGATTTATTGCGAGAAAGTTGAATCACAAACAAAGCATTTAATAAATTTTTAGTGTCGAGGGAAAAACTTTTTCTCTTCCGTTTTCATTTTTCTTTTATATGAAAGCAGATTTTCAGTGAAAGCATAAATAGAATCGAAAACTTATTTGATTTTCAATTCGTTCGTTGAAGCTAGAATGAATGGTTGAAATGTAATAAAAGTGAGTAGGTGGTTGGAAAGGAAAATATTTTGATCAATATTATTGAATGGAAAAGATCTTTAAATGCTGCAAAACATTGAAAATCTGAAAGCTTTTCAGTCGCAGTAGAAACTTTAAAAGGTGAGAACGACAACGTTAAGCAACAGAACAAAAACTTTAATTTCCTTATTGTGTTGGTCGTCCGTCGTCAACAAGCTCGTCAAGCTATGGAGAAAAATGAGGAAAAATGAAAAAGTCGTTGCATCATTTCCTGCAAATGCATCGAACGCCAAACGACACGATTTCAGTGACATTTCGTGACATGAGAAAGCTTTGAGAGTAAATTGTGTTGTTTGGAGCTGTGATGAATTGATACAAAGTTTCATTAATTATCTTCCATCTGTAAATGGGTCACAGCTTACTAAAGTCAGATATGGCTGTTCGAAGTTCATCAAGGGTTCGCTGGTTGGTTGGTTGACTGCTTGGATGGATTTCCAACGTTCTCAAATGAACGCCCTCGCATAGGCACAAAACATAACAAGAATGGAGAATGAAAGAAAGAGAAACAACAATTTATCACTCAATCGACCCAAAAAAGGTTCAAAGCACATCCTCAGATTTCCTTTCGCTGACGACAAGATCCAACACGCGATGTGATGGTGTCTGGTGGTTAATTTCATTGCTTCATCACTGTGACAGTTTGTCCGGAAATTTCCTTTCACCCGGTTGCCTTCTAACTTCTTCTGATTCATTGATATGCTGATACCCAGATACGCATCTCTTCTTCTTCCACTTCTCACTTTTCCAACGTTCGTCTTATCATAATTATTCGATCGCAGTTGGAAACCGAAAACCGAAAAAAATCAGACTCAAGAAATCAACGAAAAAAGTCATTAAACCATTAAAGTCACTCAAATTTTTCTTCGCTGTTATTGCAGTGTTGGTTGAGTTGCTGTTTGTGATATTCTTTCCTTGCGTTTGTGTTGTTATCGTGTGTTGAAGACGAAAAGTGAAAATACGAAAATCATTACAAGAAATGGAAAAACGAACGAATGAAAAAGGAATGAAAAAGGAATCTTTGGAATAAAAAATTCAAAGGCATTGGATCTGGATGTGATGATACAAGCGAGTGAAGAAGGATTGTTGTTAATGAATAATTTATTTTATTTCTCTTTTTAGTCGCGACTGCGATTCTTATTATTGATTTCATCATAGATTTGCGGAAATATCTTCTTACATAAGTCAAAATTTTTATAATTTCTTTTTTTATCTAAGGAAGAAAAAGGCGGAAGAAGAAGAAGCGAAGCGAAGCATTAAATTATGCGATGAGTGGACATTTCTTTCTTATTTATTCGTATCATGCGATAAATTCATCAAGAATGTTTCCACATTGAAGCAATTGCTTTAACAAGATTTGAAATTCAATAAATTCTCATTTTTCGTGGTCCAATTTGGCAAGAAGTTCTCCTTCAATCGTCTCCATTGCAAATTGTAATCATTCGTCGTCGATGTTTTAACATCTTTGTAACATAAATCATCGAGATTAATGAGACTCGAATATAAATGCGATTTTAATTCGGGAAATTCGTTCAAGATGTTTAAATATTCAGTGAATATTTCAATTTTCGATATCTTCAAATGTGCTTTACGCGTTTGCATTTGCTTTTTAGTGACACCTTGTCGTTTTCCACTCACACCGACTTCGATGGGTCTGTGAAAAAGAAATTAAGAAATGAACAAAGAAAGGAATCTTTTTTAATTGAACTCACCGTTCACTCTCATCAATTCGTGAATAAATGATGGAATTCGCTGATGGATTCACTCGATCTGTATCATTCCGACAGAATGGAAATTTTAATTTATTGTTAGCAACGAGTATTGTTGGACGATGAAGCTTAAATGGATGATTCAGAAACTTATCAGCATCTGAAAAACGTCGATAGAGCGCTCTTTCCATTGCTGTTTGATTGAATGATGTTCCATCAGCAAGTATTACGGAGTTCAAATAAATTGGATCGACAATCGATGAAAGCAAACAACCTTGAATTCCCATCATGTTCCATCTTGCAATTTTATCGCTACATGAAAGCGACATCGTTCTATCACCCTTTCCTGGCTTGATTCTGATTTTTCCTTCCGTCTGTGCCATCACGTCTTCGACATCTTCGTAAAACAAAAGTTTGGCGCCGGTGAAGCCATTGGGAAGTTCACTCATCTTAACCTTCTTTGCTTCCGGTTCTTCGTTTTCAGATTGATTGTCATTCGTTGAATAAATACTGGCATCACCACAAGGACTTGAAGTTGTGAACATATGAAACTTTACATTCATCAATTTGAACTTCATTGTCTTCTCATCGAATTGGAAAATTGATTGTCGATCGGATGCTTTTGAAGCGCGAATTTGAAACAATAAATATCGAATGAAAGCACGTCTACAAATTACTTCAGCATGAGAATCATTGAGAATATCACCAAACTCACTCAACATCATACTACCGATGCATTTTGTGCCAGTTCCGCAACTAACTACTTCTAACTTTCTATCATCACTTTCCATTACAATTGCCGAATAAATTGTCCATTCATTTGATTTAAGCGAACGCTTTGCGCTTGGAAGTCTATCATAAAAGCTTAGGCACAATTCAGAAATTTTATTCGCTAACTCCATCTGGTCCATTTCAATTCTAATCGATAAAGCTTTCAATTAAATATTTTTTAAAAATCTTATAAGCGATAAAAGTTGGAAGAATATTTTTAAATGTTTTAATATGTTTGATTGTTCAATGAACAATTTTCGGATCCCACGCGTACTTTCTTTTGACTTGAAGCGTAGTCAATGTGTTCATAACATCATCCGGTAGTACAAAATCCAAATTGATATTCTCAACAATGCGAGATTTTGAAGAAGCTTTTGGCAAGATTCCAATGTTCTGTTGCAAAGCCCACCGCAATAATATTTGTGCTGGTGATTTACCGAGTGCTTGAGCAACTTTTATTATTGTTGGATCGTGACGTAGCGAATCAACGTTACTCGAGCCAAGCGACGAGTAAGCTTGCAAGAAAATTCCGTTGTCACGACAATATTTTAGTAGATCAAGATCATGACAATGTGGATGCCACTCAACTTGATTAACTGATGGAATCACACTGTGACTTGCTTTTAACTCTTCGAGATGTCGAATGAGATAGTTGGAAACACCAATTGACCTAATTAATCCACTTTGATGAAGTTTAATTAACGTCGCCCAGGTATTGTTCCGATATTTTGAGTTGTCCTTGTGTTCTGATTGCAATCCCGATACTCCTGGCCAATGGATCAGGTACCTAAATAAGAGAAACTCAAGAAATCTCCTTTTATGATTGTAAAATTTTAACTCACAAATCGATATAATCTGTTTGGAGGTTCTTTAGACTCTGCTTTACCAAAGAAACAACGTCTTCTTCAGTTTGATTCAACGATGGAACTGAAACATAAATAAGCAGCGAAAATGATTTTGTGTGAATAAATAAAGAAGGAAAAGAATAAAATTCAATCGACAACGAAAAGGCGACAAACACAGAAAAACAAAAAAGCATAAGCAAGGGTCAGAAACATCAAACGTCAAAAATATAAAAATAGAAATGAGGGAATGATAAAGCTTAAGGAAACGTGCTGTGAATGGTGGGGAATTTGCGTGATTATAAGGAATAAAGCTCAACGTGTAGGAAAGTGACGTCACGTTTATTAATATGCGGATTTACCTTCTTAAAATAGAAAACAAAAAACATTCGGGAACTTACTTAACTTTGATGTAATGAAAATATCTTCGCGTTGTAGATTGAATTTAGGCAAAAGTGTCTTCAGTGCTTCTCCGATATGCTCTTCGTTCCTGTAGACAACTGCTGTGTCTAAGGATAGAAAAGAAAAGGAAAACATAAATTTTTGAAGAGAAATTGAAAATTTAAATAGATAAATATCCCTTTTATAGGATTACGAAAGATAAACAAACAAGGAACTTACCGATATGTCTGTAACCAGCAGCAAGTGCGTGTTCTAAGACACTGAATATCAATTCACGACTTCGTATTTGAAATGTTCCAACTTTACGAGTGAAAATTTGTAAACAAAATTATGTTTTAGCATAAAACTAATAATAAATTGTTTTGATTCAATTAAACATTAACATACATCCAACAAGTGGTATACGATGACCTGAATTAAGCAAGAAACTAGCACTCATAGCTATTAGGACGACAAAAAAATTAAAAATAAAAAGCGAAACACTTGAATTGCAAATGAAAATATTGAAGCACTAAATTGATTTTAACTGAACACATTTGAGAGTTTACTGAACACACTCAAATTTGAAACGCTTTTGAGCGGGAAATGAAAACATTTCAAATTAAGTGAATTTAACTTTTATTATTGCAGAATATTAAAACTGTACTGAAGGCATAAGTCTTAAATAATGTTTGCAGAAATACTTTGCAAGTTATTAAGATTTTAATAGAAAACTTACGAGTATTTTTCAATTACCATTTCTGCTTCCTATCTGAATTAAAATTTATTATTTAAGCAACTTTTTAATGAACGACTCTCCTGGTAATTCCTATACAATGTATTTTCTTCTCACGTTTGAAAACATTAACATCATGTGTAATGTCGGTAACAACTTATAATAGTATATAATTCCTTAAGGACACAAAATATCATATTAATAATCATAAGTAAGTATCTAGCGGAAAAGCTCATAATCTACTTTAAACTTTCAGGGAAACTAATGACTTTTAAATTTTACTTCATGAAATAATCGAGTTCTTGAAAAGTTTGTAACTTCGAAAAGCTGAAGATTGGAAGTTTCAAAAAGTTGAGATTGATTAAGCATGCGATGGTTATGTAATTTATGTACATGCATATTTATAATCGTTGTAGCGTAAAATTGAGACTCAAACTTTTCCAAGAACTTTTATAAATTTTAATAAAGATCGATCTAGCTTACTTCCTTCGAAGAATTTAAATTATTTTAAGCTTAAAGATAACATAAACAGTTTGAACTTTGATTTAAGAAATTTGTTTCCGAAGTCGATGAACATCAAAAGCACCATTTAAAACAGAGCTAAAAATAACTTCGTTTTAAAAACTTTATTATGAGAGCTGGGTGACAACATAAAAGTTTAGTAGTAATTAAAATCAAAACGCTGGAAATAAGAAACTTTTCCAAGACTTTCATTACTGTTTACGAGGAATGAATTGTTATTGTTTAATGAAATGTTGGAAAATCTTTTGGTAATTATTTTTATATTCTCTCCATAGCTCATAAGCTCATTACAGAAAGGGGTTTAAAAATTCCCTTCATCGTCTCATCTACTTAAATTATTTTTAGAATTTGATATTTCTTTCAAGAAACTTCGAATCAATAATAAGAATCGCAGTCGCGACTAAAAAGAGAAATAAAATAAATTATTCATTAACAACAATCTTTCTTCACTCGCTTGTATCATCACATCCAATGCCTTTGAATTTTTTATTCCAAAGATTCCTTTTTCATTCGTTCGTTTTTCCATTTCTTGTAATGATTTTCGTATTTTCACTTTTCGTCTTCAACACACGATAACAACACAAACGCAAGGAAAGAATATCACAAACAGCAACTCAACCAACACTGCAATAACAGCGAAGAAAAATTTGAGTGACTTTAATGGTTTAATGACTTTTTTCGTTGATTTCTTGAGTCTGATTTTTTTCGGTTTTCGGTTTCCAACTGCGATCGAATAATTATGATAAGACGAACGTTGGAAAAGTGAGAAGTGGAAGAAGAAGAGATGCGTATCTGGGTATCAGCATATCAATGAATCAGAAGAAGTTAGAAGGCAACCGGGTGAAAGGAAATTTCCGGACAAACTGTCACAGTGATGAAGCAATGAAATTAACCACCAGACACCATCACATCGCGTGTTGGATCTTGTCGTCAGCGAAAGGAAATCTGAGGATGTGCTTTGAACCTTTTTTGGGTCGATTGAGTGATAAATTGTTGTTTCTCTTTCTTTCATTCTCCATTCTTGTTATGTTTTGTGCCTATGCGAGGGCGTTCATTTGAGAACGTTGGAAATCCATCCAAGCAGTCAACCAACCAACCAGCGAACCCTTGATGAACTTCGAACAGCCATATCTGACTTTAGTAAGCTGTGACCCATTTACAGATGGAAGATAATTAATGAAACTTTGTATCAATTCATCACAGCTCCAAACAACACAATTTCCTCTCAAAGCTTTCTCATGTCACGAAATGTCACTGAAATCGTGTCGTTTGGCGTTCGATGCATTTGCAGGAAATGATGCAACGACTTTTCCATTTTTCCTCATTTTTCTCCATAGCTTGACGAGCTTGTTGACGACGACCAACACAATAAGGAAATTAAAGTTTTTTTCTCGTCGTTGTCTGAAGGCTTCAGGATTTTCTTCCGCTCTCTAAAGTCCTTTGAAAATTTTAATTTTACATTCTGAATGTCAATAAGTTTGCAACAGTTTCAAAATAACCATAACATTGTGGGTGGCCAAACGATTCTGCGGGTGTAACAAGAAGCTTTCATGAACAATAAAAAAAGCTCGTAGCATAAATTAAAGAATAAACTTAGACCTCGCCAACATGTTCCGTAAAAAACTGTCAAAAAAGCAGAAAAATGTTAAGCTCTTCTAACACAAACCGTTTTATTTAATTTCTTTTTTTACCACTTCATGATATCGCAGGGTCGTTTAATTAACATGAATAAATTAGTTAAAAAATCAACTGGGAATTTTTATTTTACATTCTTGCTCCCTTTGTTTGTTCTTTTTGCGTTGTCGTGGATCTCTGCAGCATCAATTAGACAGAACCGTGGCTTACTTCTTCATCTGATACTTTTTTGCTAGCTTGAACCTCGCAATCGTTAATTTATGTAGCTGTTTGATGGATGGTGTTGCCCTTTTTACATTTTACCAACATTTTATCGTGATTTCTTTTTTCACGCTCTGAATCCGACATTTAAATACATTTCCATATCAAAGGAGATGAATTTTTATGTTTTTAAATTGAAATTCCTCTTTTTTTAGGTCGCGAAATTATTTTGTTTCCTGATTAGCGCTTAATGGCGAAATTTAAATGTTTCTCAAGCCACATTTTTAACACCATTTACTAAATATCTTTGAAAAGATTTTCATTGCTTTCTTCTTCAATCTTAACAATCTATTTAACCGCGTAATGAAAATGAGTTCACAACTATTTAAACTCAACAGCTTCCTCTGAAATAAAATAAGTTCGTCTTCCTACAAAAAAATTGCCATGCAAAAATTCAACATTAAAACTTTCAGAACTGAAATATTTTTAATTTTAGTTGTACTTTTCACAAGTTTTTTCTCTGCCACAAGCATCAGACGTTATTGCGCTAAAAGCTGCAGTGTAATGAAAGTAATTGTGGAAATTGTGCTACATAATCATTAGAAAAATTAAAGAATTTCAACAACCTCGAAACTTTTTCGTCTGGAGAATAAAAGTTTTTGTTATATTTAAACTTTGAATTATTTAAATTAGAGGAAACTTCTCAATTACATGCGTTTTTCCTTTTTTTGTCGCTTGGTAAATTCATTTATTCACATTTAATAGCTGTCTGATGAATCAGCAATTAAAAACTTTGCCGCTTAAACATTCATCAAAACGTCGATGAAATATAAATGAAGCTCCACCAATTAAATCAAACACTAATTGAAGTAATCTCAATTCAATCAACTACAATCTCACTTAAAGCTCAAACCATTATGCGACATTGTGAGGAAGCCACAAATTTGAATAGAAATTACAGAGATTTACGCTTGACATTCAAATTAAAATCATTCCCCCTCATCTCTATGTTGAAAGCATCTGCGATGAACATGAGAATTTACGGGAAATGAAAATCTTTTGTTTCCCCAACATCCTGTTATGCTTCCATCATACAACAGACGTTGTTTTTACGCTTTCATAAATTAATTGCTAGGGAAGAACATCACAATGACTCTCCACAGACCGCGCTGTTTCAATCAAGAAAAGAAAGGAAAGAAAAAAGGAAACATTTGTTACCGTGGAGTTTGAGTGTTTAAAGAGGTGTTAAGCTTCATAATGAGCATAAAATGTTTGTGAAAGAATTGTTCTTCATCTAACCGCATTGGCCAACATCTTCATCATAAGTCGAAGAAAATTTGCGGGGGATTTAGTGCCTTTGTTCTCAAGTTGAGAGTCCCTTAATTATTACTGAGATATTTTAATGACTCGCGCTTTTGTCAATGAGTTTTCAGTGGCAATAAAGAAGAGTTTAATGAAACGCAAGATGGAACTTTAAAAAAAACTTTCCACTCCATCTTAATGGACAGAATCATAAGTTTTCTTCCATCATTAATCTTCATCTCGAATGAAATGACGATCCGGGGGCAGAAAAAAGGACCAACAACTGGCACGTAATCAAGCCGATGTTAGATGAGTTTTTCCTTTTGTTTCACTGAGTCGCTTTTTTGCGATTTAATCGCAATAATGAAGACATAAATTAATGAGTCAAAATTAATTTGGCGCCTTGTTCTGAAGAAAGGAGTTGGAGAAAGTTATCAAAACTTTTTCTATCCTCGCCTCAGACGCTGGGCGGTTGTTAAGGGGCAATTTTGCAGCTAATGATTTGAGAGATAAGAAATTGCAAAATTAGAATCATAACTCATCTAACAAACTTGGATAAAATAAATTGATGAATTAAATCATTTTGTTGAAACATTCTCATTGAAGTGTAAAAGTTTGTCTTTTTCATTAAATTGACTTTAAACGGCAAAAAGTGTTTGCGGATGAAAGTTTGAAAGAGTTGAGAATGTTTTATCGATTTCACAAAATTCAAATCATCTTTAAAAGGTTCTCAATTAGTTTCAAACTCTTTTTTGCATGATCAAAAGTATGAGTCATGAATTTAAATATTTTTCCTCAAAGTTAATTTAGAAAATTGAAATTTTGTCCCAAATCAACTTTATGTGTCAGATTTTAAGGATAAAAAAAGCAGCTTAACAAAGATCACCTTTTCATTTAATAATTCCTCGTCCATCATGAAAAAGTAATAATTAATTCATGCTATTCATCAATTATGATTTATCGATAAAGTTTCACATTGATGATTTTACTAAATTTTTTTTTGCTTTTTCATGTTAGAAGCAGGAAAATTTGTGGTTCATTTTTCCTTCGTCAAATTTTTCCCGGTTGTATCCTGAAATTTAAAATTAGAGCCGTAATTGATTTACAATTAATTACTGTCGTGAATCTGACCTTCCAATTTCCTTTTGAGACTGGATGTGCTGAAATTTCTTTCCCATCCTAACCCAGGAGAAGATAAAGCCATTAAAAGTCAAATTACTTTCATGATAATAGCTTATTGGCGAGATGATGAAGGCAGAAACAAATAAAACACGATAACGACCGAGAACATGCTGCACAACATTAACGCGCCTTAGACTTTTTCCCAGAAGGACCTAAATGAAAATGAACGACGTGGAGGTGACGTGATGAAGTGTTTGACTTTAAAAAAATATTAAAAAGCGTGAACGTTAATTATAAAATTATTCGACACTCGTCGGCAAAGAAATATTTAATCCAATTTTCTACATTTTTCAACAGCAGGGATCGAAAAAAAAGGATTCTCAGTTGTGTTTTAGTTAAATCTTTTCTCAAGGAATTTTTTTCCCTCTTTTTTTACAGTTTTTGATTCTTCATGCTTTAAAAAGAGATAATGCTTCTTTAACATGATAAAAAAAATTGAAATGCTATTTGAATTATGAATTACGATTGAACGAAGAAAATTCTGAGAAAATCTTTTGCAAACCTTGAAAGTTCTTTCAAGGAAAGATTATTGGGAAGCACTTTGTTTGCTGTTCACGATTTATGTGGATTTTCATCTTTTGACTGAATAAAATCGCTAAGAAGCTTGAATGCAAATATTTAGATATTTTTGTGGTTATTCTTGATCATTTTCAATTTTTCTTTCTTCTGAGAAATGTTCGAGTTTATGTATCAACATTAAATTAAGTTTGATAAAAAGCTAACCATTTGAAGATGAATCTTTTGCTTATTTATCTTAATTTTGTATAATTTATTTCTTGGAAAGGATTTGAGTTAATACAAAGCATGCATTGATGTACACATCTAGCTTAAAGCTTTTAATTTCGACTGATAAACTCAATCCACTCTTCTCATCTTGTTTCCTTATAGCACAGAAAGCTCAAATTTACCATGAAAAAGCTTATCAGCACACGGATGAATTCATGCAAATATCCGCAAAACCGCATATTTTGAACAGATTTTGCGGTTGTGTTGCCAACAAAATCCCAAATCCGAAATATATTTCGCCTTTTAGCGGCATTTTCTGTGCTAATTTTTTTCTCAACACAACAGAAAGTGTTGGTCTGAAGCTGTGAAGTTTCAATGAAAATTTGTCTACTGAATACTTCGTGTAGATTAAATTTTAAAACATCGAACGAATGTCTAGTTTGCTTGCTATCCTTTGGTTATCAATTCAACAGTGTGAAGCAAATACTTTTATACTCGCTTTACAAAATCCGATGTAACATTGCTGACCGTTTGCACAATCAGAAGCAGTGTGAGAGTGTAAAAAATGAATTGAATCGTAAAGTCACTACAAGAACAGTTTTTTTTTGTCATGTCAGCCTGAATGATCAATGCTTCGAAATATAAAAATAAAACAAATTTCAGGGAATGAGAACGGAAACGTTAATTGAATGAAAAGCGTAAATTCCTTTCAGGGAATTTAAATTGTTGTACAGAATTTAATTGAATTTTAATTTGATTTGGCTCACTCTTTTATTTTATTTGTGAAACATTTCATTAAATCCTTTTATCGTGCAATTCAACTGCAACCATTACAAAACAATTGCGCACAAATTAGAGCGGAAAAATAATATAAAAGTCAAAAGATTTCTCCAATTTTAATTGCCATCTCTGAAACTTGCTTCTATCATTATTCATGCCATTTTTTGAGATGGCAAAAAAAAGTGACGGAGAGAGAAAGAAATCTTCTAGGGTGAAGCTTCAAGGGCACTCAACGTGATTAATTAAACCGTGATTTCATGTGTATCAAATTAATCTTTTTCATTATTACAATGAGGACTCTTGAATATGAGAAATTGTTACGTCAAGTTTATGAAGATATCTTTGTGATAGGCAAGCAAAACAAGAAGAAGGAAGAAGCAAAAAAAAACCTAATAAATTAATTTTCTTCGATTCATGCGATCGCAGCATATTTTTTTCCTCGTTCATTTTTCATCTTCTCTTGTCATTAATATTATTGAAAAACGAAAGAAAAGCAATGTCTAGGTGTATGGAAAAAATTGCTTGTACTGCAAACGAATCTTCAAGCATGAAATTTCGTTCACAAATTCACAAAAAAAATCTTTTCTCATTTTTTAATCTAAAAAATCGCCTACGCTTGAATTTTTAGTCAAGGACTTTCTCGATTCTCGAATAAAATAAACTTTCAGCATTCTTTAAAAAAGATAAAGAATTTGATGGCTTTCGAATTGATACAAATAAAATGTCCTTTAAGCCGGCATAAAATTCTTGTCACGATTTACGATTTCGTCACAAAAAAATATCTCAACAAGGAGAATGCGTAACAGAAAATTGATATTTTTTATATGCGAATAACATCTGAATATATTTATGAAAATTGTTTAAGTTTTCCTTTTGTAGACTTGTATGAATTTTAAGTGAAAATAAAGAAAATACTTGCAAGTGACATTATTCCATGAAATTCAAATTCTTACATTCTTTCATGATGTAAGAGTATGTCGAAGTGAAAACTTATCCAATTAAAAGTATCCAAGCTACACATGATAGTGAAAAAGTTTTAATAGAAAACGATGTCGTTAACTTTATGTAATATTGAGATGTTCACAAAACTATCACCGTCAACATTAATCAAACTATCAGAGTGATTTCACCAAGAAAACAGTATGAAGTGATAATGAAGCTTTTCATGCTAAAGTTGGTTCGGAAAATCTTTAAGAATTTAATGTTTATTGAGTGAAAAATTATTACAAATTCTATTCAATCTCACAAGAGAAAGTTTAGTTCTCACTACAGAATTTATTCATGAATTTATTTATAAAATAAAATTCTAACTTACGTTCCATCTTTTCCTCATAATTTTCTATTAATATCTGAGAAAATTTAAAACACCCAAAGCATTATGCTACTAGTGCAATTTTCAACTTAATTCGTTCTACTGGAAAAAACCACTTAAATCAGAATTTAAAGACAATTTAAAAGCGCAAAATGATAGCTGAAATCTTTAAATTTAAGAACTTTTCAATATGCACTTGAAAAATGTCTTCTGATTAGAACGTGATGAGACTTGAGAATCTCTTGGGTGTGAAATTTCTTCCATAGTTTCATTGCAGCGCATTTTCACATATTCTGATAAGTCTTTAATGTCAAATTTCTATGATTAAAATTCTTTTCTTGGATAAAAGTTGGATTTAAACAAACCGATGTGAGTTCGTTTGACTAGATTGCTTAATGATCTTGCTTACAAAAGAAGAAAGAAGAAAAAAAATCACCGCTGACTTTCAGGTGAATCCACTTCAAGATAATTCCAAGCGAATCTCATACTTATTTAAGCTCCCATAAAATGATTTATTGGTTCAATTGAGCTTTGAATGAAACCTTATAAGATTAGATTAAACTTGAGATGTTCCCTCTCGAGAATAAAAGCTAAAAGTTGAAGTCATTGGACTGAAAGATATTTCGAAAAGGTAATCAAACAATGTTGAGAAAGAAAAATGAAGCTTGAAGTTGCTCAAGGCAACAATCGTCTTCCAATTGTTACTCCTTTAGCCGTTTCTATAGCAAATAATTCTTGTTCAAACATTACAAACACGTTGTATAAAAGCCATTGAAATTGTGACAATGAATAAATACCAGAAGCTTCTGAAATTTTATTATTTTTGTGTGTTTAATTTCCATTTAAATAATTCTGATTATTCTCTCGTTTTTTGTCAATTTTCACTCGGATTTCATTCATCGATGAAATGTCGATGACATTATGAATTTTGACGACAGAATTTAAATTGATGAACAAATTAATTGATCGAGTCATATTTACAAATATTGTCATTTCGTGATAATTAAAGTTGTTAGCATAAAAATTATTCAAAAATTTTATTCAACTTATTCAAATTCTACTTATTTTTGTTTCTCTCTATTCTAAATTTGTTTTTAAAGTTCAAGTCAAAATATAAAAGCAAATTTCAACAACAACCAAAAACGAAAAGTTGATTGTGAGAAACTTGGGTTAAATTATCGAGGAATGAAAGCTCTATGTAACATCACGAGGCAGATGTGAACCTTTCTCGTTAAGATTAACTCGTCCTATCAACGATTGACTGGAAGTCTCTTTGGAACAACTTACGTGATTCATCAGACTGAAATTTATTCGAATCTCTTTTGAGAATTGGGGTTTGCAGGAAAAATCAAATTTAAGTTGAGCTTTTCTAACACAGAATTTGTTCGTTAGCGAAAGAAGAGATCAACGACGCAATCAGAGGGGATTTTGTAGCTTGTAAGTTGAGATAAGTTTTCCAAATGATCTATTGAGTTAATTGATTCGTTATCGCTGTTGCCTTCAGCCTTCGTCTTTATATTTTCTTTATTCATGAGCATCGACATGAAAATTTATCGGCGTTTTGGGATTTCTGAGATTATATGTCAATCTCCAATTACACTTCGACATGATGGAGATGAAAAGGCGAATATGAAAAAGCCCTTCATCTCAAAGCTCTTAAAGCTGTATATACTTGGATGACTATTAAGAAAGGAATCTTCTGTTTATCTTCTTAGTCATTTACAAAGGTTTGCGAAAAAGGTAAAAAGCTCTTAGGCCACTTTTAAGCCCTCTCAATGTTATCTTTTTGTCTCTCCTTGAGCAAGATTTCTGTAACAAATTTTTTTATAAAATATGTATTTAGGAAGATAAGAATTTAAAAATAAAAACAAAAGAAATTCTGTAGGGACCCAATTTGAGACAAAATGTTTTACGATGTAATGACTTCATCAATCAATTTACGAAATATGAAATTTCAAATGAAATTTTTGAGATAACTCAGAAATCTTTCAAAATGTGCTTGAAACAAATGAAATTTGTATGATGTGCGTCATGAAACCTTCTACGGATGAATGAACAGAATTTTTAATCTTTTAACCCCCCGTCGCGAGATTAACTGCACTTTGTCATTGAGATTTTTTCTAAAGAATGAACCTTGTTAAGTTTTCTTACACCATTTTTTTATCATCCAAGGAATCAAAAGTGTCGTTCATGTCACAATATTCTCAAACATAGTGTGAAAGAAACCAAACGTCTCACACTTCATCGCGTTTTGCTTGGTGGTTGAACTTCGATAAAATTGAAAAGATTCAAAATAAAAAGAAGGAAAATCTATCAAAAATATGATGTGAAGTTGTGCGAAAACAAATTTTTTCATAAGTTTTAGCTGAAGCGTTCCCTTTCTTAACCATAACTTTCCTGATGCAGCATGACACCCGCATCAAATGAAAATTCTTATCATATATTTCTCTTATTATGCATGCTTGAGTCTAATGAAAAACATCATTTATTTGCTAGTAATACGGAGCTCAATTTCAGCTCTCACTCACTTTTCACAATGATAAAGTGTTAGGTAGAGCAAAACCAATTTATCATCTTAGATAAGAAGCTTATGCTTTGCATTGAAACGATGAAACGAATAAACGAATACATAGTAAGAAAAGTGAAGCATCAATTTCGTTCTTCTACTTATACTTCTGTTTTGTTTTACGAAGAAAAGAAAACAATTTCAATCATCGGTAATTTGTCTCAATGATCCTTAAATGAAGTTGAAAGAAATGGGAAAAGTTTCTTCAGACTTTCGGAAACCTAAAGATGTAAAGAAAAGAAAATTATGGAAAGGATTTGAAACATTATAAGCTTATGGTCGGTTTGGAACAACTTATTTATTTAAAACTTATATTCTCAGTAATTTGTATTGATGATTTGGGAAAGTTTCTTATCAAACTTTCTGAATATTAAAGTATGAAAATCAGAGTAGATTTGAAATTCAAAAGAATTTCATATCTCAGATCTTTGGAATGTTTGCATCAACAACCAAAAAAAAATTACAATTTTATCCCACAACAATCTTTCTTGTCGTCAAGAAACCTTGAACTTCGTCGAGGAAGGGATTTTATAGTAAAATGTTTTGTAATTCGAGGAAAAAAAAATCTTTTCAGCAAATAAACATAACTTAATGGACAAAGAGATTCTCTGGATTTCCCAGTTGCCCAAAACTCAAGAGATCCAAACGACATTATACTGCTTCAAAAGATTTTTCTTTATTCCACTCTGAAATAGACATTTCTTACAGTCAAACATCACACGCAGCACTTTGAAGTGCCAAAGGACAGTTAAAAGATTTTTTCCTCTCTTCAAATCGAGTGAAAACTTTATTTATTTTTTTTCTTCTTTCTTCAGTATTTCATTTTTTATGAGCGCTTGGGAAATAGAAAAGAAACCGAAAAGATGCTTCAAGCCAGAAAAACACGAGAATTTTATCACAAACAATTTCATTCTTCATCTCAAAAGATATTTTTTGAGTTTTTTTTTCTTAAATGAACAATTTTTCTCTTTGTATCTAATAGCGCGACGTTCCTGAAATTCTTCATCAAGATTTCAATCAAGGAAACAGATTTGATTTTTTGTTGTGATGCTTGCGGAAAAGTTTTCTTTCTAAATATTTTTCTTTTAGGTGCTTGACTTTTTCAACAGTTAAGACAAATTTCTAACAAGCTCAAAATTGTAGAACATTAAATGATGAAGAAGAAAAGCTTCAAACAGAACAATAACTTATTAATGATTATAATTGAATCATAAGTGCTTAAAGAACTAGAAGAAAATAAAACTTTTCTCTTCTTTCGTAGAAATTAAAGAAATTATTTTATTTCGTCTTTCATCACAGTTGAATGATTTTTCGAGCTTTTCAGAGCCACTTTGTAAATTGCTTCATCATAATTTTTCTTCCATAATTGAAAGCTTCATAAATTATTAACCAAAATTTGTCCTTCTTTCTTGCCCCATCGGTAGAAAGACGAGCATTGCGAACGATACAACATCATAATGATCAATTTGAGGGAGCCATTAGTTTGCTTTCATTTGTCGCTGGCTTTTCCAAGTTCCACGCTTCCGTTTCTTTTTTATTTTTCTTCTGCTTGAAATGTAAACGACCCCTCAGAAAATTTGTTTGCTCTAAATGGTTCATCAATTTTTATCATCTCGAGAGATCCTTTTTTATTACAAAGCTAAGACAGTTCTTGTCTCATTTATTAATGCGAAAATATTTCGAGAAATTGTCGAAAAAAAAGTTTGTCGTTCGTGAAAATATTTGGATTGAAACTTGAAAGTCAATCATTGGCAAAAAAAAATTTTAACTAAAGACAAGAGTTTATTTTTGGTGAATTAAATTTTCCGAAGAAAACATTAAACTGTTAAACTTTCACCGCTTCACTTATTTTCAAGAGTTAAGTTGAAAGTTTTTAAAAGTTTAAAAGTTCTCTGACATCAATTTAAAATAGCAAATGATTCGAAGCTTTTAAGAGTTAGATGCTTGAATATTTCAAGACTTATCAAACTTTTAATCAGCTCCAAATTCCAATCTATAATAAATTTCGATATGATGATGAAAAATGTTTCAACAATAACATAAAATTCTGCAAAAAAGAATTAAAAGTTTAAGATTGAACATGAAACAAAAAGTTTTATGACTTTTTTTTGTTGTACTCGTACGAATACTTTTTCGTCTAACGAAAACTTTTCTCTGCTTGCCATGACAAGAGTCAACCTAAAATTGTCAAATACTTTTTATATTATATTAACACAATTCGAAAACAAACAGACGAACATAACCCGTGCCTTGAGAGAAGAATTGGAAGCAGATATCTGTAGGTATTTATATGTTTGTGGGACGAGAAACGAGAAGATTTATCTAAGTATCGTCTTGACATTTAGTGCAAAGAGAATAAACCGATTTGACATTTTGTGCACACAAATCAGACGATCATGAAGTGCTTGAGTTGATGCTCTTTCCTTGTTGTGTTTGTTCTTGAAATGTATTAGGGCAATAAAAATCCTTGCTAATTATATGAACAAAAGTCTCTTGAAACCTCTGGCAATGCAAGTTGAAAAGAGAAACATGTTATGGGTATATGCGGATATTGCGGCAAAATCTGTAGAAAAAATAAATTTCTTTCGTGCTTATCAACTACTCGACATGCACACAACTGAGATTTCCAACCGACAAGTGCAAATGCTGGTGAATACGAAAATCTCGAATTAAACATAAATCTTTCTTCTTATATAATTTTAATTTCAAATTCATTTTCTGTTTTATAAAATGCAAGATTAAAAAGCATGTAGGATGTTAAATTAAAGCTAATGATTGAAAAGGTCAAAGCTTTAATCTTTTTATTAAAAACACTGTTTATGACAGGCTGTCAGGCAGTTCCACAGTTCTCGTATATTTTAAGATTTCTGATCTATGTAGGAGTTGTACCTACTTACATCAGGACTAACGAGGGCTAATCCTATTTATGCTTCGTACATTTGAAAGAATTGTGTACATAGACATGAGATAAAAGTTTATTTATAAAATATGTGAGGTAAATGTAATATTTACTGAAAAGAAGTTTAACAAAGTATGAGAATCAGATTTTCATTCATGATATCATCTTGTGGACGTAATGACTGAAGCAAATTTAATAAGCAAGGAAAATCATTTGTAGAAAATGTGAAGCTTTGATGTTCCCTTAAAATTTAAAAAATTTCATTCACTTTAACTTTAATAGCATTAAATTTTCCTTTTTTATTATTATTATAATATTGAGTGAAAGCTAATTAGATTGTCGTTATTTAATATTCATTTGTTTAATTAGGCAACACCAACAAGGTTATTTTAACATGAAAGCTTCCAACCACAAAGGGCGCCATAAATTTTCTGATTGTTTCTCTTAAGATATTCATGTCGATTATGGGAGCCTTTCTAGAATGTATTATAAAGACACTGAAATGAGGTAATTAATTTTCATTCTATCTCAAAGGGAATTCTATGAGAGCTGAAGCTAGAAGGATGGATTCTTTCAATTAACACATAAAATGAGATGTAAAAAGGGCAGATTAGATAAATAAGAAATTTTTCTTGATGATTTCATTGCGAAAATTCGTACGCCTTAATTTGACTCGTTCTTCAATTATGCTCGTTAAAACGCTCTCAATCCCCAAAGCTCATCGTTCGTTCGTTCGACACCAGACACTTTTCATTTAGCACGATTTTTTATATATTTTAGTGTTGTTGATGCTCGTCATACGAGACTATGCATAATGTTCGTTTCAGCCTTAAATATTTGTTTAGAGCCACTCGTCTAACTCATCTAACAAAAGAAACGAGAAACTTTTTCACTCTTGCCTTTCACTCACGCTAATACAGTTCCAGTTGAAGAGAGAATTTATCACTTCTGCCCGACCAATTTACATTAAAGGTTAAACGAGAAGCATTTTTCTTCATTTACCAGTTAAAACCTTTCTCTGTTGTGCCATTGCTGAGGCCATATTCATTTCTCTCTCACTTTCTTAACAAAGAAGAATTGCCACAAAACGTGATGTTATTTAAGTGCTGAATATTTGTACTATGTTCGCAATGAACTGCTTCCGTTCATTCTTCTCACTGTCTGGAACGATGGTGTGCTGTTAAATGAGAAAAAGAACGAAAAGAGTTTTAAAATTTTTAATTGAAGATGTCATTTTAAGGAGAGTGTGAAATTCTATTAAGAAAATTGTTATAAGAAAATGTTACATCATTTTCGAATGAAGTTCTTTCATGGGAGACATTTTATTAAAGCGTGATTCACATGATGATGTTCATGCCATTTACCCCGAAGCATAAGAGGGCATTATGCTCACGAAAAATTTTAAATGACTAATAAATGAGCATGTGTGAGTCTCTTTAGGTAGAAACATAAATATTCAAACAACATCCAAATTTAATGTTGCTAATTTTCGTGCTCTTGGCAGAAGATATGTTTCTCGTATGCGCTTTTATCTAAAGATACACTACGTGCGTTCCTTACCTGACACCACAACACATTGAACAATTAATCATCCATAATAACCTTCCCCTATTTAGCGACTTAGAAATTTATCATTTCGATACTCATCTTGAATAATGAATTGCTTTCAATAAAAGAACGACATGTGAGAATAACAAATGAATGAATGAATGCAACATGCATGGATGTATAAAATGACAAGAAAAGATCTAAATAAGTAGCAGATTATGTGCAATAAACGTTCACTCGACTTTCCTGTGACACGATGAATGACTTTCGGTGCATTGTTCTAGATATTTATGCCAAATGTGTTCAACATTACCACATGTTTATGTATCAATGTGAAACTGTTATCTGTCTTACTCTATTTAGTCAAATTATGTTTCGTGTTGAAACTAACACAACTTATCATTCGAATAATGTCATGAAGAGTCTCATTATGTGGTAACGACACTGCCAGTAAATCAATTAATCTTTCCATGTACCTGCTTTTTGAAATAATTTCCGTTCTGTGAGCGAGTGCAGAATAATATGTGAAGAATGGTTGTAGAAAATATTAAAGGAAACCCCATTATATTCTCGTAATTGTGTTTCTTCTCCCAGGGTTTCATTTTGCCACAGTAGCATTACTTTTATTTTATATTTTGAACAATGAAAACAATTATGTTTTTATGAGAGTGCATTAACTCATCGAATTTTCACTCACCGCTCTCAGCAACCACTCAAAAGTTAAAGTTTGCTATAAATTTTTGTTAATTTTTTTCTTCGAATATCATGTGGCTTTGCAGAATAATTTCTAAGTGAATAACAGAGTAGGAAAAGAAGTTTAAGAAGAACAAAGAATGTCATGTCGGTCATTTTATTACATTTTTGTTTCTGCAAATTGCAGTTCGGGTTTCCTTTATTATTTCAAGTTTCTAATTCCATTTTTCATTAATTCACCTTTAGAAATCTAAAACCTGTTTTCAAACATCAACAGATAAGACTGAGGGAATAATAAAATATTTAAAAAATGAGAATATTCTTTCGTAAATATCAAAGTTAAACAGTTCGAAATCATTTTCATCCATCTACTGTTCTCATCATCAAACTTTCTTAATATGAATGGTAAACAAAATTTGAGACTAAAAGCTTTGCTGTTAGCAATCGAAGGAAAAAAAAGAATAAAAGCAAACATAAAGAAGAAAAAAAATAAAAGAAGTTTATCCTTCCAGCCTGTTGTAAATTAAATTTACATTTCTTCTTAGCCACTTTGTCTTAAATTTGAAATTATTTTCATTACGGTGGAGAATGCTTTTCAGTTCTGGTGTAACGTTACAACTCCTCCTTTCCTATGTCTCGTTGTCGGTGGTAGTTACAATGAAAAGCTGCATATAGCGAGAGGTTTCTGTAATCTCGGTGGCAAACATGAGCTTAAACATCTTGCTTGCTAACGGAACACGAAGCTTAATTAAAAATTTGTTTTCATTGTCTGTCATACGCAAAACTTTTTTTAAAGCATTGACTGAAAGGAAGGGAACGTTGTTCGAAGCAGTGAACCTCGATAAAAATCTTCCCACACTCCATCCACACACAATCAATTGCAAGCGAGTGAAAAACACATTTTGACGATAAAATATTTTGTAGAAATTGAATGTTTAAGAAATGAAGCTCGACAACACGTCCTCGATGTTAATAAAACATTTTTTAGCATCTCGTTTTGCTCTATGTTTAAAACACACGATAGATATGACAAATTCATAATTATAACCGAAAAAGAGAACAAAAAATCATATCCAGAACATAACTTCAAAAGTTATGGTGCTCTTTAGATAATGATTTTCGGGTCACGTTTAACTGGAATTTTTATTATTTTTCAGAACACAAAATATCGCCCGCGGCAACAGTGTGAAGAGTGAGAGGGGAATATCAACATTGCAAAGTCTCCATTATCCTATATTGCAGTTATGAACGGAATGGGATTTAAAAGATTTAAAGTCTTGATTCGTTTCTAAAGTTTCATAATGGGTGACTTTAATTCGAAAACTTTTCGAATATTTCAGCACGTTCCGAAGCGTTCTCATAAACAAAAACTAAAAAAGTCTTACATTGGTGCTTGCTTGATAAGCATTCAGAACTTCATGTGCAACCTTGCATGTACCAAATAACTTAGATAAAATTTTTACATAAATACATTTGGAAGGGAAATTTTGTTTTCGTGACATAATGCACAATATACCCAAGTGTTGGCTGTTCAAGTATCTGACGTATTTTCACAGAAAGCAAGCATCAAGTACTTTTCATTTCAACATGATAAAAATCCTAGAAAATGTTAAATTTTTCTGGAGATGTTTGCACTCAGAAGATTTTTCTGAAATTTGCATGCAATATCTTGTTGAATTATTTATTCATAGAAAAGCAATTTATCAAAATCTTGGGTGGGATTTTTATTTGGTTCATGTATAACATGCTGTGGTGAAAACTTTTCCCGCTTAAAATTCAAATTTTCAGCTTCCGCACAGCTTCACGTGTGAATATAAATTGAATGTTTACAAAAATTATGCTCAAAAAAAAATAAAAATTGTGAATGAAATCATAAGAAATATTCAGTAAAATGGATTTTATATTAATCAGTGACTTCTTGGACGAAATTGGATGTTGCAGAATCTGCACGTTACGTTTTCTAAAGCCAAATATTGACGACTTTTTAGACGTGGAAAATTCTTTGAAAAGTGTATGAAAATAATTCAAATTGTTTACATAAAGCATTGCTAATTAATAACAAATAAAATATTTCAGAAAGGAATACCGATCAATCAACAATGTAAACATGAAACCAAACGACCTAAAACAAATACATGTGTTGCATGTTTTAATGTTTTCAATTTTATTGATGAAATCATAATGAAAGTTAAATCAAGTGAATGGTTGAAACACTACGAAGTTAAACGTTTTGTAACTTCATATTCACTCCCAGTATCTCTTGATCTAGCTCAGCTTCAAATNTTTTCGTATAAAAACGATTTTAATTAAGGACTGTGAGATGAAATAAAATTAATTTAAATTGAAATGTTTCTTTGATCACGCTTGCAGTATGATTTCATAAAGTCATGAAAGTAATTTAATCAGTATGAATTGAAATTAAACTCATGATTTATCTTCAGCATTTAATTAAGCATAAATAAATTCAAATTATTCACCTTATGGTGAAAACTTTTCCCGCTTAAAATTCAAATTTTCAGCTTTCGCACAGCTTCACGTGTAAATAAAAATTGAATGTTTACAAAATCTTTCTCAATAAAATTAAAGATTGTGAATGAAATCATAAGAAATATTCAGTAAAATGGATTTTTTATTAATCAGTGACTTCTTAGACGAAATTGGATGTTGCAGAATTTGCACGTTACGTTTTCTAAAGCCAAATATTGACGACTTTTTAGACGTGGAAAATTCTTTGAAAAGTGTATGAAAATAATTCAAATTGTTTACATAAAACATTGCTAATAAATGATAAATAAACATTTTCAGAAAGTAATTCCCATCAATCAACATAGTGAACATGAATCTAAACGACTTAAAACAAATACATGTGTTGCATGTTTTAATGTTTTCAATTTTATTGATGAAATCATAATGAAAGTTAAATCAAGTGAATGGTTGAATCACTACGAAGTTAAACGTTTTATAACTTCATATTCACTCCCAGTATCTCTTGATCTAGCTCAGCTTCAAATATGGCTTGCTCTGATAGAAAAGTTTCCGAATATGTTCGATTCAGGTGAGAATTTCAACATTGAACTGCTCAGTGATTCTCAATTGAAATCCCATAGAGCGCCCTCCGGATATATCAATAAAAGACGTTATGAAGAACATTCTCAACACAAAACTATCAGACGACTTACACAAAGAGTTCCATCCCGATGGAATGATGATAAATATTTTCTTTGTTATCGACAATGAGCCTGAAATGATGACGAAACTAGAATCGGTCGCTCCAGAACTGATGGTCGAGAGAAATAAACAAAGGAAAAAGTTCCGAACCGAAATTGTGTCAAGAAATTACTTTGAGAAGTTTTTCATCCCTAAAAACATTAAATTGGAGAAGTTTCGTCAAGAATTTTCAGTTCCACCGCAAGAACCATCAAGTGCACTTCAACTTGAAAAAATAACTTTCACTGGACCCACAGTCTTTGTCGCAGGACGATACAATAAGTTTTCTCGTGCACTGAGCCAATCTCCATGGATTTTAAACGGCAAACGAATTACTGAAGGAAGCGTACAAGAAGTTATTGTCGATGCAATTGCTTCATATTTCAAAGTCTCTGAGAGTTCAATGACATTTATGTCGAGTGGCAGAGAAGATGTGGATGTGAGATGTTTGGGCCGTGGGCGACCATTTGTGCTGGAGATTATGAATTCTGCAAAAACCTTCTTGGACCCATCAAGTGCTGTTCAAATGGAAGAGAAAGTGAGAAAATCCAATGTCGTTGCGATCCGAGACTTGCAGATGATTCCAAGGTAATTGAATAAAAAAGAGTTGCTTGTGTATGTGTTTGTATGCGAGTGACAACTTTAATCAAGCCCCTTTTCATAATCCTCATAAAACTGTCCATCAATCATGTGTTCGCTTCTTCATTCATCAGAGATGATCTGCGCCACATCAAATCTGGTGAAGAAGATAAGAAGAAAATTTACAGAGCGCTTTGTACAGTTGACAGTGACGTGACCGTGGAAATCCTTGAGCGACTTAACATTGAAAAAGAGTTCGAAATTCAACAGTGGACACCGCTGAGAGTTCTCCATCGAAGGACATTAATGCAACGCCCTCGTATGATTTATGGAGTTAAGGCGTTTGCAGTCAAAGGTAAATTTGATGATGTCACAGCGTTCATGAATAAATTTTCACATCCTTTTCGTCTTCTTCCTTGCAACAGACAAACCAAATCTCATTGTACTTGACATTGTGTCTCAAGCCGGAACGTACATCAAGGAACTGGTTCATGGAGAATTCGGACGAACAACTCCAAGCATTTCCTCATTGATCGACATGGAAATTGACATTGTGGCTTTAGATGTCATGGATATCGACCTCAATTTCCCCAAGTCATTAAACCGAACTTGAGATTGTCAACAAAGTTTAATTAATTCTAATTAGGTTTATAAAGAAAAATGAAGAATTTATTTTGAAAAACCTCGTGGAATGTTTTTTTTTACTTATTTCATTAAATAAATATTTTTGTTACCAGAAATGAAAATTTAAATCAACCTGTTAAAATATTTATAGATTTATATCTGAGAAAAGGACGAAAAATCATTGCGTGGGAATTTTTTATCCATCATTATATCGCTAAAAATAAAAATGTTATCGAAACATTTTATGCAATACAAAACAAAAAAAAATAAAAAGCAAAAAAAAAGTTTGCGGAAGTGTCAAAAGCAGTTCAGATTTCAATGAAAGATTGCTGAACAACAATCAAGCTGCCAAAGTGCCCAAAAATGATGAAATTTAATAAGACGCTTTTCAAAAGTATTTTTAGCACTTAGCCTTGTTTTTAATTACAAAATTTTCGTGAATATTAAAATGGTCCACTTGATTTTATTTAAAGCTATATTAATTTTAATTTCTGATGATGATTTCTTCCAACTTTCATATTTATTTGATAAGATTAAAAGGGAAAATAAGAAAATTATTTATCGAAGATTTCTTCTTGGCACAACAACATTGAATTATCATTTATCAATGCGAAAGCTGAAATTGTGTGGATGGAGTCTGAAGAAGAACAGAAACATCTTCATTCTCATCAAGCTTAGACGGCAATGGATGGAGGAAAATGAACGAACGCAAAGAGATTAATGTTTGCTTGCAAAAACTTCAAACTTTTCTGCTTGTAATTCCATGAGGGCTTTCCTTTGTCTTCTCTCCTCCTTTCTCAAATTCATGTCAATCATTTTGCTTGCTTTCCGTCATTTCATTTTCATTTGCAGCATCTTTTTAGATAGTAAAAAAAAAGACGAAACGAAGCAAGAAAAAATGAAGTTTATTTATAATGGAATTAAAGCAGCTGCAAGCGTCTGATATCTGCATCAAAGTTCATCAAACTGCTGTTAAGTTTGATTGTTGGTCGTAAACAACTTTATCTTTCCACTTCGCTTCATAAACAAAGTGTCATTTACCATTTTGTCTCTCATCGATTTATGAAATTTCATGGAGATTATTGTTTGAAGTCTTGGGGATTAAGGTCGCATTAGGATCATCGAAATCCGATAAAAGCTCGTAATTATGTATCATTTCTGTTGAAATGGAAAAGAAAAAGTTGAAATCTCATGAAGCGATAGCTCAGAAGTTGAAAACCGAAGAAAGACGAAAGAAAAACGCTTCTCTTATTGTTTCAACAACAGATTTAAGGTAAATGTGTTTAATATCGTTTTGAGAAACAGTTTTCTGTCTTAAAACCTTCAGGGGTCTGCTTTCTGTTTCCGACCTGTATACCGGAAGACGAAGAATAAAAAAAGCCAAGCAGGATAAACTTTATTATTTATAGGGATAACGGCAAAAAAATGGTTTAAGCATCCGCATTCGTGAAACTATAAAATCTTCATTCCACCCTCAGCTCTCAGTTGAAAAGAATAAGAAACAATGAATGCCGTGAACAATTTTAAGACTTTTCTCTTTATTTTATTGTCTCAAATGAGCACAAAAAATAATGAAAAGAAAAAAGAAGAAAACTTTTCCAAACTTCAACATTTCTTCCTGAACTTTCTCATAAAAATGTCGTCAAAAATAAAAAGAAAATATTTTCTTTTCACTTCTTTTTATAAAGGGGAGTGTGGAAACATCGAAGAAAAAAAAAGTCTTAACCGTTGTGGGGTCGCAAGAGGTGAAAAAGTTCTTGCCTCATTATCGGTGAACGTCCTCGAGAGGGGAAAGTTGTCCAAAAATTTTCTTCTTGAGAAGAAAGAAAAAAGTTTTACATCATAGAGATGAAAAATTTTCTTGTCGACAGCAAACGAGTGAGCAATCATAAATCTGCAAATTATTTTCAATTGAACGGTCCAAGCGAATAGCAAGCGAAAAGCAAGGAAAAAAACATGACAAGAACACTTATGAAAAAATGTTTTTCTCTTCTTCAGCATATTGGTGATTAATTGTTATCAGATGGGGATTTTTTTTTTCCCTTCTACGCTTCCCACTCATAAGTTTCTAGAGGCACTTTTTTTTGGTGTAAATCTCATTAAAAAGACTTGAAGCCTTAACACGCCTGCCTTGTTCGCTTTCATCGTATTAGAAGTGAGAGTTTCTGATAAATTTGTTTTTCTTTCATCACAGATGGATGATTATTCAGTTCGTCTTTTCTTTCATCTCATCTAAAATCATCAATTTTCCTCTCACTAATGAAGGTTGATTATTGAACATAAGCAACCTCGAGGGAGGTTACAAAACTACCAAAAGTGAATTTATATCAATTTTCTTACTCAAATTTATTTCATTACGACTTCTCGTTTCCAGCTAACTATCGTCTCAGAAAATTCTCACGGAATTCGATTTATGCATGCTATGTGGAGGGGAAAACTTTCTCTGTTGAAAGCTTTCACACACACACACACACACACATTTGGTGAAAAAAAAGTTTTATAGCGCAATGTGTTATAGAATACAATTAAATAAAACGAAATTATCTCCAAACTAGGAAATTCAAATTGGTGAAACACGAAGCAGAATAAATAGAGCACATAACTATTTAGTATTAAAGCTTGATCGCATTCAAACTTGAATTGAATTTTATTTTCCGTGATGAGTTTTTCATCAGAATTCATTTGACTCAGCAGAGCTTCTTCGTTCTCATTTCGTTGTCAACAAAAATTTTATTTGTGTGACGAACTCAAAGCTTTAAGCTTGCTTATTTTTGTACACTTTTTCATGAAAATTAAAGAGCTTATTTCAATTTAAGGTTCGATGTTGATAACTTTGTTCGCCTTTCTCGGATCGTTTGTATAACAAAGGCAATTTTCAATTACGTATTCATCATCTTTTTGTTATTAAATATTACTTCAAGCTAAATAGAAAAGCGAGTTAGAATTAAATTGATGTTGAATGCTTTAAGAACAGCCCACCATACGTTTCAATTCAACCTACGTGTACAAAACTTCTTTTCAAGGTAGAAAAAAAGAAGAAGAAAAATCTCGTTGAAGTTAATTCAGTTGAGAGAATAATTTTATTAAATTTATTCCCAACGAAAGTTGAAATTGAATAATATTTTTTCTTCCTGTCGATTTATTTTTTCGGGAAATTCAATATTTACGGCAGCGGAAAAAAGTTTCAAAGGCACCTGATCCGATTACGTTATTTACGACAACTGTTAAGAAGCATAGCAGAAGGGGAAGTAACGAAATGACGATTTACTCTTCTACGATGAAAATTGGTAGGTAACAATCTTCTCAACCATTCATTATATTTATTCACTAAAAATGTCTTATTAATGACAACAATCAAGCTTATTGAGAAATATTGTCGACATAATCAAAAATTGTAATTATGTATACGAGGAAATGGGCGATAGAGAAAGGCTCATGGCTTAAGATGGAAACGTGCCGAAATGCTGCTACTGTTGAGTAGAATATTAAAATATTGTAAGTTGATGAGAAAACAAGAAGAAAGAAAACTTTTATAAACAAAATTATTCATCATAAAAAGACAAAGCAGAAGTTTTATTCGTGAAGAAGAAAATTCTTTCTTTTATTCGCTGTTTCCTTCACTCATCCGGAATATATAATCTAATGAGAATGCAAAAACTTTGGCAGCGAGAAACATTTTTCATTTAATTCTTATTTCAACAGAGAAATTTTTCATGAACTTTCACTTTCCTTGGATTTAATGGACAAACATTTTTATTTTCGTTTTGGAAGTTAAAAGCAAAAATAATCCCATAATTGGATATCTTCTTTAAAAATATCAGACACCAATGTCGAGCATTCTTTCTCTCAATCGACAGATTGCAAATTTACTACCGACGTCGTTAACTGACGCCACTTGCTGTCGGAATCTTTTAAAAATATTGATAATTTATCCTTCGGATTCTCAAACTCTTCTTCTGATAAATCATAAAATTCAATGCAAAAACCATTTCTCTAGTTGAAATCGATTCTCCCTCAATTCGGATGTAAGTATTAAGAAGAAAAGGATGAATAACGAAATATTTTTTCTTTCCTCCATCAAAACGTTTTCTTTTATGATTTATTCGCATAAACCTTTATTGACATTTTTACTGAACATATGTATGTCGTATGCATAGCATAGTTATTGTTATGTCAAAACTTTATAAGCATATGAACACAACTCTATAAATCAAAGCTTTTTTTGAAATAATTTTGTGTGTTTACCGATTTGTTATTTTTTTCCTTTCTTTCATGAAAGATTTACAACAATCAGATGTTTATTTTAAGATTACAGACACTTTATTGATGAAGAACTTTTTCAAGTGCTTTCAAAGCTTAGGAATCTTATAACGCGTATTTGAGTGTTGTAACCGTGGGATTATTAAAATCAAAAAATTTACGTCTCAAAGCATTTCTTTTATTCAATCGCTCAAAGAAGTTTCTAATTATTAAAATTTAATGAGTTTACTTTTCTAGCTTTTCGAAGTTCACTTGATTTAATATTCTTATCACCTTTTCATTCTTTTCATAAATAGTGAACTTGCTCGAAATGGAAATTAGGTAGTTGATGTTCATCATTGAATTGAAATGGAAGCTATAGAAGAAATCAAGTTGATCACCATGGAAGATTTCACTGAAATGGGAATAAAGTTTTTCAAGCTCATTGGATTGAATTTAGAATCCAGGAAAGAAGTTACAAAAAAACAAAAAGCTTTCATGCTTCTCGGTGAATTTCACTTCTTTTTGTATTTGATTAACATTTTTTTGGTTATTTGTGGGATGCTTGTTTATGCATATAAAAATTTGCATGATATAAAGATCGTTGCCAGAGTGCTACCAAATTTAACTAACGCACCTTACTTGGCTATAAAATTGTTTGTGTTTTACTGGAATCGTGACAAGATAAAAGATGCTTTGAGTATCCTAGAAGAATCATTCCCGAAAACTGAAGAAGACCAATTAAATTTAAATGTTCAAACATATTTGAAAGAAGTGAAAATGTTCGTCAAAGGTTTTGGATTTCTTATCATCGTTCTCAATGTTGTTTTAATTATCTCTCAAGTTGTTTTGATATTTATGTTTGGCACAACGAAACTTCCCTTGGATATTTGGTTGCCATTTTCCTACGAAAATTTTATTATTTTTGGGGCTGTAAGCTTATGGATGGATTGGTTATGTTTAGTTATTTCAGTTGGCGCTTATGCAGCTGATATTATTTTGTTTGCTACAATTTCTCTAACGTCAATGAAATTTGACAATATCAAATGAAAATGTGAGAACATTGGCGTCAATGAGTTGAAAACCGAGGAAGAAATGAAAAACATAAAGGAAATCGTCGAGGAACAAAATGAAATTTTTAAGTTCATTTTCGAATGGGATAAAATTTTCTCATCATTATTTTTATATAATTTTGTTCAAAGTTCAATATTACTTTGTTTTATTATTTTTCTTTTGTCCTCAAGCAGAGACATATCAACTTTTGTTCTTTATTTTCCCTACCTTGGAACAAGTTTGAATCAGATTTTATTGTTTTGCTTTTTGGGACAAAAGATTGCCAACTCAAGCTCATCTGTTGCCATCGGAATCTACAATAGCAAATGGCATCAAATTAAGAGCCTTAAGATTCGAAAAGCTCTCCTTATGATCTTAATTAGATCACAGAAACCAAGTGCATTGACATTGAAAAAGTTTGGCGTTATGTCTTTTGAGACTTTTACGAAGGTGAAATGACGAAATAATTTTTTCAAACATTCACAAGTTTTTATCTTATTTATTCGACAGATTTTGGCTGCTGCTTACTCTTACTTCACTTTGATGAAGAGCTTCATGTAAAAGTTGATACTAATTCATGTAGAATAGTGATAGATGTGATTCAATGTCAAGTCAAATCGTGCCTGACGTCAGGCCTAATGTAATGTATAGAAACAAAAGAAAGAGTAATAAAATATTTATTAAATGTTATTTCAATCAATCTTAAAAACTTCTTCACGACAAATTTCGTGACAAAGATTCTTTCTTTTTCTCACCTTAAAAATTAATAGCTGGATAAGTTTGTAAGTTCCTTTTACTTTCAAAATTATTCTTTTGAATGGATAAAATGATTTTTCTTTCACCTAATCAAATATTTTTATTGAGTTGTTGTTTTTCTTCGTTGTCATAAACGTTTAAAAACAAAATAAAAGCGGTCGAGTTCAATTTAGTTGTGAGAAATCATTGAATCGAAATGGAAGTTACAGAAGAAATCAAGTTGATCACCATGGAAGATTTCACTAAAATGGGAATAAAATGTTTCAAGCTCATTGGATTGAATTTAGAATCCAGGAAAGAAGTTACAAAAAAACCAAAAGCTTTCATGCTTCTTGGTGAATTTCACTTCTTTTTGTTTTTGATTAACATTGGTTTGATTGTTTGCGCGCTGCTTGGTTATGCATATAAAAATTTGCATGATATAAAGATCGTTGCCAGAGTGCTACCAAATTTAACTAACGCACCTTACTTGGCTATAAAATTGTTTGTGTTTTACTGGAATCGTGACAAGATAAAAGATGCTTTGAGTATCCTAGAAGAATCATTCCCGAAAACTGAAGAAGACCAATTAAATTTAAATGTTCAAACATATTTGAAAGAAGTGAAAATGTTCGTCAAAGGTTTTGGATTTCTTATCATCGTTCTCCAAGTTGTTTTAATTATCTCTCAAGTTGTTTTGATATTTATGTTTGGCACAACGAAACTTCCCTTGGATATTTGGTTGCCATTTTCCTACGAAAATTTTATTATTTTTGGGGCTGTAAGCTTATGGATGGGTTGGATTTGTTTCGTTGTTACAACTGGCACTTATGCAGCTGAAATTATTTTGTTTGCTACAATTTCTCTATCGTCAATGAAATTTGATAGTATCAAACGAAAATGTGAGAATATTGGCGTCAATGAGTTGAAAACCGAGGAAGAAGAATTGACAAACATAAAGGAAATCGTCGAAGAACAAAATGAAATTTTTAAGTTCATTTTCGACTGGGATAAAATTTTCTCGTCATTATTTTTATATAATTTTGTTCAAAGTTCAATATTACTTTGTTTTATTATTTTTCTTTTGTCCTCAAGCAGAGACATATCAACTTTTGTTCTTTATTTTCCCTACCTTGGAACAAGTTTGAATCAGATTTTATTGTTTTGCTTTTTGGGACAAAAGATCGTCAACTCAAGCTCATCTGTTGCCATCGGAATCTACAATAGCAAATGGCATCAAATTAAGAGCCTTAAGATTCGAAAAGCTCTCCTTATGATCTTAATTAGATCACAGAAACCAAGTGCATTGACATTGAAAAAGTTTGGCGTTATGTCTTTTGAGACTTTTACGAAAGTAAGACGACGAAATAATTTTTTAAACAATAATATTTTTATCTTATTTATTCAACAGATTTTGGCTGCTGCTTACTCCTACTTCACTTTGATGAAGAGTTTCATGTAAAATTTGATATAAATTCATGTAGAATAGTGATTCAATGTAATGTAGGGTAGTCAAATCGTGGCTAAAGTTAGGCATGACGTCACGGTGAGAACCCTTGATTCAATGTGATGTGTAAAAAGTAATAAAATATTTATTAAATGTTATTTCAATCAATCTTAAAAACTTCTTCACGACAAATTTCGTGACAAAGATTCTTTCTTTTTCTCACCTTAAAAATTAATAGTTGGATAAGTTTGTAAGTTCCTTTTACTTTCAAAATTATTCTTTTGAATGGATAAAATGATTTTTCTTTCACCTAATCAAATATTTTTATTGAGTTGTTGTTTTTCTTCGTTGTCATAAACGTTTAAAAACAAAATAAAAGCGGTCGAGTTCAATTTAGTTGTGAGAAATCATTGAATCGAAATGGAAGTTACAGAAGAAATCAAGTTGATCACCATGGAAGATTTCACTAAAATGGGAATAAAATGTTTCAAGCTCATTGGATTGAATTTAGAATCCAGGAAAGAAGTTACAAAAAAACAAAAAGCTTTCATGCTTCTCGGTGAATTTCACTTCTTTTTGTATTTGATTAACATTTTTTTGGTTATTTGTGGGATGCTTGTTTATGCATATAAAAATTTGCATGATATAAAGATCGTTGCCAGAGTGCTACCAAATTTAACTAACGCACCTTACTTGGCTATAAAATTGTTTGTGTTTTACTGGAATCGTGACAAGATAAAAGATGCTTTGAGTATCCTAGAAGAATCATTCCCGAAAACTGAAGAAGACCAATTAAATTTAAATGTTCAAACATATTTGAAAGAAGTGAAAATGTTCGTCAAAGGTTTTGGATTTCTTATCATCGTTCTCCAAGTTGTTTTAATTATCTCTCAAGTTGTTTTGATATTTATGTTTGGCACAACGAAACTTCCCTTGGATATTTGGTTGCCATTTTCCTACGAAAATTTTATTATTTTTGGGGCTGTAAGCTTATGGATGGATTGGTTATGTTTAGTTATTTCAGTTGGCGCTTATGCAGCTGATATTATTTTGTTTGCTACAATTTCTCTAACGTCAATGAAATTTGACAATATCAAATGAAAATGTGAGAACATTGGCGTCAATGAGTTGAAAACCGAGGAAGAAATGAAAAACATAAAGGAAATCGTCGAGGAACAAAATGAAATTTTTAAGTTCATTTTCGAATGGGATAAAATTTTCTCATCATTATTTTTATATAATTTTGTTCAAAGTTCAATATTACTTTGTTTTATTATTTTTCTTTTGTCCTCAAGCAGAGACATATCAACTTTTGTTCTTTATTTTCCCTACCTTGGAACAAGTTTGAATCAGATTTTATTGTTTTGCTTTTTGGGACAAAAGATTGCCAACTCAAGCTCATCTGTTGCCATCGGAATCTACAATAGCAAATGGCATCAAATTAAGAGCCTTAAGATTCGAAAAGCTCTCCTTATGATCTTAATTAGATCACAGAAACCAAGTGCATTGACATTGAAAAAGTTTGGCGTTATGTCTTTTGAGACTTTTACGAAAGTAAGACGACGAAATAATTTTTTAAACAATAATATTTTTATCTTATTTATTCAACAGATTTTGGCTGCTGCTTACTCCTACTTCACTTTGATGAAGAGTTTCATGTAAAATTTGATATAAATTCATGTAGAATAGTGATTCAATGTAATGTAGGGTAGTCAAATCGTGGCTAAAGTTAGGCATGACGTCACGGTGAGAACCCTTGATTCAATGTGATGTGTAAAAAGTAATAAAATATTTATTAAATGTTATTTCAATCAATCTTAAAAACTTCTTCACGACAAATTTCGTGACAAAGATTCTTTCTTTTTCTCACCTTAAAAATTAATAGCTGGATAAGTTTGTAAGTTCCTTTTACTTTCAAAATTATTCTTTTGAATGGATAAAATGATTTTTCTTTCACCTAATCAAATATTCTTGTTAAGTTGTTATTTTCTTTGTTGTAAAAGAATAAAGAAAAGCGGTCAAGTTCGATTTAGTTGTCAGAAATCATTGAGTTAAAATGGAAGTTTTGAGAGAAGACGAAATCGGATCATTTCAAATGGAAGATTTTACAGAATTTGGAATCAAGTTTTATAAACTTATCGGATTGAATATGATTCCGCAAAGACGAACAACATGGAAGGAAAAATTGTTTCAGATCTTCAAAAGCTTTCTTTTTGTTACTTTCTTTCTCAATATTTTCTTGATCGAGGCATCTATGATGATTTTCGTCTTTAAAAACTCAAATGATTTGTCATTAATTGCAAGAGTTTTACCTCATGTCATCAACTTGCCATACGTTGTTATAAAAATTCTTTATCAATACATCAATCGTGATAAAGTTGCAGAAATCCAAGGAAGTTTAAATGAAATTTTCCCCAAGACTAGAAAGGAACAAAATATTTTCGGTACCAAAAATTATGTCGATGAATTAAGAAAGTTTACAAAGATTTACGGTACAGTGCTTGTTGTTGGATTTACTGCTTTCATCTTTAAAGGAATTGTAATTTTATTCATTTCGAAAACTAATGAGTTGCCTACAAGTTTGTGGACACCTTTTCACTATGAGCGTGGAATTGCGTTCATCCCATTTTTGCTGTGGATTTATTACATTGTGTGGACAAAAATAATTGGATCTTTTGCAGCAGAAATCACACTTTACACCATGGTTACATTATTTTCTATGAGTTTTGATATTCTAAGGTACAAATGTGAACATATAGAAATGGGTGAATCAAAACTTGAAGACGATGAACTCAAACAAATTAAAGACATTATAATTGAACACAACAAGATTCTGGAATTAAGCAAAGAATGGGAAAACATTTTCTCAACTTTTTTTCTGATAAATTTTCTTCAGAGTTCTTTTTTTCTCTGCTTTATTGTGTTCTTAATGCTATCAAATGGTGGAATGATGTTGAATTATGTTCCATATTTATTTGCTGCTTTGAGTCAAACTATATTAATTTGTTTCTTAGGACAAAAAATGATCGACTCAAGCTCATCTGTTGGCATCGGAATTCTCAACACTGAATTGTTTAATTCTAGAAATACTAAAATGAAGCAAGCCATTTTATTGATTGTGTTGAAATCACAAAAGCCAAGTGTATTGACAATGAAAAAGTTTGGAGCAATTTCTATCGAAACATTCACAAAGGTAATTGAAAAATATTTTTAATTGCACTCAAACTAATCTCAACATTTAATTGAACAGATTCTGGCAGCAGCTTATTCATACTTCTCATTACTGAAGGGGTTAATATAAATGTTTTGAATGTTTATAATTACGGTGATAATTCTACCTCAATTTACATGTCTAAATATTTTGCACATGAACTTCATGTTATTAATGTCAAAAATAATCCAAGATTAATGCTATGATATGTGAAAGTAGACGAGTAAATAATATTGAAGTTAAGCTTTTGTAATTGACATTCACAACACGTCATTTTCTACTTGAGTATGTAATTTTAATTAGTGATAAATATTTGTCAAAGCGTTAATCAATATTTGAAAGGATATTAAAAAAATTTCGTTTTAATGTGGCAATTCACAATTTGGCATTCAACCTTTAAGAACTTTTCTAATTCCATGATAGATAATGTGGTTCAGGCTGAGTTCTCAAACTCTGAAGTTTAATTTAAAATTCTTGACACATCTCTTGCAACAGCTTACTCATATTTCATGTTATTGAGACAATTCAACAGCAAATAAATCTCATTCATCATCTTTCACCTTCCTGTAGTGACATGAGACAAAACATGTCATGAATTAAGAATGAAAAACTTTCTCTTGGATATATGAAATGGAATCCAATTTAATATTTATTATCTAACTAAATTCAAAGCTTCACACATTTTTGAGTTACAGTTAGGAATTCAGCTGAAAATATTAAATTTATGTGAGGTTTTCCATTTGCTTGGCAAACATAAAAATGCCTGGATTAATGTTTAGTTACAAATATTAAAAAAACCGATGGTGAAACCGGTCAAAAACAACTTTTTTCATATTCCAACCATATCAAGAATAACTTTTATCTGAATATTTTTTAATTTTAAGCTTCCGCTTATGTTTTCAAACACAAACTTTTATTGCTATCACTCGCTTCGAATTATGAGAAAAGTTTAGACAAGGGAAAAAAAAACTTCACCGCATGTGAGGGTTAAAATCGAGGCAAGGTATCAAGGGAACGCTTTACAATGTACTTAATATACTTGAATTAACAATTTCATTAACGCAAGGAAAAAAAATTAAATTTAAGTGAAAAACTTGGCAAGAAAAGGAGAAACTTGGAAAAATTCAATTTGTTTTCATGATGAGACATAATGCTAACTTTGGGAATAAGTAATTAACGTGGAAAATCTGACTGTAGGCAAATGAGAGTTTTGAGAGTGAAATTTTTTGTCCTTTTTTTCTTTCTTTTTGTTGAGAAGTTATGAAAGTTTTAGAACTTTGACTTTGTCATTTCATGGTCACGACATGAAAGCATCTTGAGAAGATTCACCATAAAAAGTTTTCCAAGTTTGTCTTCTTCTAACGATGATGGCATTTATATCGTCCACATAATATTTATTTAGGAAAATCACAACTCAAACTGTTTATCTTACTGCCATCTTAATCACTTTCAAGCATAAAGATACTTCAGCAGCTACAATAATTAATTCAACTGAACAGCTTTTCTTATGATTTGATTTCTCCTGGGAAGTCATAAAAACAGAAAAATCTGTGAGAAAATATTTTTACATCAACTAAAATGAAACAAAAGCAAAAAAGCATCGTTTGAGCAACTTTTTGAAGTGAAGTCCTTAAAGCCACTCAGACAGTTTGTTTACCATTCATGAGGGCATTTAAAAGCAGACTCAAGGATCAAAGTGAAACTTTTCGTCTTACACTTCAGTTGTACAACAACAACAACAAAAACAGAAAAAAATGTTTTAGAAAGTAAGAAAAAAAAGTTTACACTCAAGTAATTTTCACCCTAACGAGTCGGAAGCATAGCAAGAGAAAAGTTGGCTTCTTCAATCTGCTGTAGCATTAAACAGCTACTTTATTCTCTCTCCTTCGGTGTGAAAAAGGCAGAGATTTAATAAAAAATTCACGTGGGGCAAGAGTGAGGATCGAAAGGTAGTCGAAGATAGATCCGAAGACGAGAAACTTTCTTTTTTCTTTTTCTGTTGTTCCGCTTCTCTTTTTGATTGAAATTAGAACCTTTTCGGGCAGAGATTACTTCAAACGCTCAGAAGGGTTTTGACTAAATTCTCTTCACCGAAGAAGAAAAAAAAGGATCGAAATAAGATTATGACAAGGTCTTTAAAAACTGTCAATGCGTGAAACTGAAATAGTCAATCAAGTCTATTGAGGGTGAGATTGAAATGCTTTATGAATATTTATAGTTAAAGGAGATGAATAGATGAGAATGTGAAATATTTATGTGTATCATAAACATTACCTCTCAATAAAAATTAATTTCATATCCGCACTCATATTTACGGATGGAGATAACTTAATAAATCATGAATCAATAAGTCGTGTATTACTTGTCTACGAACTTTTATTTCTTTCTTCCCTCCCTTTTTTCCTCTTCTCGATGAAAAATTCATAAGATTTCACAGAATTTTCTTTTTTATCCACATCTCGAATTATTTATTCGAAACGATGTTGTTTCATCAATCACATTTTGCCGGAAAAGAGTTTCGTAAGAGCCGGGAGCATCTCGTCTGTAATAAATTGTGTTTTGATTGAAGCAGACACATAATTTAGGGAATTACTCATACATAAATTTGTTGAAATGTGTTTTTGATCAAATTGCTATGTTTGCTTTCGAAAACGAATTTTCTTGGATGATTTTGTTTACGTATGACTTTATGCTGAATGCCTTTTTCTTTTAACTTCCTTCATTCATCTTCTTCTAGACTAATGACATCAAAAAGACAAAAGTGGCAGTTTAAATTGAAATTTCATTGTTACATTTGATGGGAAGGAAAATTTGATCGGTAGCAATTATTTTCCTGCTTCCATCGATACGAGAATGAAGAAGACGTTCAACTTTTCTAACTTTCATTTGATTCAGTTGATTGCAGTTAATACACAGCTCATTTAATCATTCAACAAACTTTCGCCATTAGATTAAACATTCATAAAACTCATGATAAATTGGGTGTGCTAAAACTTTTTTTTATATTTTGTTGATGCTGCGTGTGCGTGTGTATTCGCATGAGATATAAACGCCGTTTTAATTAATTGAGCTTACCATAATTAAATTAAATCTTGACGCTTCACACTCCCCGCATTATTAAGCTTGAAAAATGATATTCTTCTCGCAAAGATGCTGTGATGCTTGAAAAGATTAACATTTTCAAATCATTAAGCACACGCTTTGAAATCTCTCGTATGATGCTTTCGCATTTGAAACAACGCTTCTTCTCATCACCATAAGTAAGAGCAAACATAAACAATGACAAAATATCATAACTCGTGCTTACCAGAATCATTTTCATTTAACGGAAAGTTTCGTTGTTTAGCTGGCTGAAGAGAACAGGCGGATGAAAATTTATGCGTTTATTTTAAAATGTTTATTCTCGCATTTGGCGATGTTTAATTTGCGTCGAAGCATCATGAGCGAAATTATGACGAATAATTCATGCAAATTAATTCCTTTTTGAATGACTTCACATTGCATACATAAATATTTATGTTTTTTAATGCAATTAATTTTTAATATCGTCACACATCATTAAATAAAAGTTTTCGTTTGTTTGTTCGTCGTCGACTTATATTTAAACTAAAAAGAAGCTAAAGGGATATTGTTTTGTTCTCAAAAGCTTCCGAATAAAATGCCAAAGAGCTTTCAATATTAAAATAGGATTAAATGACTCCAACATAAAGGATGTTGCAACTTTTGTATATCCTTGCAGTTTACAAAATATGCACAATGAAAATCAATTTAATTTTTAGTGATTTCCTTGTTTTTCTTCTGTGTGTGTGTGTGGGTGTGCGGTGCAAAATTCGCATTAAAGTCCGGGAAAGCCAGAAACTTTTATGATTTATTATTGAATGGAAAATTCAAAGTTTTTATTTTGGAATTTTTTGGTTTGTTGTTTCAACATTGAAAAATCAGAAAATTTTCGCTTAGCAAAAAACTAGAATCGACCGAGAAAAGCTTTTGAATCCACTCATGCTGCGAATTTCTAGCAACAAACAAGAAAAAGAATAGAGAAGCGTTAAAGAAATGAAAAATGCTGAGGCCATTAAACAAAATTTATTATCCATGAGAAAATCCTTTTTTTTCTAAAACAAGATGGAATACAGAAAGGAAAGATGGAAAATTGCGTGTTATAAATAAATGTTTGTGGCAATATTTTATATCATTCTCATTTAAAGTGGGTCGTGCGATAAACCCGATGATAAAAAAATGAAGGAAAGTTGAAAAGAAAATTCCAGAACAACTTTCATTTCGTGTTTGTCAAGCTAGTCCTCTACATCGTGCGGAAAGTTATTTCAAGGCATTTCTTTTCGCTCTTGAACAATTAAACTCCGTTATTTATCATGCTCTAAAGCGACGCCAATTAAGGATATTAAGTTACTCTTTTTTCCTTGTACATCTACCAAACATGGATCGGTGTCGACTCTTGAGTAAAAGTTGATAACAAGGGAGAAAATGCTCGGCAATTTAATGCCGACGAGAAATAATCCTCCATTGATAAAGTGTTGAATGAATGAGAAACAATTTATCATTTATATGAATAGAAACTTCCATTCTTACGACTATTGAACGAAAGATGAAATTCTACTACATTAAGGATTTATTTTCTGTTTATACGATCCTTATATTTATTCGATGAATGGGAAGGAAGAGATTTTAGTCTCGTTGCAAAGAAAGGTTCATAGGAAAGCAATTTGTCATTAGTCTTAAAACGAATTCCAAATAAAAAACAAGAAGAGAAATCTTTTTACAAATAAGCTTTTGTGTTTGCCACCCACAAAAAAGAAAAAGAAAAAACAGCAAAAGACATGAAAAACTGATAAGAAGTAGAAAAAAATTGAACACAATCGATGACAATTTATAATGAATCGGTTTTTGCTATCACTCAATTCAATCCATGATATAAGAATTGTGTGATTTTAATTGCATGAATAACAGATAATTTAGCAATGACGATATGTGTATATAAAATTATTGATGAGCTTAATAAATGTTGGCTTCAACAATGTCATCAACAGTTCATTATTCATGTGTCGTGATAAAACCAGATTTCATTTATCGTTACATCAAAACTTTTCACTGCTCCCAGCAATAAATTGACACAACATGATGTTAGTGTTACACATTAAATAAACTCCTGAAGGGTATTGGGAGGATTGAAAAAAGTTTCCTGACTTATCATTATGTTCATTTGCATTTCATATCAATTTATTTTGTCTCAGAATTCCTTCAATTTATTTGATTTATTTGTACGTGTTTGAATAACACTTTCATTGAATTTATATCCCAATTGCCTCTGTCAGGAGCGATTACAATAATTCAATTTCAGCTTGTGCATGATAAATAAAATATATCTATGTTAGCATAACATAACATAACACAGCATACACATATAGCATAAAGAAACACATTTAAAGTAGGATTGGAAATGATAATAGCTTTTACTTATGATCTTCGAACGATAACAAACGACAAAAGCTTATAAGAAACACACAAGCACAAGCAATTGTCAAAGAGAGGGAGGAAAAATACAATCAGAAAAATGGATAGAGTTGAGTCAATATTCCAAATGGAAATATCATATGCATAGCATTCGATATGTGAATATACATAAATATATGAGGACATGTGTAGACTTAACGGAGCGTAAGAAAGCTGAGCGTGGAATAAAAAGGCAATGCCATTGATGCTATAAAAAAAAGAACGAGCATCGTAATAGTTTACGATTATAACTGGAAGTTTAATAAATAAATTCGAGAACAATATGAGAGTGAATGAAAATCCACAGGCTGTCATCACATGTTTGTTGATTGAAGAACAAAATATTAATAATAATGAAAACATTTTGAAATTCAAAATTTATCCTTCAATCTTGTTGCTTTAAAAAATTATTTACTTATTGTGTGTAGGTGTCTTACGGTCGTGGTTATTTAATTGAAATGTCATTTAGTAATTTTGGGATCAGAATCAGAAATTCCATGCTAAGCTTCTTGTAATCTTCGTTTATGCCTCGGTAAACGCTTCTTTGTCTCTCCTCCCAGTCTTTTTCATTTTTTTTAACAAAATAAACCAAGAGATTATATCTGATAACTTTACTTTCATGTGGTTAGGGTGGTGAAGGGAAAATTGGATGCCACAATAAATTAATGAAAATTATGTACCCGCTCTGAAAGCTCGGCAAATAGAAACACTAAACGAAGTATTTTATGATTGTTAATTTATTGCAATGTTTTCCCTAGATTTTCCCTGCTTCTTGTGTGTAAAGTAGCATGAAAGTTGCTTGCTTTTGCCAAGTCATAAAATATTTTATGTGATAATTCTAAATATGCGTTGAAAAGTAAAAATTCTCTCCAGTCTTTAAGCCAAGTGTTTGTTTTAACCAATTAAACCTGTTAAGGTTTAACAACATTTAGAATGAAAACAGTTGGAGATAAAAATAATGAAAGGTAAGGTAAGTTAAGAAATAAATATAATTGAGAGTTTTCCTAATGAAAACCAGATACAAACAAGACTTGTTTTCAAAATAAGTAAATAAATATCGGAAGGAATCTAAAACCATATTCATTCACATTAACCAAATTCTGACATGATTTTCATCAAGTTTGTAAACATTCCAAGTTGGAATGCGGTTTTAAGGACATGAGATGCATTAATTGGCTCAAGTTTTCTGCTTTTATGGAGCGGAAAAATGAAAAGCATTAAAAATATTGCGCAAGCGAATGTCGTACCCAAGATTTATTGAGTTGAAAAATTTCTCTAAACGCTTTTACTACTTCCTAACGCCGTTGTTGCCAGCACAAAAAAAATCAAAGATCGCTTCAAAGCCCCTACCACAACGCCCGATTCATGTGTAAGACTGAAAATTGGAAGGGATTTAAATAACATTAACTTTTTTTCTTCTTCCTCTCCATCTTCCATTGCAATCGTGAAGTATTTTTTTTCGCATAAAGAACAAAAGATTTTCGAGATTTTCGCCTCGATGAAGGCAAAAGCAGAAGGATTTAGATATGAGAATAATTTAATCAAATTTTGAACATATCATTATGTTTTTATGAGTATGCTTTGCCTTTTTTTTAACTCTACCACATTGGCAGTGTTTTTCTGTCTGACATGATAAATGAATTTGTTTTGAAACACATGAATACATTCGTTTCGTATTCTGCTGATCTCAAACACGAATAGGATTTGATTTTTTTTTACTTGAATTCATCTTCGTTTCCTTTTCTCCCCCCTAGCAGAAATTTGCATTTCAATCATTTTTTTTACTTTATTTTTTCTTTTATGTATGTAAATTTTTACAACCATCAGTACATGCTAAACATGAGCGAGTAAGTCAATGCTATTACTGAGGCTATTTCATTTTACTAGATAACATCAATTTGGAATGCCTTGATAAACGTAAAATGACTCGTGAAACAATCGATCGAAAATATCAAAACATTTGCCAGATGTCTCAATGTCGGTGTTGACTTTAAGTACTGAAATTGTAAATAAATATGTCAGAGAGGAAATTCAACAAGAGACATTACAACAAATGAGAAAAGCTTTCAAGGATTTGAACAATTATCTCACTACAACGTCAATCTAAATAATTGAATGAATGACATTGAATTCGTCTCCCATTAAATGAGAGAAAGGAAAAAAAGCTTTAATTATATTTTCGCTGTAAAACTTTCTTAGCTACGAATTTTATTGGCTTTTCTTATTTTCCTTCTTGTTCTTCTCGTTATCTTATATCAGTTCCAAGAAGAACGAGAGTAAAGAGTAGGGAAAGAAAACGTCTTCCTCATTCCCCGCTGCCTTAAAGCTCAGCAGAAAAAGAAAACTTTGGTCATAAAATGTCGTCACAAATCTCGTTTTCCCTACGCTTGGGTTTTGTCCATTAAATTGAGTCTTTTTCTGTCTCTGTTTAGCTTTTCATTCTTTTCTTCTTACAGAAGTTTATAAACCAGAAAAATGGTGAAAAAACGAAGGAGATCAAGAAAAGTTGTTACCAAACAGTTGAAGGCGATGAATCGAGAAAATCCCTGTTTATATCAGAAATTAGAACATCGAGAACAGTTCTGCACCAGCAGCAATAGCAACACACCATGAGAGAGATGGAGACGTAAAAAAAAATTGAAAACAATTTAACATCGGGGACTATGAGAAGGCGAAAGCTCTCTACATAATTTTCAGCAACCATCGCCGAGACAAATTATGTCGAAAGGAGGAAAGAATTAACTAAATTGAAAGCGACACTGCAGGGGAAAAATAAATTCACTGGTATTTAGCCAGAAAAAAATACAAAGAGAGTTGTTTTAAGCGCTGTCCAACAAGAAGAACGCTTCGAGATTTATGGTGTGGAAGAGAAGTGAGGAGAGAGAAGAAATAATATTTGACAAGCTTTCATAGTCGATATGGTTAAAAAGCAACATTCTCGCTCAATTTCTCAATACGTATCCTCTACATCAACTTTAATTAACGAAAACATTGTTAAAGCCGGATAAAGGAAGATTATATTTATTGTTATTTTTGGGGATGAAACTACATACACAAAACAAAACAACAAGAGCCGAATACAATGACTTCCATTTCACGAAAATCGAGAAGAGTCACAGAACCAAATCTGTTATTATATGTCGTATTGGTTGAAGAGATATTAGTCTGAGAAGAAAATTAAGCTTCAGCAAGCATTCACAAGACTTGACTTTCCATAGCAAAACAAAAAAAGATAAAACAACAATTTATTTTTATTCACTGAAATCTGTTTGGGATGGAGGCCCAGAACACAACAAACGACACGATAAAAGCTCATGACAAAAAAATTCTTTCTCAGTGATTTTCCGGATGTTTTGTGGTTTATCACTAATTAATTGCTTTATATATGACACGACTCTTGGCATTGCTTTAGAGTGACTCTGATCTTATATGATTTGTGTTAATGTTGTGAACATGAAACTTTATTGCTTGATTTGAATTTGTTTACAGCATTTCAGTTCATTGTTATGGACTCTACTTAATGTAGATTGCATTTTAAAACTTTTGGAACAAAAGGGAAAGTTTGAAATTGGTAAATAAATCACAAACAGCAAAAGCATCTTGATGCAACTAGTACAAATAACGATAAAGATCATGACGTAATTTAATCGTGTTCCCCCTCAAAAAAAAAAAGAAAAACATTTGTCAACGAACTCCTAAATTTGTGAAGTATTTCACAGCACGCCCGCCCCAACCATCCCCTGTCTGGATAAATCCTTTCGTCTCCCATTTCCATCTCTTTTTCCTTATCGCAAAGCTTTACTGTTCATACACTTAAAGGCTTCGAAGCATGTAAATATTTGTCGAGCCATAAACATTTGCACAAGGCTGAGTGAGAGAAAATTCATCAATCTGATGATGAAAATTTATTTTATGACTTTATGATCCTTGAAAGTTAAACTCGTCGTCATCGGAATCATTTGAGATCAATGTTGAGTCTTGTTACGAAACTTTTTATGGATGAATAATGTGAGATTGGAATCTACAAGCGTCGCAAACTTTAGAAGGTTTAAGTGCGCTCGTATGAAGGTATTAAATTATTGCCATAAAAGTTTATATTTCCTTAAACTATAAAAACATTTTTGTTATATGTGGGATGGTGTCAACAGTGCACATACCGAGGAGTAAAGTAATGCCGAGACCAAAGAAAGGCGTCAAGATTCATGTGATATCGTTGATGTTGTAGCGTAGGAGAAAATGTGGCAAAATTCCCTTTTTAAACTCATTCATCATGAAAAATGTGTTAACTTGTGGCGTGTTTTTTTGGTGGTTACCGTGCAAATAAATTAAGTTGAAATCATGATGTTAAAATGTTGGAAATAAACTCAAACATCTCTTAAAGTGTTCAGTTATGGTTTTAAACATGTTAATCTATCCTCGTCTAAGCGAGTATCATTTAAAAACTGTTGAAGCGTTGAGGGACGCAAGAGAGCTTGCACAAAACTTTTGCATTTCTATCAAAGCTTTTCACGTGTCTTCATAACTTTGAGGTGAGATGTAAAATGTATTTTAATAAACTACGTGCTTGAATGTCTTGTCTTGGATATGATGAACGTGAGCAAGACGAAAGAAGAAAACTTTCATTTCATTGTTTCAGGGTAGATGTGAAAGTAGAAACAAGAAGAAGAATTGTTCTTCCTTTCTTGTTTTCTTTTTCTTGCTGTTATGATGTGAACACATGAAAAGCATTTTCGATGCGGATGAGAAAGGAAAACCGAGAAGGGAAAAAGTTTATTTGCATCTATTTCGCACGGGCAAAGCATGTTGTGAATACATAACCAGCGTTTCTTTTGCTTCTCACCCAATCTCTTGAAATGAACACTCTGGGGCATAAATCTTTAGTTAAATTGAATATTTGCCATTGCAAGCGCGTAAAGTAGGCCTTGTTAACTTTTATCGAAAGGTTTTATTGATGATGAACTTTACTTCCCTTGAATTTTATATCTCAATTGCTTGTCTTGTAAATTGCTTGTTATGATTACACAAGTAATCGCTTGTCACTGATTAAATGCTTTCTGTTCTTTTTATTAGTATTAGATTTGAATCTCCATTTAGAGGATTTCATAGAAACTTTCTCTGTCATTCAAGTTCGAAGTCCGCATTAAGGAATTAAAAGGTTCAATTAAATTAATTATTGCTATAAAATGGGTTTTTAGGAGACGGAAGAAAAGGATTTTTTTATTGCCAATTAAAACAGAACGAAAACAAAAATTGCTTTGTTTGTTTTACATGACAAGAAAACTAAACACAAAATTTGTAAAGTGGAAAGCTTCAGTGTATGTAAGGGTGCCAAATATAAATCCATTTTAAAGCTAAATAAAATGTTTTGCTGTTCTTTGTTGAAACTCAATTCAAAGCCAAAAAGCCTCAAAAGCGCTTGATGGAGTTGAATGAAAGAATAATCAGGTTTCTCCTCACAAGCTTTTATACTATGAAAGTTGTTTTTTATTTTCCGAAAAGGCCGAAATGATTTCCTTTTTTCTTTCAATTCCTTTCCTCATCTTGTTTGAAATCAATAAATTTATTTGAAGAGGTTTTTCAATTTGAAAATGAAATTGTTTACAGGTTTCATTCATTTTCCTGGAAGTCATGATTGAGAAATCTAATTTTGGACTCATTTTCTTGTTTTTGCAGTGATTTTATTCAAGAACTCACGTTTCTTAAATTTAAGACAACTTTTTAGGTCAAAGCGGAAAATCTTTTTCATTTTCATCCAATCTGAGAATTGATCTCCATTGATGTGTCACACAAGGAGCAGACCTCTTCATTTCTGAAAGGTTTCCTGAGCTTTTGACATTACAATTTCATATCGATTATGAAATCAATGTCAAATGAAAGTTCTCAGGAAAAATGTTTCTTCTTTTCATTTTTTCTCAACCTTCGGTTTTCAATGTTTACATCTCACTAAGGGAAGAGGCAAATAAATGATTGCCATCACGTAGCCACGTTTACTGCCAAATATTTACAGAAATAAACATTTTTATTATAATCATGTTCCACGGTAACCAACAGCAACATTGAAATCGCAGCGTGCCAAAGCAAAAACAGAAACAGTCGAGCAAATAAAAATGAAGTTATTATCTTTTCTTACGTTTGCAACAAAAAAGTGCTTCAAGAGGAAATTATAAGCGGGAAACGAATCAAAAGAAAGTACATAAACGAAAGCTTTTCTAACCATTGCAGTCGTATTCACATGTGGTTGAATTAAATTATTTTTCTCTGAATTTTTACGGTTAAAAAATTTACTTTTAGATAGAAAAAGGCATTTTAATACACATAATAATCGTATTGTATGTATATGAATTGTTGTACCAGCAGACAAAAGCTTAACCTCATGCACGGTAACTCAACACAACAGAACACAAAGGGAAAATATTTTATAAACTCTTATTTCGTATTCAAATGGTGGTTTATGTAATTTAAAGATTATTTTACCCATTGAAAAAGACTATGTAGGAGTTGTAAATTTAAATTTCGTTCTTCTGCATTAAATATCTATGACAATTCATGCAACAAATATCTTTATTGTACAAAAGAGAAAGAGAGATAATACTTAATGCGACTTTAGTAGAAATTATGATCTTCAATTTGAAACAGATGAGAGTTTCATGCCATTAGCAGCTATTTTTGACATCAAAGAACATTCATAATAACTTGCATAATAACTTTTCCAGAGGGTTTTAAAATCTTTAAAAACATTTTGAATACACCTTTAAAAGAAATTTTAAACAACATAAAATAAAGCATGTGAATAAATTGATATTCATGTTTACTTTAAACGAAGTTTTATTGTCGAAATTTATTGATTTCCTTGTTTGAAAATATCTTCATAATGGCTGATTAACAACTGACGAATTCTCTTAAAAGAATCTTAAAAAGAATCAATAAAATTCTTTATTGCAACATGATTGTATCGATACTTCCTCGATGAAATATCTTTTGTTGTTGAAGGAACAATGAATAACAATTTAAAAACAAATTTTCCTCACATTGACATTCACGCCATCTTTGAAGAAAATGTTTGCTAACACGTTTATGATGTACTCAGTCATCATTTCCGATGGTACGTTCGCGCGGATTTGACCTCCCATACAAAATGTACAGAGAAAATTTGTCCACGGACGAGATTTTGTCCGTGCACGAGATTTCCGATGGCAGCGCCGCCAATGATTAATTTTTTAAAATTTCTCCGTGTCAGATAATCGATCGTAGCGCCGCCACTGAAAACTTGAGTTTTCCTCACTCCCTGATAAAAAAATCACTCCCTGATATTGCGATGGCAGCGCCGCCAATGGTTGCATAATGAACTATCTATCAGTTTAATCAAGTTTCTAAGGAAAATTGAAATTTTCATGAAAGCTTCCAGGAAAATATTTTTCATGTTATTTTATCCGTTACGAAAATAAGAAAATTTCTATTTTAAATATTTACATTTAACAAGAAGTCCTCAAAGCTTATAATTAATGCACAAACATTTGCTCAACTTTCTCTTTTCGCTGTTGCAAAAAAAGTTTTAGATTTAAATGTACGTTAATGAAGAGAGAAAAGTTAACATTTTTATATTATTTTCTGATTTTATTTCCGAAGTTTTTATTAAGTTTCTTTGTCAAGTCTTCAGGATATAAATATATGTGTATAATGATATGCCTTTAAAAAAATGTTACATACATCAGAATAAATGTTTGTCTTCATAAAACCTTAAGCATGCTTTAATATTTCATGCAGCGGCAAAAATCACATGTGAAGAGTGGGAGGGATAAGAAACAACAAAAATAAAAAGAAAAAAGTAGAATATTTTGCATTTTGTCTTGCAAAAGCCTTGAAAATAAAATTCTTGAAGAAGGAATTCAGAAAATTACGTAAAAATATATTTTTACTCCTTAGCTAAATAACGCGAGATGAAAGAAAAAGTAAAGCGTCGTTTCTTTGAAAAATTTATGATATTAAAAGAAAGAGCCAAGAACAAAGCAGATATTTAGGTATTTTAGCATAATATCAAATCATTTATCCTCCACGATATTTTTGAAATTGGAGGATAGAAGAGAAACATTCACGGTGATAATTTGTCGGTTGTTGAAAGAATAACAAAACACGACTCAAGGACTTTCAAATTGACATCCTTGAGAGATCTTGCAGTTTATAATAATAATAAAATGAAATATATTCATGAGTATTAAAATCTGTTTTGTTGTTTCTTCCTTCACTTCATACTTATGGGTAATCGATTGGAATAAAAACATCAAATAAATTTGATTTTTAGGGAAAATTTAACAGAGAGAATCTTTTTTGAAAGGTCACGTAATTTTCTCGCAACTGCTTTCATTAACTTTTAACATCGTAAGTTAAACGTCGATAAAAGAAAATAAAAAAAGCAGCAAATGAGAAGGAAATTTCACGATGTTTGAAATCGTAAAGAAGAAAATCAATCGATAATTCAAATTCCAGTTATTTTACAATTCCTGCGAAAAATTTCCTCGTTGTTTTATTAGAACGAAAAGTAAAATTGAATGATTTATGCATGAGAATTGATCGCATTGCGGGAAGAGAAGAAAAATTTAAATCAAAAGGTGAAAAGAGAAGGAAAAACGCTTTTTATACGTTTATCGATGTTTTCATCACTCAATTTTCAATTGAAATTATTTACGTAGCGCCATAAAATATTCAAATCCATCCAGTCTTTGTCTGTCGTTTGATCGTCTTTACATCTTCAATTTTGTTGGCTGGTCTGAGACATATTGGAGAAGAAGCTCTCTTCGGAGACGTTTCCTTTGATGGGATTAACTTTTCAGTGCTACTAAACTGACCAACTGAAGATGAAGCAATGACAGCTGGTTCACTTATTGGATTCATTTCAATTTCCTTCTTTTCCGGTTCAATCTTCTTAACATTTTCCACAATAATCGGTTTAACGGGAAGCAAAGGAGTTGCTGGTGTCATTGATAAAGTCGGAACTTGAACAGATTTTATTTCTTTTGGGGGTGGCGGAATCATTCCTTGATTTTCATGAGGTTCAGGAACTATTGGACGAGAAACTGCAATATTGTCTGGACCTGCTTGTGGGGCTTTTCTTTTGATGACTTTCACTGAATTGCTTGAGTTTTGCTTCAATGGACACTCATCAATCAATTTCTTTGGTGACGTTTTGAGATTTGTTTGTTCATCTCCACCTTCTACTTGAATGACTGGCTGAGTTGAAGTATTAAGAAGTGTTGAACTTTCAAATGACTTCATACTTTCAGGAGTTGGTGAACGATTCTTTGTAACCGATGCTCGTCTTGGTTTCGTTGCTGCAGAAACTGACATTGGTGGTGGGCTAAACGTTCCTTCCATTGATGAGATAGTCAAATGTGTAGAAGAGTCACTCGACGATTGCTTAATCATTTGCATTAGGGGAGTCTTTGGCTTTTGTCTCGTTGTATAAGGCGAAGGTGTTTTGCTGATTATCGATTGCAACTGAGCATTGAGATTCTGTAAATTTGGAGAACGTGAGCGACTTCTTGAAGCTTTCACTTCCAAAGTATTCTGTGGTGAAATTTCATTAATCTCATCAGAAATATTCTTCAACAATTGAACTAAAGTTTGATTCGTTTGATCAATTACGTCATAATTAATTGAATGACATGGAGATAAAGGCGATGGCGCACGTTCAATCAGCTTTCTTGCTTGTTCCATTGCCTTCATTAAATTCTGTTGATTCTTGAAACTTTCATGTTTTCTGCTTCGGCCGATCTGACTGTTAGCTTCAATAGTTGCTTTTCTTATTACTTCACTCCACATTCCACTCGTTGTCTGCGATGCAACCAATTTCGAAATTCTTTTGAATCTTTCAAGTGGCAATTCTCCTTTAGTTGGATTTTCTGCATTCTCTTCATCAGCTTCATCATCGGGCTGTTCAACGGGCGCGACTTGGAAGTCTTTCATTAAACGCCGCTCCCATATCTTCATGCGTTTAGCAAGAACCGCTGTTCATTAATAATTTATTAGAATATCAAGTACTTGGTTCAATAAAATTGCAAGGAAATCTTCAAATGTTTCGTCACTTTCTGAACTCTTTAAAAATTATTTAGCAAAACGTGACGCAACAATTGAAGATTCCTTTCTAAATTATTCAATTTACTTTTCTCTTTACGATCAGCACTTGAAACGTCCATTCCATTTCGCTCGAATACTTCCATCAACTCGTACCGCATTGTTGATATTTCTCCCTTAACTTCATTGATATCGTCTTCCGTCACAGGGCTTTCTTCAAATTTACGGTGCATTGTGGACACATAACGCCAAACGAGAGATCTCATGACATTCGTGTATCGGTTGGCTCGTTCACGTTCTTCCTTCCGGCGCTGTGAATGAAAGTTGTAAAAATCAGTATGCTTCATGACACGTATCAACGATTGGAGTTTAAAGAAAAATCTCATGAGTTGGCAGAAGAAACACAAAACTTGTTAACATTCCCTTAACCATGTCAATTAAATTTCACGTCTTCGGCAATCGTTCATGTTGTGAATTCAGCAGATCAAACATCGTAAAACGTCTACGTTTTAGGATCAAATAAATATTGACACTTTCACTTACAATTGTTGATTCTTGTTTGATGTCACGTTTCTGCTTTTGTCGAAAACATTTTGTGAAATGTTTTGCGTTTGGGAAGATGTTGAATGGAGGCGGAAGTGTTGCTGACTCTTCGAAATAAGACATCCAAAGTTTCGTGCGGGCGAACTTCCATTCGGTATCAGATTGTTGTTCAATCATAGCGTAGGAATTTGACATCTAGATAACATAAAAGAGAGAATCATCAAGATCAAGAGCCATTTAAATTGTGCATGATGTACAAAATTTTTAATTTAAGATGATTACCATGGCTATGAGAAGATTCAGCAAGACGATTACATTGATAATCGAATACGAACCAAACATCAACAACCCCCAGAATCTCGTGTATGTTTTTATCCCAAGTAACTCAAAGTTTTCAAGTCCCACCATACCAAACGATGCCCAAAACAGCGATTGAGATGACTCGAACAGACTAAAAATAGTTAAAAAGGTTCGCTCAGACATTCATTGTAACAGATTGGCCATGAAATTGAATTTGTTATCAATAAAAAAGAAAAAGCGACACAAACTCACTTTCCAAATTTCCGCCATTTCATGCAAGCATCTCCTTCGTTGTTCCAATCGGGTAATCCAGAAGGCAAACTGTAGCATCTTGCCTTCTCCAAATCCGCATAATACCACAATAACTGATTTAAACCTTTTTTTTGGATGGGAAATTTTAAGGATCCAAAGGCAGGAAATCAAAAAGAAGAAATGAGATAAGAAATTATTCACCTTTCATGTTAAAGAGATTATTTCTAAGAGCTTTTTATTTACCGCATGCAAAGGCAAACAACACTAAAGAATAAATAAAGAAGAACTTGACGATGTCGATAACCATACGTCCAAGGGAGATTTGAAGTGGTCCTAAATGAGGATTTATGGAGAATAAATGAACAAGTTTGAGTGCTGAAAAGACATTAGCGGCTGCAAATAATCCTTCGGCCTGATAAATAAAGGAAAGAAAATGTGACAATTTGATTAAAGAATTAAAACTTGTTTTGATATCTTTTTTCGCTTCACGAAATCCTTTAAATGATTTTTAGGATTCTGACAACACAATTTTGTCAACAGAAAATTCAAATCTCACTTACAATCAACTGTGGATCGAAATCGTCCCAATCTTCTCTCGGTATGTAAGCAGTACTTGGATCTCGATTGATTTCAGCGATTTGTTGAAAATAAGCAATCGCTCGTAACAAAACCACAAAGCAGTAAAGCGAATTTCTCGTGCAATCAATGAAGTTCCACATGTTGCGCAAATAACTTCGAATGCCTTCATGGAAAATCTCAAGAGTCTCTTCCCATATAAAGCCAGCAACATAAATCACAACAAGGAGTTCCAGTGGTGTCGGTGAATTCCCACGTTGCTTCTTTAAAGACTCAAGCATCGATTTTTTCATTCTTTCCGTGCCAAATAACATAATAGCGTGAACCTCTGCCCTCTGACTAACAAGAATTAAAATTACTGTGTTAAAAATAGAAAAGAAAAAGAAGAAATGCAACATGTGACGGTTAATTAAATCTAATTGAATTACATACATAGGAAAAACAAGTATGATGAGGCATGTATCAAGAACTTCATGAAAGGCTTCCTGATTATCTTTGCTGTGTGACAATAAGGCATCAACATGTACATCAAACAATAGAAAGGAAATAAAAGCGCAACTTTTGAGATGATGAATAACTTCGCTTTCGTTGTTTTGCGTCGAAATCCCGGCACGCCTATAAAGACAAAGTTGTTATAATATAAATTATGCAGATTCTGTTTCACCTCGGTAAATTTGACGACGCAAACAATCTTACCTTCATACCAAAGACTAGCCAGAAGTTGTTGAATGTTAGGGTGGGCGACAAACTGTAATGAAAACAGGAAAACTTTTACATTCTGTTTGCTTTTCAATGCGACAATGTTTGAACATGGAATTTGTTTTTGGGGAAGTTTGTCTGTCAAGTTGATGTTTGAATATAAAATCTAGCACACGTTACCTTCTTCTGTTTATAATCGATAGCCATTTCAAGTCGTTTAAGCTTCATATGATCTCCATCCATGTATGGCGGACTTTCTGGATCATAATTCAGAATAATTGCCAATTCTTGTGAAGACCTCGTTTGATCCAGTAAATCAACAGCAAATTGTTGACACTGATGACGAAGCTCTAAATATTCAGATTTACTTTCTTGTTCGGAAAAGGCTAAGCTGCGCAATTCCCACGACAACTAGAAAACACGACAAATTGAATGAGTATTACCAAAAGTGGTCATTTGGTGATGTCACGCAAACCTGAAAAGCAGTTTGAAGTGGATCATTCGAACTGAGCGCTATTAATGAAGGACTTGCTAAGGCTCGATATTCGCTAACGCGACTCAATGAATGACGTAATGAATCCTCAGTGGTTTTTTTAATACATTCATCACACGGACATTTGATATCATGCGGTGCCGGCAATGTCGCACCGCGGTCTAGTAAGAGCTTAATAATTTCATAATTATTTCGGTGAGCTGCTAGGATTAACGGTGTAATCTCAGGTGGGTACTGAGCCGTGTTCATGTCGACCTTTTGCCATGACTACCAAGCACAAAAGAAAATAGAAAAATATAAAGAGAAACAATTTAATTTTTATGATTATTTGATATCCGACGAAGCACTCTAACTAACATAAGCTTCTCCTTCTTTGCGAATCAATTCTTCGTGCTCAAGCAAAAGTTCCACAGCTTCAACAAACTCTTGATTAATTGCCTCGAGCAAAGCGTCTTTAGTTTCAACCCCCATGATAATTAATAATTCAACCATTTCTAAATTTTCGCCGTCTATTGCCAGGGTCAAGGCGCCACGTCCCAATGAATCAACACAGTTTATGTTGATATTTTGGCTTCTCAAAGCTCTCTGAAGCATTCTTCATAAGTATTTTTAATTATTTATTATTTGAAGACAAATTAAACATCATTAGATTCATTTTTCCTTTTCAATCTCTTAAGAGCATCAAACAAACCTTCGAACGTTTGCTATATCGCCTCGTTCAACAGCAAGCAGATATTTCTTCTCCTCCAAATTAAGCGGTCTAATTAAAAATTCAAAGTCAAAATATTAAGTAAACAAATTGAAATTAATTAATGAAATGAAATTAACATTAACATCAGTTTTAAGACTCACTTTGGTAGATTTCCATGCTCGATATCGTCAATAAAATTCCCGGGTAATGGAGCTTCAATTTGAAGTCCCACTGTACTGTTCTTCTTTTCGGACATCTTTTATTGCACCCAATTTATTTCAATTAAAATATCCCAAAAATCAAATAGACAAGAAGGAACTGCACAAATAATGGGGAAAAAGTTTTCGATTTTATTCTCGTTTTTCTTCCTTCTTTCAATCTTCACAAATTAGAAAGTGACGATGAATAAAAAAATCGTGGAGATGTCCATATTAATCCAAATTGGTTCTTTGTAAAATAAAAAAAAATCACGTCAAGATAGAAAATGTCCCACAAATTTATTTTTTCTTCCACTTCGTCTTTATGTTTTCCTTCGTGAAGAAATTTAATTTAAGCAAAGTCACTAACAACGCTCTTACAATGAAATCCAACCGAGAACACTAATGAAAGCTTCGATGCCATCAAAAACATTAAAGCAGTCGACAAATGTTTTTATACACTACGACTAATTTAATTATCGTACAATGAGATTAGGCTTCATCGCAAAGTGAATTAAAAGTGATGAATAGCAGGTGACTTCGTCAAATGTTCAGCGCAGGTGTCATTGCTTGATATTGAAAATAAAATGTAAAAGAAAAAAAGAAGAAAAATGAAGGGAGAAAGGTCTAACGGATGACAAGAATCAATTAAAGAAAATTACAAAAGTTTTTTGGCTCCTTTCGTTGAACAGAAAAAAAAGTAGAAAGAGAAAAGTTTTCATCCAACCGTCTAATAAAATTATCTTGAAATCTTTCTACAATTTATTTATTTATTTATTCTCATTGGTGTTCAAATATTTACAAATAACCAAATATTTGAATAAAAATGGCATTTTTTATACATTGAAACGAGTACTTGAAGTTCGAAGGATGTTTTTCTAGATGTTTCCATCTCTTATGATTGAAGTCGTTGACAAACGTAGGATGTCTTTAAGCTGGATATATTATATTGATTTCATTTTTGTATTTTGCGAAAACCTCCTTTCGTTTAATTTTAAATGCACTTGTGACAAGATCACTCTCAGGCGTCCATGGCTCATCACTCACAATAATCGCTGTTGGAATTTCAAACTTGAAGAGTTTATATTTCTTACCATGTTCAGTGATGTCTTTCAATATAACCTTTTGAAGTGTCGTATTTGCACAGAGACTTTTGAAATCTCCTCTAATTGCCATACTTTCAGCCACTTCGCCCAAAATCTTTTCATTCGGTGCCACCACAGCGATGACGTGATTCTTTGAAGGAAGTGCAATCACACAAATGTTCTCAACAATTGGACATAATTTCATTTCAGTTTCAACCTTTCCTAATGACACATATTCACCAGCTTGAAGTTTAACTAAATCTTTTTTACGATCTTTACAAAGGGAGAGAAAGAAAAATGTAATAAAAATTCTATTAAAAATTGTCAATCAAATCTTACCAATAATTTTCAATGTTCCATCTTCGTGAATCTCACCAACATCGCCAGTTCTCATCCATCTCTTGCCATCTTCGACGAAGAAAGCTTCATTAGTCTGATCAGGCAATTTGTAATAGCCTTGCGCAACATTGGTACCGCCGACTATGATTTCACCTTGTGGATAAGGCTTGTTAGTGACTCGATAACCTCCTTCTTCCCAATTTTCCAGTCTGACATCAGAAGATCCTGATGGATAACCAGCACGACCATAGTTCAAATCATATTTACAAGTGATAGTCGCACCAGCTGAAGTTTCAGTCAAACCATATCCTTGCAAGACATCAACACAAAGGCAAAGCTTAACTTGTTCGTGTGTCTCAGCTGACAATGGTGCACCCCCTGAAGCAAATAAGCGAATTCTTCCACCCACAACAGCTTGGATTTTCTTGAAGACAATTTTATCTGCTAATGGCGTTGAATACCCACGTCTTGTCCATCTAACCTTGTACCGATTAGCGAAGGTAAATATCGCTCGTTGTATTGTTGATGACTTGCTGACTTTATCATTAATTCCTTTCAATATTCGATCAAGAATTAATGGAACGCAAGTCATGATTGTTGGTTTTAAGATTGCTGCGTCACCTTTCGCTCCTGCCATAATCATCGGACTACTATCAAGAAGAGTAGCTGGAGATGAATAACCCATCGTAATTCCAACAACAAAACATGCGTTTTCAGCAACAAGTTCAAAGACATGGGCAAGTGGCAGAAAAGCAATAAGAATGTCATCTGGCATGACCTTATCATCTCGACTTGCCTGTGTTGATTAAATAGAATGTAAATAAAGAAACTCGACCTTCCAATCAATTACTTACGGCGTCAATAAAGTTCTTCATAGTTGCTAAGCAATTTCCATGTGATAGCAAAACTCCTTTAGGAACGCCTGTGGAACCTGAAGTGAACATGATGATTGCAATATCTTCTTCAACGGGAGGAGTTGAATCTGAAATCTTTACATTAGTTCCCTTCAATATTTAACTGTGAATTTATTCACAACATTACCAATTTCACTTGTCATTCCTCTCTTTAAGACATCTTCAAATGAATATACGTTGATATCTCCGAATCCACTTGTATCAGTTGTGTGAATTTGATGTTCAAAGTAGATGATATTTTTAAGCTTAGGGAATTGATTTAGCAATTTACGGATCTTTGGCATTAATTCGTGTGATGTAATCAGAAATTCAACTTCAGTTTGATTGATGCAATGAGCGATTGCTTCATCGCCAAGAGTTGCATAAATTGTAACAATTGAACAAGCGTGTTTGAAGAGACCATGAGCAGAAATCATCCATTCAGCACGAGTCTCAGCAAAGATTGCAACATTGCTTCGGGCTTTGACACCAAGCTCGCGGATACCCTTACCGAAGTTTAATACATCTCTGTTCGTTTCAATGAAATCACGCCAAACGTAATCGCCCATTTTCAATTTCTTCATGATTTGTCCATTTGGTTGAACTTCATCAACTTCCGCAAGAATTCGTCGTGTGCCGAGACATTTTGCTGTGGTTTTTTCTTTAACAACATAATTCCAAACCTTTTCCAAAGTGTCGAGCTTGTTCTTCAAAATAATCTCTTTATGTAAATCCGTGGGTCCACTAAGAGAGCGATAAGTAATTTGTGATTTATTCTGGCTGATTGCTTTTGCCTGTTCAATGAAAAAATATAAAATAATTTTTGTTCCCTTCTAAGTTTAGCATTAAAGATAAGGAGGGAAGTTCAAAGTTGTGCTGTTATCAAATCTTATCAGATTATGATACCACATGCTTCGATAATTTGCATCGAAATATCGAATAAAATATTTCTTATCATCAAAAGAAATAAAACGCAACGGAGCTAGACTAAAGAATTACTCTTGTAGCTGATAAGTGAGTCAAGTTATCTAATTAAATATTTTTCTAATAAAAAACGCGAATGAAGAGGATTAATGTTTAAAAAAAATTCTGACCTTCACTCTTCTAGAGAGCGTTCGACGATTCCAAGGCCGTTGGATTATAGCATAGACCGGAAAAGTAATCACAGTGTAGAAGAAAGAGAAGAACTCAAGAATTCCAATCGTTAATGATACTCCGAAACTCATACTGCAATTAATATAATTTTATATTCTTCAAGTTTCAAATTCCTGATCACTTTTCAAAAGCTGACTGATAAACACAAATTGTGACAATGTCGTATCAAATAACTGTCAAGTGACAACTCTGATCATTATCATAACAGTGAGCTTCTGATTAGTGTCTTAACAATCATAATAGTTCTCCTTCATACCTTTAAAAATTTTTATAAGAGCAAAAGAAAAACAAATCAGAAAAACAACTTCAGAGTCAACTTCAAACTTTTAGCACTCGATATCAACTGAACATTTTATCACAAATTTTCGAATTATATTTTCATTCGTTTTACTGATAACGTAATGGACAAGAAGTTCTATTGAATGTCTTGGTGCGATGTTTTGCGACGTTTTGTTACACTGACTTTGAATGCTACACAAAGATATCAACAAAAAAAATGATAGAAAGCCAATGACTTAAAAATATTAAATGATAACACACTCTGATAAGATAAAAATAAATGCATGCAAATAGATTGTTGAATTCCGCAAAATATTTCTAGCTTTAAAATGTTTAAAAAATTTAATTGAATGAAGAAGAATTTCATGATCAATTATCATTCATAACTGAAAGGATTGTTTTTTGATTAAACAGAGCGAGAGGTGAAAAAATTGATTTGTTGATTATCAACTCACCCAAGCAGACTTGATAAAGGTCAATGATAAAAGGCTTTTTTCCCACAACAATTTTCATTGTAGCATCGATTATTATTTTTTATGAAGCTTTGCTAGAGCTTTATTGATTAATGTTCATTTACCACGCAAGTATCGCAAGCAATGCCGTAGGCAAAGCCGCAATGTTGTCATTAAGTCATCTCACATGATTGAACTTAATTTGTAAGTGATTTGGTGCATAACTGTTACGCAGTTATGATGTTATCGTCTTCGGAATTATTGAACCATTGACATATATTACTTAAACACGAAGGAATGTTTATGAATAATTCATTTTATGCTCCTGAAACTGACTGCATGCATATACATTAGAGCAATTATAATGAAACCTTTTCTTTCTCAATATGTTTCTCCAATTAATTCATCATCCATCATAAAGAAGTCTGTGTTGTCGTTGATGTAGGAAAGTTCTCTTATATACATACAAACAATAAAAAAAATAATTCTATATTTCAATGCATAAATTCATGACAAGTCGTTTACATATAAACAACATTAGAACTTTGTTTATCTTTCGCTTTTAATCGTTCTCTTACAGAATGAAAAAGAAATATCAAAGAAATATAAAACGTTGCTTAATGCTACCATAACAAAGTTGATTGAAGTAACTTAAAGCCAAATGTCAGGCCCACGTTACAATTATTGACAAACTCACAGCTGGAAATGCTCAACAGGGCTTTAGACTTCCTTACCATTAAATAATTGATTTCTAATACCATAAAAAATACTTTTTTTTCAACCATAAAGCTTTTGTTTAAAAGTTATTGAGTTTCTCGCGAAGAAATTTTCATAAATTTAGTTACGGTTTTTAGACAACCGCAGGCGTTTTTTTACAAAACGTTTCACTAACATTTTATCCATGAATATTTAGGTTTCGGTGTCTATCTTTATACCGCTTTTACGTGTTTCAAGGACAGCGGGTTGGAAAATATATTTTTGTGAAAGATACAAAAATGTCAACAACATTTCCACTTCAGTTGCTAATAGTTCTGTCCGATGAGACGCTTTGTTGTTAATACACTTATCGTCTCGCAAGCGTGATTTTCATACTCAAAGGAATAACCTGTTGCATTAAAAATAATCTAATAAGTTTCTTTTCATATGCTGTATAAGAAGGATTATCAGAACATTTCGTTATGAAATGAACAGATTGGAAAGTTCTTTCAACTCTTTCAAGGTCTTTTTGTTTTCACTGAAAAAAAAATCACCGAGACACAAAAAAAAAAGAAATTTCTCACTGAATTCCGTCCTTTCAAATTATCCAAGGATGATGATGGATATTGCCGTGGAGCCTGGTGATTGCCGTCATTTTATATTTTCACTTGTTCTTAATGTAGACAAAAAAGAGAAAACTCTTTAATACCATTGGATTATTTTGGTTACGAGAATTTCAGCAAGAACATAACAAAAAGTTTAAAGAAGAGTGGGGTAAACAATTTAAGGCAAAAAATACCATTTCAATTAGTATTCACCCTAAAGCTATAATAAACATTTGTTAATTTTCAGATTTAATCTTCTACTGACTGAGTAAGTTTCTTTTAATTTAACAAATTTCAATCCTACATGAAGCTTAAATCTAAATGCATAAACACGAAAGCTTGGTTTTAAATTAAATAACAACCACCAATACTTGTATAATGTATTATGAATATATTTTTAACATGACCTCAATCATAAACTCTTGAACGCTAAGCCATTTGAAATAAAAGCAGTGAAATGTTTTGAACTTTATCATGTTTCAATGTTCTTGAACATATCAAAAAGAATTTATGTATCGTATGAATCTAAGATTGACTTAAAGATCGATGTAGACAATCCTTACGTCTGAGACTCAAAGTAAATTATCGATGATGAATGATTCCTCGGAAATAATATTTTTCCTTATATCCTCGTATCCTTGTCAAGATAACAAAAATCGTTTTCCACTCATTAAGTATTCACAAGTACCCTTTATCATTTCAAAATCAAAATATTTTGTCTTGCCACTAGAGTTTTGTTAAGAAGGGTTATCAATCATAAGATATAACCGAACATATTTTGTAAAAAACGAAGCAAGTTTTTAAAGGAGACATGTTACCGCAACATCGCGTTCTGTTGAAAAATATCCATAATTGATTTGAGACCTTTCAAGTATCTTGTAAAACATCAAAATAAAGGAAAAAGGAAGGATAAACTTTATTTTCTTGTTCACGTGATGGTTTATTTTCATCTCTAATTTTTAATGTTTTAAACTATGATTGATTTCAAAAAGTGTGAATAAATAAAATTAATTTTCATAAAAGAAGATTGGGAAAATAATCACATTAATGTATTAGATATTTAAGTAAATAACCTTGTAAATAACAATGATCTGAAAAAGAGAGAAAAGCTTTCGGAAAAGAGAGTAAAGCTTAATTCTTCGCTCTCATTTTTCTTGTTTTGAGAGAGAGAGAGAAAAGTTTGGAGACTTTTTTTCGCCTTTAAAATTGAATGTACAAAGAATGAATGTTGTTCACTTGATATTCAAATCTTCTTATCATGCGAAATTCTTAGAAAGAGTGACATTATTCAATGCTCAGCGTGAATACATTATCAAAATTATTTTGGGATTATAAATTTTGCATATCGTTACAGTTAAACTGATTAAATCGGTGATGTGAAAACATCACGAGATTTTTTTGACTTAAGTATTCGCAAACTTTGAATTTCCTGACGAAGCATTTACCAGAACTCCACTATTTTGAAATTTTCATTTAAAATAAATGTTTTCACATAAAATTTACCATCTCTTTTTAGCTTTCACTGGAAATTACCGTTCACGTCTTACCTAAGCATTGCTTTTTCTGGAGTGTGAAACGTTCAAAAGTTTTGATTGAAACCACAAATTCCTGAACAATTCAATCTCGCGTTACTTAAGCGTATAAAAAGTTTTCTTTTCCTTATTGACAGATGCGATAAGAAAGTGAGAAATGAACGGCAAAGAAATACGACGATAGCTTCTCCTGTTTTTATTCTTCCTGTAAAAAATTTATCCTCGAAGTTAATGTGAAAACTTCGTGGGGATTTTCTTTTTAAAGTTTCCGCCCATGGTAAGAATATAAAAACAACGGTGAAGTTGACTTCAATCAATATAAACCCATCGTAAACACGCAATTTCATTTGTTAACTTTATTACACAGGCAGTGTTTGACAGTGTAACAATATCAGTAAGTTTAATTAAAAATCAATAATTTAAACGCATAAACTCTTCTAGTTTATCACATAAGTGACATCAATGCTTGAAACCGCAATGAATGAAAATTGTATTAACTGTCATGCTTCTCATGAATTCTACATTAAGTTTCTAAAATTTCAAATGTTATCTGTAAAATGCGTGAACTTTTACTTTTTTTCCTCTGTGAATTGACAGTCTTTGGGAAAAGCTGTTTGTGAATTTCGAAAGGCCCTTAACATAAATTAGAAATAAAATTCTATCAATTGTTATGTAAATTTATGTTTTTTCATGAAACCAAACCTTAGGTTGAAAAATGTTTGTTGACGATGGTGTTGGTGTTGATGAAATAAACCATACAGTTCTTCATTTGGTAACGCTTGAGAGATTAGAAGAGAAATTTAATGATGTCTTATTTTGTGTTCTTCTGACAAGTAGTTTGTAATTTGCAAAGGAAAATCTCCAGCAAAGTTTTCCAAAGTGGAAAAACTTTTCATTTACTAAGTTTCTGTAATGTTAAACTTTGAGAGCAACCAAACGGTAAAACAGATTTGTTCTTGATTACATCAACTTATTCTTATACAAGTTGAATGTATAAAAAGTTTTTCAAAATTTCCATAACAAGAAGTTTTGTAAATTTATTTCCATTGGTTTTCATCTGTAAAGTTTTGTTACAAACGATGGATAAAATAATTAGTAACTATGCTTGTAATTGCCAACAAGTTTTGAGCTAATCACACAAATTCATTGGCCCATTCTAATGGGCGAGAATATACACAACTGTTTAATGGTCAGAAGTTCAAAGTTCAAAGTGAAAATTAAGGAAAAGATTTATTGTCTGAAGCGAGAAACTGACAACCATTTGATTTTATTTTTATCGCAACCAAAGAAATCTTCATTCGACATTGCTTCAATCTTTAACAAGGAGTTCTAATTAACAATGAAACGTGTCGGAATGTCAGTAGCTCGCAATTAAAAAACTTGACTACATGAGTCAGGAAAGACAAACTGACAATTTGACGTAATAAATTTTCAATTCTGTTCATGTTTTCTTTTTCATTCTCGTCTTTTATCGACCGAAATACTTTCGCGTTTAATTCAATTTCCTTTAGAAATTTTTATATCCTTTGAAATACATTAAGATGGTAAATGAAACCAAGCGAAACATTTCAGACGACAATCAATCTTAAAATGACCTTTTGAGGTAACAAAACGTAGAGCTTTTGTCCCCCTTTTTTATTCATTTGTGATTCCGGTAGCAACAGATGGGCGACAATGAAACATTAAAAATTTTAACGTCATCGTTTGTCACGATTTCATTGACGGGTTTTATATTTAGATATTTATATACTCATTTGACATTTATTACTTATAATACTTACTGAACATGACTCGAAGAGTAATCTCACAGGAATCACGCCGTTTGAGATTTCTTTTAAAAATAATTGCAAAGGAGAAATATGAAATGTTTGTTTAATAGAGAACTCCAGATGTGCAAGATAAAGAAGTTCATGCTGTGTATCATCACGACATTTTACATGTTCTGTTTCTTTGTAGGAAGCAATGCCAAAAATATCGTTCATTTATTAATATAGACTGAGAATCTGCTTTTCAATATTTTGTCAACATGAGGTAAATGTCTAAATATCTTAGTAAACAGTGTAACAGGAATTTTTAAATTAACGACATTTTATCGAAAAGATATTCCTGCTGGTAAACGTGTAGGATGTCAAAAAGAATTCTCTGAAAATATTAAAGAAAAGTAAATTAATAAAGAAAAAAATTGTGTTTGATGATCAAATCTTCATAACAGACAATTCATTAGAGAAAACTTGATAATCAAATCGAATTGAAGAGGTCACTCTGATATTTATGAAAGCTTATTTATTTATTCGAAGTTCATTTCTCAGGAAGAGTCTATGGGGAAAGTCCCCAATAAAGATTCCAAAGAAATCTATGAGTATGGAAAAGACCAAATGAAGTTCAAAGATATTTACTCATAAGTGTAATGCAAATTCCCATAGCAATCCATTGAGATGCTTCTTCAGATTTCTTAATAATAAAAGGATACTTATTCAACACAAGATTCAAGGAGATGTTTTTCTCACAAGAACTCTTTTGATATTTAAATTTATCTTAACATTCTTCTTCAAGAGTTGTGTAGAAAGCATAATAAATTTTATGTTTTCAATTTAAATAAAGCCTTACATCATTTTATCTACCAACACTCTTTAAAAGTTCAAAAGTTTTAATCGTCCACAAAGATCTGTGCTTTTAAAAATGTTAAGCTTGGAAAGCTTTTGTGACACTTAAGTATCTCGTTTTGAATTAAAAGCTTTCTCTGTTGTCTATAGAATTAAATTTTAGAGGAAAAAGTTCAACGAAATCGTAATTAATGTTGTAATTATACGACCCCAGAGCTTTTTCTTAAAGCACAAAGCAGTGCTTACAACAGAGCAGTGAACTGTGTCAAATAATTCTGCATTATAAGAAAAAAAGTGAGCTTGATTCATAAAAACTTTATGTCGACCTCGTTGAGCTGGTTTCATTTGAAAATAATTCTGAAAAATTGATTAGAAATTTTCTTATTACCAGGGGGATTGAGTTGATGGTTTTTATTGTAAATATTTGATCGAGTTTAATTACACGAGGGTAGAGTAATTAATGGAAAGAGAATTGAATTTCTAATTATCTAATAACCATACTTAGAATAATGTTTATGTTTTCGCAGCGATAATTACGCTTTAAAATTAAGCTTTTTGACCACTAATTTAGCTTTTGATATTTAATGTTCATACGTCAAAAGATAACCCGACAAAGTCATTCTGTGTGTTTGTTGCATGACACAAAATTCAATCAAATTTATTACATATTCAATTAATTAGAAATATTTTATGTTGTCATGTTTGAAAGCGATACAAAAATTTCCTTTAACCACATTCGCGGAAATGTATTGAAGCTTTTATCCGGATTAACGAAACTGTCAGCCTATCACTCAAAGTCTGTCGAACTCTGAAAACGTTTTTTTCTTACCATAATCTCTATTCTGTAATGTTTAAATAAACTCCATAAATCAAACACCATTTTTGTTTTTATTTTTTCACCAAAACATTTATCAACATTATATTTTTATTACATTCTTGAATTTGAAATTTAAAAAGAAATTGAAACAAGAGTTCAAAAGTTTAAGTCTCTCAACACTTTAAAATTTCATACAAAACAATACGCATAAGGCTTTCCCGCTAAGGAATCTCGACAAGTACTACAGAATCCTTACATTATAGCAAAATTTATCTTTTTTCAATTACACGGCTTATCGTCTAAGTTGTAAAGCTTTTGATTGTAAACAAATCCAGTGGGAAGAAAAGTATTGAACTTGTCGCTAAGTGGAGGCTTTTACAAAGCAGGGTTTTCCATTTGTATCTTCTTTGCCATATTTACAATCTGGCCAGAGCAGATGGAGAAATTCACAAGTATAAAGAAACAAAATAAAAAGAATCAAAACTCCAGCTGTTACTTAGCTTAGTATATAGTCCAAAACAGCAACATAAACTTTATGATATTTATTTATTTACAAAAAAAGAAGAAAGATATCTTGTAAGGTTGCCAACGAGCTTTATTTGGGTTGTCAACATGACACAAAGCAAAGTATCTAATGAGACAAGTATTGATGTAAACTTGACAACAGCTTTACTTTCGTGGAAGCTTCAACATTAATTTCTCATTTGTTTTCGCATAAAACAAATATCAAGACGTCTGAAATTTCTTACACAAAGTGGGAAGATATCACGTTTATCTCATCAATTGTCGTTATTCATAAAGCTATTTCTCATCCATCCTGTGAGAAAAGTCATAAATTAAATTAAGTATCTGCCATTAAATGGTCTTTAATTTTCAATAGGAAAACTCTTTTTCTTTTGTAAAGCATTGAATGATATTAAATAATAAACCGCAAATTATGATTAATTTTCCTTTAAGCATAGTCTGTAAAGTTGATAAATGACTTTCTATGCAGCAATCATCTTTGAGAAGAGAAAATCATTCTTAGAGTTTTAATAAGTTTAATGCTGATGCCACCTGAACTTCATAATAAATTTCGCTTTTATTAAAATTCAAACATCATTTGCTTCCACAGACTAGAGCGAAAAAGACGTCAAACATGTTTTCCCATTTGTTTTATTTTCATATTGAAAAGTGTCAATTTACACGAATGATTTATTATACAAAGAATATGTTTGTGTAATAGAAAGCGTAGGATTCTAACATAAGCTCATATTAAGCATCAGTGAAAACCCGAAAACGAAGAAAACAATGAAACTCAAGCGAGAATTTAATAATTTAATGAGACGTTTAAACATTCAACATTTAAGAATTTTCTCTTCGTACATCGTGTAGAAATAAATTACAGCGTTAGAGGAAACTGGAAGGAATAATAGAACGATGAGGCCAGGAAGGAAAATAAAATCTCTTCATTGTTTTTGATGGTGATTAGCTTCAAATTATCTTTCTTTTATATTTATGCAAACTTTGCCGACAGCAATTGTTCTTCTTACAACTTACAACGAATGTTGCTGCTTTGAAATGCTTGCAAATTCTTTCGTTTCTGCTCTTCGTTTTACCACATAACAGAAATTGTTTCACTCTTTCATATAAATGAAAAGTTTGAACTTAGAGACTAAGGTAGAAAAAAGTTTAGCTGCCCTTTTCACTTAAACAAGTGTATGCGTGTGTGTGAGTGTTAAAAACCTTTCGAATCTTTTAAACTTAGCTCAGATAATAAGTGTATCACTTTCATTCAGCTTTGTTATCAGATTATTTGAGTTAATCGTTGCTTTTGCACCATTTTCCATGTTGTATGATGGAGTTGGCGATGTTGCTAGTGACATCATTGGATCGTATTTGCTGTTGAGTGTTGTTGTCGTTGAAACTGTGTGATCATTGTAGACTTTCATGTCAATGTTTTCACTCGCCCAGAGTTTCTCTTGTTCGCTGTTCTGTATCAGAATGTGTGGATCATTTTTCTTCCCATTTTTGTGATGGGATCGTTCTTTCTGTCATACTTTGTCTTCTCCAGCAGTGTGTGCCTGGCCATGCCTTACAAACTGCAATCGTACTGGCTGAATTATTAAAGAATTTAGTTTAAACCCGCTACAAATTATAAAGTTTCTCTCATATTTTCTTTCTTTTCTTTTCATAGAATTCAAAACTTATACAAAATTATTCACGTGCGAACGAACAAACTTCTAAAAAAGTGGGGAGGAAGAGGAAAACTGTTGCTAAACAAAGTTTTAACTACGTGCAATTTGATGTCGTAAAGAGAATGATCCGTGTATTTATATCTATGCTTATCATCATAGCACATCCCAACTAAACTTTTCCGCTCTTCTGTGAAAAGGTACAAAAATTGTTATTGCTCAAGCAAATTCTGTAACTCGAAGAATGAAAATAGCTCGTGGCGAAACCATGCTAAACTTTCGAACTATTTTTAGACCCCATTTCGTTCTTCACATCCATAAAACTGAAATCCTAAATTTTTAAACATTTCATAAACAGCAAAAAAGGACTATCTAAGCTAATTTAACTTCAAGTGAATATTTTAAGAGCTTTAGATGATTCCAAAGTTTCATAACACAATCTGTAATGGATATTTTTGGTAACATTTGTCACAAAATATAAAATTAAATAAGCTTTTATGTTGACACAACTTTATACAAAAAGGAAAACACATGAAAATCCACAAACAGAGCTGAAACTTAAGATCATGATGATTGTGCTTCTCATTCGTACAAAAATTATTTAAATAAAATACCAACAAAGCTTTCAACATCGACCATATGAAATTCTATCTGATTTATTAACGTTGAAAAAAATATAAATTACATTTTGTGATGTGTTTACACTTAAATATCTAAGAAGAAGTAGGTAGATAATATTTTAACTGGAATTTTATGAGGTGTTCTAAGTTATAAAACTCTAAAAGAAAAGAAGTAAAGAAAGAAGTAAACAAAACAAAAAAAATTGTGAATTAATATCGTGAATTTGTGGGAAGCGATGAAAGGTGAATTGAAATGATTGCACGTGTAATTAAAGTCCAAACAATGGGATCATTATATCAATGCAAAACATTAACGAGGTTGCATATAAAAAGAGTAAAAATTTAACAACATAATAAATGAATGACAATTATTCTGTTGGGTACAAAATTAAATCCCCGTTCGAAGTAAAAATTCTAACAACAATTATCAAATAAATGAAAACCTTACCGACACTTGCGTTGCTGTGTAGCTGTTTGCACGAGGACGGAAGAAAACAATTCTCCAACGTCGCTTAACCTGCGCCATGACTTCGCCATTACAAAAACAGAATAAAGTTGCAACACAAAGGCCCTGTTAAAGAAAAGAAAATTTATTCGAATTTTATTACTTTTTTCTTGCCATGTTACAGCGAAACCTTTTCAGAAACTTATGCTGTTGCTGGTGGAAATATATGTGTCTAAATAAAACTCACCTGAAACGATGCTGTGAATGCAGAAATGACTGGAGAAAGAATGGAAGAAAAAAACATAAAAAATATTTAATAATATGGTTTTGAGAGTTTTTATAGCTTTTTGTATTTACTTTCGTATGTCGCCTCATATGGATGATCTTTCCCTGGTCTAAATGGCGTTAGAATGTACTGTAAACCAAGCAGTGGCACCAGAAGCAGTGTCGCTCTATAAAAACATGTAAATATGTATGAAAGTTGTTAAGTCAATTAGGACAAATGCAAAAATCAAATTTGTTTCAAATCATTTTTGTCGATGCTGTTTGGATGGTGTGAAAAAGAAAACAAAAAGTGTGATAACATTTGATTCAGCTCGCTTATACCCTCATAAGCATCAAATTGTATAAACAGAAGAATCCAATTACGATAACATGACCGAACACAAACTCTTTATTGAGATTCTTTTCCCAAGTAGATAATCAAATTTCGCTTACCTGAAGGCTTGTAAAATATTTCGAGATGGTCCACTGCCGGGTCCATTTGACATTGAAGCCGGGGCTTTTAGCTTCAGTAAAACTACTCTCACGATATTACAGAGGAAAAGGAGATTAAGTAACATAGATAAGCAAACTGGAGCAACGAGAACATTTGTATATGGACTTTCGTTCATCCAGCACCTGAAAGTTCATAAAAGTGTCGTGACAAGAATAATAATTTGTGATTTCAATATAAATAGATTGAAATAATAGACATTACATTGTCCGATCTTCATCTGTACTAACGTAGCCTCTAAGAATACCATAGAATATAAGAAAAACTGCAGGTGCGCTCCAACCCAACGCTATCAACCATCTAACAAGCTTCTGTTCCGAAATAAAGGCGGAAACAAGAACTGTATGTAGGTAGAAGCCTTCACAAAGCATCCACGCGTAATTCGTGAGAAGAAAATAATGGAGGATCAAATGTAACATCACACAAGGCCACTGTAAGAAAGAAAGGTTTCAACGTTATCAAGCTCATGTTATCGATATTCATGTGGGAATTTATTTGATGTTGTATGTAATCATTCTATCGCTATGGGAATGCTTTTGACACTTAAAAGACTTGAAAGTTATTTTTTTAATAGAAGATTGGCTTTCAAATTGGGATGTAAGCAATACATGAAGCACGTTTTCGATTATATTCTTTAAAAACTTTAATCACTTCGATTTTTTTACTTTTTTTCTTTATTAGAATTGACACGTATTGAAAGTTCAGACTATGAAAAATTCATTTCATATCGATAAATTCGTGTGCATTACCATTCACATAAAAAGTCTCTCACTTGACTCAATATATGAATGAATAATTAAATCGTTGAATATTGGAGTGAGGGAAAATGTGGAAATGAATGATTACACAACGTAATTCAAATGAATGAGTTTTCCATTGTTTAAAGATCACACACGGAAAACAAATATCTAAATGATTTATTTTTCATATTCATTCAAATGAAGAGAACAATGAAAAGCTTTCGGAATGTTAATGTCAACCGAAAATTTATTTTTATGCCGAAATTGAAGTTAATAAAGCTTTAAATTTGAATGGAATCTTCGACATTGCATTTTAATGTCACGTAACTTAATTTCATTGTTATCATCATAGCAGGATTAACTTTAATACGAAAATTTATCGAGGGAACACATCGTTAACAGCTCGTTATGTTTCTTATAATAACATTATTTCAAGCCAATTGCTTACCTGGTCCTTGCCATTAAGTATGTTTGTATCTAATATTACGTGATACCAAATCAACCATAAAAAATTATTTGCAGCAAACGATGCAAACAGATTCATGTGAAGCGTTATCCTAGCACATTTTAGAGATCTGAAACGAGAGCAAAACATTGTTGAATAAATTTCTTCCCTCTCACTTTCATGTAAAATGTAATTCAACTTGAATTTGAGACTTTCTAAACATCAAATACTTTCAAATAAGAAGATAAGCTTGAAATGAGTTAGTCTTCTGAAAGTAGAATTTCAAACCCTTGAGAGTTGATGAACAATTGTCATGTAAATTTATTTTGAAGTGCACGTCGCTTCTTGATATGTTCATGAATCATGTTCATTGTCACATTAAATTAAATTCAAAAAGGAATAACATTAAACACACACACACACACACACTAAGTTTATAATTTGGAAATTAAAATAAAGCTCAACTTCTTAATTTATGCTTTAACAATAAAATTATCAATGTAAATGTGGAAGAGTAAATTGATAATGAAATTCAGAAGCAGCTTAATTAATTGAGAATCTAAAGTTGAAGTGGCAGATACTCATATGACTTTGTCACCTTCAATCTCATACTTTAACTTCAAAATGACTCAAGATGCTTATTAATTTTCCCAAAAATCTTCACTGAGATTTAAATAAGGGACAAAGAACTTGTAAAGAACGCCCAAAATCTGTCAAACTTTGTTTACTCGCTATTGTGTTTACAAATCATAAAATATTCATCAAAATGATAATTTCTCGGGACCCAAGCACACAACACTTGTTTATTCTTCTGTTGATTATCTTTTCATGTTGCAAGGAAAACAATGTTCAAACTTATGTTGGGAGCATATTTTACAAGAAACATTATTTAAAAAGCGGCTTTCCTTTAAATACTTATGCTCGTGATGTCGATTAAAAACATGTTTATTGCTGTTATTGAGTAATGCTGAAAGTATCTGCTTATGAAGGAGATAAAATGGGAAATGCCGCCTATAACCATTTAATAAACAAGACCTTTCATATCTAATTCCCTTGTTTTATGATTAAAAATATTAATAAAATATAAGGGAAATTAATTTAACGACCCTTAATGTCACATCGTTTATGAAACTTAATTACAATATCAATGGATTTTCATTGTCATTAAACACAATTAAGTGGAGCTTTTCAATAAAACTTTGACGATTCTTCTTCTTTACTATTCATGTTATGAATTCTTCATCGAAATGGATTAGTAATGTTGACAAATTGAAACCAAAAATTTATTTCAATTAAATTCTTCAAATAAAATTTGGCATGAACTTCAATTTAATTTGACCGAATTGTCATCTCCCACTCTTTTATCTATAAAATAATCTAATGTGACTGGTGTAAGTCATTGAAATGGTAAAAATGCAGTGGAAATGAGAAAAGTTTTGCAGTTACATTTTTTTATTATTGAAAACTTTCTTATGAGAATATTGAAATATTTATTATCATGGCAGAGAGTAAAGTGAGTCGTTTGACAAATTTGACAGGGGGCGACAGCATTCTGGAGTATGAATAGAGATTTACAGCTTGGTTTCAAATCGCTGTTACTTCATCTCAAGGGACTGCGGTAATAGAAGTTATTGGCACAGCTGTAATAAACACCAAAGTATGCAATTCAAGCGACAACAAAGCTTTGGTTCGATAATCTTTAACACGCCGTATTGAGTCGTACAAATAACGTTTGGCATTAAACAAGAATCAGAAATCTTCTCATTGCATTTAATGTTTCACTGAAATCGTCAGAATTTATTACAAATGGTTTAAATGACGTGACAAATCCTTGGGTTGTGTCTGTAAATCAATCGTCCTTGTTGCGTGTGAAACATGACTCAATCATTGTTCTTGTCAACAGCTGAGAGCATAACGAGTAACGTATCTCGAATCAAGGATAAAACATATCTTTAGCTCACCCCTGAACTAATCAACAACTTTCTTGATTTAACCTTAAGGGAGACAATTACAATCGTACACGAATCACATGTGGTTTTTCATGTCAGCAGTCAGAGATGTTGTTTGATTGATCATCGTGCTTGATTCATTACACGACATTCCATCACGTACTTTCACAATTGATGTCACAACACGCAACTCTGCATTCAAAGCTTTCTTACGAATAAATTTTGTCGCGTGTAAATTAATTTGTTATCAGCAGTTTCATGTTTATAAATAAGTAGTTGAAAGGGAAATTGCCGGATTAATCAAAGTACAATGATAGTTATAATGACTCTGTAATTCAATAATGTTTTAAATAAATTTTCATGTCATACTTAATGAAGCCAATTATTAAATTTTGCATTCACTGAACACAAAAGCATGAAAATAAATCGAAGTTCGATAAATTACAACAATGCTTGTTGTTTAAATGAGCAAGCATGTAGATTTATCGGCGATGATTTCATTCACAATTACTTGTTGTGGATCACTTGTCCTGAGTGTCATTGAAGATAACAGAAATTCTACAACAATTAAAAACTTTAAGTGGACAAACTCCTGCAACAATGTCTGACAACAAGTTGCTTAGATTGCAGTATGTGGGTGAAGTTTAAATAAAGTTTATTAATTGGAATTGAAATTAATTTTAATTGGAGATTGTAAACTCTTTTAAGAGATTTTTCCTTCATTTTTCGTTATCATTAAGAAGCATTTGATCTGACAAGGAAGTAATAATTAGGTGAATGGCAATGGCTTAAATTCAATTCATTATAAAAGAAATTTGAGAATATTTCAACATTTTTTAAGCCTTAAAAAGGTACAAAATGGAACAATAATGTCATCGAACCTCTCGGGCAACTTTGATTTAATAACCTTGCATCAAAAAGTTGATTGAAGGTTATCTATTTCGGTACTTTTTTTTTGGGGTCTCATAAATAAAATTCTTCATTCACGTATGGACAGAGAAGAAGACAAAACAACAAAAAAACTTTCGCATAAATTCATATTTCACGCAACTTGAATTTCAATGCATTCATCGAATCTCTTGAATGTATCTTAGGAATCTTTAATTTTCTCACAGCATGATCAGTTCATAGTTGAAATAGGAAAAGTTGATAAGAAGAAAATTTCTAAATATTGTTTAAGTTAAGAAGTTCAATCTTTTAAGACAGAAAAGCTTAATATCGAAATGGTCGACGTCACATGTTTGGCTTTCTTCAGAATTCAATTGAGTAATAACATTTGATAAATAACTTCGATCAAGAAGGTTTAATATTTGTCAAGGCCCAAGGAGACGTTGAATTTGTAACATTATTAATGAATCTGCCCTTTATTTTAGTTCCACACAACCAGAATACAAAAACAAGTAGAAAAGCAAAATTGAAAAACTTTTTCCTTTTTTTCCTTATTTCATGGGGTGGAAAAAGTTTTTTTTCTTTCGTGAAATAATATTTATGGTAATGTTATTCGCCCATCTTTCTCGTCACTTCCTGACGACGTAAGGAAAAAAGGAATCAGGAATGAAGTAAAAAAATTATGTATTGTGAAGAAATGCTTTGTCACCATTAAGTATACAGAAAAAAAGGATTTAAAAAACGAGCAATTTGAGTTGAATGTGAAATAAATTTCATACTTGAACGCAAGGAAAATTTTCTCACCTAAAGTAGCAGAAAATGGAAATTGAAAGAAGTATCGCTATCAACGAGATGGTATATCCGGTCACGTAAATTAAATTCACATGTCGACGAAGCTGGGAAGTAAACAAAGATAAATTGACGTTCAGCTTTTATGACAAAGCAGGAAAAGGAAATACATTCGAACGTACTCACCTGATAGTCACCGAAATCGATGCATGTTGTGTAGTTTGTCCAAGTTTTATTTGTTTCCGGATGTCGAAACCAATTCCCATCACTTTCACAAACTTTGTGTGCGAATCCTTAGACATTAATTGCTTTATTTTCTTCATCATGTGACTTTTAATTTATTTACTTACTTGTTGGGTCGAACTCAAATAATGGTGGACATGGAACTTTGGCAATTGTATTACTAGGTGTGTCGGGAAAACAACTCCAACCATCAAATTGTCCGTCGCAATATGTCCCTAAAGAGTTTGAAATACAATTGAAACGTCAATAAAACAATAACATTTCATTGTTTGACAATATGCTGCCAAAATTTATGGCCTTAATATGGGAAATAACAAAAGTATCATTCAAGATTGTTACAAAGAAAGCTTTCACTGTGAAGCAGAAAATAAAATTGAAAAAGCTTTCAAATGACAACATGAAACTTTTGAATATTCAAGAATTCCACTCAGTAAAATTAAAGCTTTATGCTTGGTTTCAGACATTAAAAAAACTCTCTGCAAACTCTACTGAAGTTTAATTTGAAATAAAGATGTTTTTAATGAACAAAAATCAAAGAAAAGTTTCAAGTACTTGTCATTAAAAAAAGGGGGGAAGAGAGATATTTTATAGTATCATTAAACGGTGGCAATCTCCAAGCTTTCAAATAATTCTTTTAATATTCACCTGGTTCATATGTTATGTCTGCTTTCTTTAGTAATTCAGCGTCTAAGAATTCTATACATTCTGCTCTACGTTGCTCTATGATTTCAAAGTTTGGATCTATAGTAGCGGGTGCTATTGTTGTAGATGTTGTTCTTAAAGGCATCTTGAAACTTGATACCAGAATTAATTCTGAAAGCGAAAACAGAAGTTCATTCAATGAATTGTTAATGTTGAAAATCATCTAAATGATATTAATTTTTGTATTATGCTAGAAGAAGTTCGAGTTTACAATTACAATTCAAGTCACTGTCGATCGATAGAATTTTAAACACAGAACAAGCATTTAATTCAATTTAACGCTTTCATTATTCGAATTTTGAACCTCACCAACGTTTTTCTTTGTAGCCTTGAAATATTTTTCGCATGAAAATGAAATCTTCAAGCTTTTGTATGTCTCATTTGGCAATTTAACCACAATTTCCGAACGAGCGAGATTCTTACAAAAGGTAATAAAAGTGTAAATACTTTGAAGAAAAAAAGCTGTAATCAATCAAGTTTCATTATGTTTTCAGCCGTTTTTTTTCCTTCAATGAACTGAGGGTGGGGAACATAGGGAGAGAGTTTGTTTGCGCAAATATAATCATCAATATCCATAAAAATCAACAATGAACGTTCCAAATTGTTTTCGGAGAAGAAAAGATTTCATTTAATATTTTCTGTCCATTTAGTTTGATCTAATGACGCATGCCAGCAGTTAAGAAAATATTCAGTGACGCCTGTTACTTATGAAGCGTGAACATTATTATCATCTATATGCTGTTATCGAGAAATAAGTCGAGAAGTTTAATCCAACTTTAATCATGAATGCTTTTATCGAACATAATTGTGTTAAAATCTTCTTCTTTGTTTTCTCGCCGTCATTAACTTGTTGGACGATTGATTGCTCGTTACTCATTATTGATTTCAGTTTACTTTCATGATAAAGATCGGAAATCATGAATAAATAACCAATTTGAAATCGTGATGTCGGAAGAAAGTTTTTCTTCTCATTTTTCCCGTTAAAAAGTTATTTATGGTTGAAAATGACATTTTTTATTTCCTTCTTTCTGTACGAAAGATTATTCAATGTTTATTGCCTTCAGGAGATCTTTTATAACCGAAAGCATTAAGCCCTTTAAAAAATGACTGTGTGGAAAAATTCCATGAATATCATTTCCACTATTAGAGAGCTTCTCGATTTATCACAAAGAAGAAAACAGTTTTAGATATCATCTTAGAATGAAATTCTTCTTATCTCAGCAGTCACTAAATCAAGCTTCAACATTTAAACTTAAAGCTCATAAATCAGCGGTCTTTTATGGAAAATGAAAAAATAAAACCTTGAAAAAACTTAATGAGTGTGAAATTTTTGTGTAAATTCTTTTTTCACAAGGATAAATATTTAAACACGATTCCATGCTTACAGAAAATATCAAAGCTATCTCCAGGGTAATATCTTTAGGATTCTTTGCAACAGGTTTAATTCAATATTTGTTAATTTGATTGCGCGATGTTTATTCTCTCGTCATGTATCGCTGGAAGAGAGAAATGCAAAGACATTCTTTGATATCTTTTGATTTTCATTCTCTGCACCTTAGTTGACATGAAATTTCGTTAGATATGCAAATACAAATGTCGCTTTCATATAATTTTGCTTTGCATCTAGAAATATGAGACTTTAATGTGCACATTAACATGTGTAGAATATACAATGTGGAATTATGTGTCGTGTCATTGAAACAACAATCAAGTGGTTGCCTGCACGTAAATCTAAATTTAGAATTCTGCTTTCGAATCTTTCATTACAAGTTTTCAAGAATGTTAGAGGACTTAATTTCAATGTAAATGAGAATAATAAAATAATTGACGTGGAAAAACGAAATTTGTCAGACGGAAGTTGACTTTATTCAAAGATTACATAACAGATGTTTAAAAGCGTTTATTATCTTACATAACAAACATTCAGCATCATCTTTATATCACTTAAACCTTTTTGTTTAAAATAAGAATCATTAACACAGAGAGCGAATCTAGTTCAAAAGCAAACATAAATAATTTTCTTCTACATTAAACGTTCGTTTTTGTATACAAAGTTTTATGCACATGCTTCCCATTTCTTTGAATTTACTTTTTTTCTTTCAATGACTTCGTATATAAGCATTCACTATTCAGTAAGTGAGCACATGGTATTGACGATAATTTTACTTAATTGGATTATAGAGCAGTCAAGTGCATTTATAAATTTTTCATAGAATCAACTGCTCGAGATTTATTTTAATTAATTTTCTATCTGAAAATTTCACTTAAAATCAGAAAGCAAATAAATGAATTTAAATTACAAGCACAATGAGCTAAAAATAAATTGAAAAGCTCTTCAACTTTTAATCAAGATAACTTATTTTTAATTTTCGAGTGTTTAACGTGATAATGTAAAATTTTAAGTAACTTTTCTGATAAAAAGTAAAGTGACCAAAATGATTCATCCAAAGCAATAAATAAATCAAGATAATGAGTGAGTATTGACGTCTTTAAGATTATTCATTGCGACTGAGTTATTCGTAATAGGTTTGATAACTAAAATTAATGATAAGAAGGATTAACTTTGGTATAAAACTAAGTGGCACAAGCCATTCCGTATCAGTCTTCTTAATAGAAAACAGAAGAAAGGAATAAAGCAAAAAATGTTTTCGAAACTAATTTTTCTATTGATTGTTCCTGCAGTTTTTGGAATTAATCTACAAGTTTCATATCAGCAAGGACCATGTCAATCAGCTAATGTTTCAACTATGCCGTTCTTTGAAATGGACCGTTTCCTAGGAGAGTGGGTTGAACATTATCGAAGTCTCCTACTTGACGATCAAGACGATTGCGGGAAAAATTATTATTCGGCCTTCAATGGAACTTTTTACAACCTCACGGAAACTAAGACAAATATTGCTACTGGAAGAAATACCAGTTCGGCATTTTCTGTGCGACTCGCGGAACCGCTCTCAAATCCTGTGTACGGGAAATTATTAGTAAATAACGAGTACGGAATGTACTACGTCCCGCTTACAGATTATACAAGATACGCATTTGTTCAAGCATGTGAAGCAGTCAACTCAACTCATTACGTTCTACATTTGTGGTTACTTGGCCGGCCAGGAGCGAACATTAATATAAATGAATTCTTTATAGGAGGAACTGACCTATTGAGACCAACCATTCAAGACGATAGGTGAGTTTAACACGTCAGAAGATCAATTTCAATTATAAAAATTTAAATTTTAGATGCATTGGTATATTTCCAAATACAAATACAACAACTGTATCTCCAACTACACCAGATGGTGCATCCGCGATCATGGTTCCAAGTGTCCTAGCACTTCTTATTTTGAAGGCTTTTCAAATGTTTGTTTGAATAAAATTGAACTTTTGTGTAAATAAAAAAAGTTTTAAATAAAATTCCAGTTTTATCAATTACGCAATTATTCTGCAAAATAATTTTCTATTTCACATTTTGATAAGGAATTCAATAAATTGTAGTACGGTAATTTAATCTTCTGTTGATAAAAGAAAAGTCAGATAGAAAAGCAATAATTTTATAGAAGAAGAAGGAAAATTATTTCCAATGCCATGAATTGCCAGAAAGTCTCAATAAATTTTTATCCTTCAGCAATTCGCACCTGGAAATAATCGCAAACGTAATAATTATTGTTTTACACATTNAATGATAAGAAGGATTAACTTTGCTATAAAACCAAGTGGCACAAGCCATTCCGTATCAGTCTTCTTAATAAAAAACAGAAGAAAGGAATAAAGCAAAAAATGTTTTCAAAACTAATTTTGCTATTGGTTGCTCCTGCAGTTTTCGGAATTAAGCTTCAATTATATCAGCAAGGACTGTGTGAACAGGTTAATCTTGGTAGGCCGTTCTTTGAAATGGACCGTTTCTTAGGTGAGTGGGTTGAACATTATCGTTTCGTCCTACCTGACAATCAAGAAGATTGTGTGAAAAATTATTATTCGGCTTTCAATGGAACTTTTTACAACCTCACGGAAACTAAGACAAATATTGCAAGTGGAAGAAATACTAGTTCGACATTTTCTGTACGACTCGCGGAGCCGCTGGCAAATCCTGTGTATGGAAAATTATTAGTAAATAACGTGCATGAAATTTACTACGTCCCGGCTACAGATTATACAAGATACGCATTTGTTCAAGCATGTGAAGAAGTTAACTCAACTCATTACAATCAATATTTGTGGTTACTTGGCCGACCAGGAGTGAACATTAATCTAGCTGAATTCAATATTCAAGGTAGTGAACTATTGAGACCAACCATTCAAGACGACAGGTGAGTTTAATAGGTCAGAAGATCATTTTCACTTATAAAAATTTAAATTTTAGATGCATTGGTATATTTCCAATAACTACAACAACTGTAGCTCCAACTTCACCAACGGTAGCTCCAACTACACCAACTGTAGCTCCAACGACACCAACTGTGGCTCCAACTTCACCAGGTGGTGCATCCACAATTATGGTTCCAAGTGTCCTAGCACTTCTTATTTTGAAGGCTTTTCAAATGTTCGTTTGAATAAAATTTAATTTTTGTGAAAATACTTAAAAAAGTTAATAAAGTTGCAGTGTTATCAATTACGCAATTATTCTGGAAAATAATTTTCTTTTCTTGATAAGGAATTCAATGAGTTGTATGGTGATTTATTCTTCTGCTGATAAAAAAGAAGTCAGATAGAAAAGCAATAATTTTTTATAGAAGAAGAAGGAAAATTATTTCTGATACCACAAATTGCCAGCAAGTCTCAATAAATTTTTATCCTTCAGCAATTCGCACCTGGAAATAATCGCAAACGTAATAATTATTGTTTTACACATTACAAACAACTCGATAAAATCTTAATGGAAATTGTTCACCTCATTCTACTTAGTGCTTCTTGTAAGACTTTTACCTGATAAATGTAAACTGACAGCAATTGTATGTTACGTTTATCTCAATTAGCATTAGAAATTAAAGCATTGATTTTATGCTGGGAATAAGTTAGCGATAAAGTTAGCGATAAAAACTTAGTTCTTGACTATTCCGTGCAGGTGGTGTATTGTCGTTTATGATTGCGATTCGCATTAATAATAGAAAATAGTTTTGGTTAAGTAACCAAATTTTTCATATTGTGAGAGTGTGCGTGTGCATGTGCAAACTTAGAATCAAACTTTAATAACCAAACTCACTATAGCCAAGATTTAATAACCAAACTATCTCTGCAAATAACCCAACTTTCTTTAACCAAAGTTTAATAACCAAACTTTCTATAAACAATGTTTAATAACCAGTTTAATAACCAAACATTTCTTTAACCAAAATTTCTTTAACCAAAGTTCAATAACCAAAGTTTTATAACCAATCTTTAATAACCAANGCGTTTAAAATGTTCAAGTTCAAGATAAAAACGCAACGCATATCTACTTGAAGAGCCTTGAGATTTTTTTCTCTCTTGTTTGTTTACTTAGTGTGATTGTAGCTTTTTTTTATTACTTTTTCTTCTACGAAATTTAGAGATGAAGATAGTAAAAACATATTTCTCGTCTATTTTTAGATATTGTAAATTTAGATAACAAATATAAAGATATTTACTTATATTCTGTATAGATTCTTGCCAAAGGCTTCATTACTGATAAATTATTTATGAGCACGTCTTTTTGGTTTAAGCGATAGAATTTTCTATTAGATAAGTAATTTGTCTACTAAATACAACAAGGCTCAAATTTCTTGAGGGTTTTACGCAAAGCAAATTTGTTGTACACTTCCTGCTCTAATAAACAATAATCAATGAACTTTCGTCATAAGTTTGCGACATAAAAAATTCACAACGTCAACATGACATTTCAATTAAAACTTTAATTAATTTCATTGTAACATGTCTGATAAAATCGCTTGAGGTTAATTGGTACTTCCACTTTTCGATGCTTTTTTTAGTATACTTTCAAAAAACTAAAACTTTTTATATGCAGTAAATATTTCTTAGTTCAAGGGTAAAAATTTATGGAGAAATAACTAAAATTAATGACTGCAAAGTCAGTCTGCGAAAAGGAAAGGAAAACTATTTTCTTGCAAGTCACGACCCCTTTTTGCTGTTGTGAAATGAGTGATTTAACTGGAAACTGTTACATATTTATTTATAAAATAATTTCATGCAATCATTAATTTTGATTATCATTCTTATTGGCAACTTAAGTTAATTGCAAAGTCTGAAATTGATATGAACTAATTTCAACCGATTCACAACATTAGAAACTATTTGGAAAACCTTTTTGACATTCTCGAAAGTGTTTGTCGGAAGTAATCTGATATGTAGAGAATCTAATTAGTGTACTTAAGAAGATTGAGTTGTTGACACTTTTTATTTGTGTTTGAAAGACTATCCAGTAGATAGTGACAATTTTCAGTGAAGGTAAAGAATAAACAATGAAATCGCTGTGGGGGATTTTCAAATGAAAATTACTTTGAAACACTTTTTACCCCACGCGCGATTGGAAATTTTCTAATTGAACTTCCTAACTAACATTCTTCCTTGAAATTCTTTGTAATTTCCTCATTGTTTTCGTACAATTTTTAATTCTTTAAAGAAATCTTCATTAACGACAAAAAAGTTTTTCTTTATTAGGATTCTTAATGACTTTTCAAAGAAGATAATTTTCAAAGCGTCCCACTCTTTAATTCAGTTCTCTTAAAGTCCGAAGTAAAAGCATTTCATACGCTTCGAAGGAAAGAATGTGATTCGAGTGTTGAGCTTTACTCTCATGAATGTTATCATTACATCTCGTAAGAAAAGAAATCTTATCAGTTTTATCTTTCAAATAAGAAGCTGGAAAATTGTATCTCAAGTGATTCGGCATTTTATTCCATCATAGATTAGTGAAGGAAATCGTGTAAGAAGGCCATGGTCGGGAATACAAGTTGTGTGTGTGTAATATCGTTCAAGTTTATTTCAAGAAACAGTAGAAACCGCTGTAATTGGATTTGTCTCATATTGATTCATTTTAAACTTTCTTATTCAGCAAACGTTTCTGACTCAAATACAGCACTGCCAGCTCTCTGTGTTTATTTACTCGTAAATTTAATTATAAACTTCTTGCTTTATATTTTATATAATCTATAAATTCGATTGAATATTCACACTTGCACTGAATGTAAAATTAAAATAAATTTTCCATAAATTCGCAAAAATCATCTGACTTAGATCAGTCTTCTAAACAATTTTTCCTTCTTCGTTAACTTTTCTTTTAAAAAGCTCTTTCTCTGAGTAAATAATTTATTTAAATACTTCAGTCATTCAAATTTCTCAAACTTTGAATGTTTTTGCCGTTTTTCTTCATGTGAAGATAAAAAAACAAATTTTCTTCCCCGAAAATGTTCAATGAATAAATAATTTAACAAGTGTTGACAAATTTTATACATTCAGAAGGATGTAAATGTCTACACGCACGCCAAAAATTGAGAAATTTTAAAGTAATGGATGAAAACTTCCGCGAATCTTAAATCAACGAGATAAAAACAATTCTTTCGTCTTCTAAACGGTAACTTCATCAAAATCGTATAAAATAGGAGAAATAACCAAACGTGTGTGTGCGTATCACATATAAAAAGTAAATTTATTTATGTCACTTGATTACATTGAAAAATCACTCTTTAATTCAGTTGATCTTCTTTTCGACATCGTTTGTTCTCACCCTACAAATCATTTAATCCCATCAAGATTCAAGATTCGAGATTTTTTTATATCATCTTCAAGTTTCAATATTTTGTAAACGAAGCTTTGATAATCAACACAATGTTGGTATCGAAGAGACGAGATCAATATGATGCGGGAAATCTCAAGTAGGTATTTTCACTATAGCGATGAGAAGAAAATGTTTTGACAGCTTAAAGGCAGCAGGAGGTTGTCATTATTGTCGAAGGCTACGACATTTTTTTCTTCCTATTCTTCTCTTTCATTTCCGCTAGATATCGATCCTTTACCTATACTTCGACTAACCCAATTTTAGAATCATTTTATGTAAATAAATATTTAATGAAATTCAAAGAGCTCAAGAGCCATTACAGCTCGTTTAGATATAAAATTGATTGCATTAAATTGTTTTTCTCAAAGAGAAATTTTATAAACAAACATAATTTTCGGCAATAAAAGAATTTATGTACTCGTTTAAGTGAATTTAAAAACAGACAATATTTCACGACTGCTTCCAACAAGCTCCATAAATAAATTCCAGTGATATTGCTTATCAAGCATCTTGGATTTTTTACGGACAAGTTTAGATTTTCATTCCTAGAAGAGCTTTTCGATTAAATTTTTCTTCATAATCAAACATATTTAAAATGTTTATCTGGTCAATTGTATTATCAAAGTATGTCAAAGAAATATTTACTAACGATAGAATTTTCAATTTAATCCGCAAGACTTTAAATATTTCTTTATTTTCATTTCTTTTTTGGGTCAACATATTTGACTTTGAAGAATTTAATGTAAAAGGTTCATTTAAAAAACAAACAGCACACATGTGAGAATTCTTATTGTAGCTTAACTGCAGATGAGTTGGCTTCGAAGCCAATTTTATTAAATGATTGAGTCATATTTAACGATAGACTGAAAAAAAATCCGCGTCTGTCATGAGGTTGTTGAATTGATTGATGTAAATAATCACTTTTTTAATTCATTCAGTCTGACTATTTGGAAGCAACTGCTTTTTGTGTTTTTCTCGTAACCAGATAAGTAGAAATTGGATTTTGACATGTCAACGCGTCAACAATATTTTTTCCAACACTTTACTCGAATGAACGATAATTAAAGCCGAAAGCAAAGTAATGTGAGACTCGTAAAAAAAAATGCTAATTAATTAATTACAGTCAGCATGCTATGTATGAAAAAGGAGCGCGTAAAAAAAACATGAAAAATGACTGCGCCAAAGTGTGTGGTCGATGGCTTACGACGTGGTGTAAAAAGTTTAACGATTGTTGATCAAGAATAAAAGTGAAGCAATTTTGATGATGAGCAAGATAGAAAGGCGAGTTGATAAATGGAAAAAAGTTGATAATAGAAAGACATGAATCGAATTTGTTTTGCTTCGTAAACGAATATCATCAAAACAACAACGACCAGTAATTTGATAACAAAGATTTTCTCCCAATGTCTGATATTCTGCTACTGGCTCTTTTTCTGCCTTTCTCACAAAACATTCAATATACGTTCTATCTTTTTATTTGGTGCCTTTGAGGATTGTAAACAACAACTAGATCAACTTCGATTCATTTATTGCTTTGTTGATATATCTACTTTCTTTATTTTCTATAAATAAAAAAAAATTGCTTCCTTTCATCGGAATTGAAGGAAAAAATCAAATACGTTTTTTTCACATTACATGTTTCCTTTTCGAGACTCTTTTACAAATTGTTCTCATTCAACAATTCTATTTCAGTTGTTAATTCCATTTTTATCCAATGACATAAATAATTTATGTATCCACTTCCTTCCGATTTTTTTATTTCATCACCTTTCAATCGCGTTTTCGTGCTTTTTTTATTGTTTTAAGAATTAATTTGGCGTTAAGCATCGTATGAGAAGAATAAAAAAATTTTTTTTTATATCTTCACAAACTTATTGGAGTGATTAATTACCGCTAACGTTTTAATTACACTTTGGATTCCTTGGCAGATATCTATCAATAAGATATCACAAAAATATTTTTCTCACAATTAATTTTACTTGATATAATCATCATTAAATTATTCGACAGATTACTATTATTCACAAATCCATTTCACTTCTTGGCACAATTCAAACATCAATTTTTTCTCAATTTTTATCATGATTCCTTTTCTTTCTTCTTTTAAAATTTAATTATTTTTTGATAAATTACAGTGATAGCCACCGAACTATCCAATTGCACAACATTTTTGCTATGCTAACCGACAGTAACTGAAAATATTTTCTGTTCTTATCCAGTTCTCTTCGCACAACTCGAAACTCTCCGAAAATTATTCAACCTGGCAAACTCTACAAACTCTCTTGAGAGACTAAACGAAGCATGATGTGAAGCTTGGAAGAAACAACATTCATTTTCCTTTAATTAATAATTAATGTGCTTGATGCTTTCTACAATCATTTTAAAAATGTTGTCATATCTTGGAAGCAGCATAGCAATGACAACTTCTTTACCTTTATAAAAAATTCTGAATTTAAAATAGATTGAACAATGATAGAGCAGAAAATTTACCATGACTAAAAATTTATAAATGCATAAACTCGGGAGTTACGCGATTCAGAATATTGTATGTCATTTACCATAAAAATGTTATGCATTTTCATCATGAGGAATTTTTCTCATAGATATGAATAAATAATTTCTCCTTTCTAGCTAGTTTTATTCGATATTGTCAGATGCTTCACCATAGATGCATTTTATTCAAGGAAATTCCTAGAACCCTAATAAGCATTTATATTGAACTTATAGAAAACTTGTAATCTCTTGAAAATTCATAACAGACAATTTAACATCCGATTTGGATATTTGTAACATCTTAGCATGGACTTAATGTTGAAAGCTTGTTTATAAAAGCTTTACCAACATGTGTTAACAATATTTAACACTTTGATGTTTCTATCTCAATCTACATACAAAATATGTTTGAGTATAATGAATAAATACTTTGAAGGAAAGCTTGAAGATTGCCAAAAGCAAACATTTCAATTGATATTCATCATACAATATCTCTCTTATGATGAAGATATCTCGAATTTAAAAAAGCAAGCAACAGGTTTTTGAATTCTCTTGATTGAATTCTCAAAGTTCTCTTGATATTTCAAGGAGAGTCAAATGAACTCTCTCCTAACTGTTGTCTGTTGTCGGTGTGCATTCATTTACAACTCAGTGTGCAATTTTTGTATGTCATGTGCCATTGAAACTTAAAAGTGAATTGATTGTAAAGAATTTTAAATGTATTAATCGATTTGAAACAAGTCAAGGTGTGAATGATTCATCCGATTTGTTGGAGTTACAACTGCTGTCACTAAACTTACGTAATGTCAACAGACGTTCAACCGCGTAAAATGCTTTATCACTTCCTTGGAATAGCAAAATAAAATAAAGCTTAGTTTTATTTGCAAAACGTCATAAATTCTCGGTTATGATGGAAGTTGGTTGGAATACTTAAACAAACAAATTCAATCTTGATAATAATTATCTCGTTGGAATTAAGCAGATGTATGTACATGTGCTTGAAGCTTTTAAACAAGGTTCTGACCAAGAGAAAGCAAGATAACGATAATGGTTTTAAGATCATACACGGAATAGATAAGAAGAGAAAATAATTAAATAAATTAGATTATGCGAATACTTTCCGACCTTGGAGATATTTTTTTTTCACATTAAGAGATCAAAAAAAATCTTCCGAAATATTTGCACACATTAAACTTTTTTTTTCCGCGTGATTTACTTCACGCGATCATATTAGCGTCAATTAAAATTTGTAACGTTTATCTAGCTGACATGATTAACAACAACTTCATTCGCATTGTGCAATTTGATAGATATTTAAAAGCAATGTCAACTTAGTCAGTGAATATGTGAGTGCATTCTAATTAAGCTTCATGCCATGTTTTTCATCTTGTGTTGAAAATTTAATTAATTTTTATTTTTGAATCTTGGCATACGACCAATGTTCAATCAATGAAACTTTTTAAAGAATTTCTATGTTTTCCCAATGGGAGAGAATGCTTCAAACTATTTTCGATTCCGAGATTCAAAATGAGAAATTTAATCTCAAGTTCAAGTCATCAACTACTTTTCTTTATTACAATAAATTACGCCACAGTGGCTTTAATTGTTTTCATTTTCATGCTTCAAAAGACGACAGAACTTTTCTTCCTTTAGCTTAATTGTATTTTAATAGCTCGAAAGTCTTTTATTAAGATGCTATGAGATGTATTCCCATCTTTTACGGAAAGGAAGGTTTTCAATGAGAATCTCTTCACGTTGTATATTGTTTTGTTTGTTTTGTGCTCTCAACGACCTTTTTTAAAATAATTGTTCTAACAAGCATTGTTCCGCATAATTCAAAAATGAAATCTACGTGAAATTTGTTTACAAGATAAGTACTTTGAATGATGTTAATAATGAAATTGAAGTCAAAGCAACGTTTTATGTTGCTTTTGACGATGTAAGTTTCATCAACCATAAAATTACAATTCAAGTGTCTGATTTTATATTTTATTTTATGAAAATTTTCTCCGCACATAAGAATTCAATATTAAAAACAAAAGAGTCTCCATTTGAACTTGATCTTCATGCTCGTTATACTTATCCCAGATGTACGAAATGATGAAATCTATTGATTCACATATGCTGATTCGAGTAATAATAAAAACATTTATTATAGTATGCAAATTCATCAAATGTTGATTACAAAAACTTGAAGATTCTTTTTCATAATCATAAACTGTTTTCCAACCGTTTCAAAGAGTATCACAAAATATTAGAAAGCAAGACTGTGATTTAATAGCTTTTCTCTTCAGTCTGTTTGGAATCATAAATCATTTGTCAGCCTATCATTTTCTCACATCACTGAACTGATGCCAAAAAAAACAAAATTTTAACTCTTAACAGAAGTAGAAGGCGAAATTTTGCTTTCATTTTCGGATGTTTGTAAAAGTAGCAAGAAGTATTAAGAACTCTTTCCTTTTCATCTTTACATGACCCTTTTGTGTTAACGGTCAATTTATTTTGCAGGATTTTGATTCTTTTTTGTTCTCTTCTTTGCTTCAGGCACACGTCGACCATCAAAGTGTTTCAGAATTGCTTTTTTCCGCTAGTAGAGCTCAACTAAGGGTTTTACATTCCACAATCATATTCACATATCATTAGGAGTCGTACTCAAAAAAAAAAAGAGAAAAAGAAGTAAAGAATAAGGATATTTGATGAATTCATTTCGATTGGAATTCAATTGGATTTTGTATCGTCGTTAGAAAGAACGTGCTTAGGTTTTCTTAACTTTTCGTTTATTCTTTTTATTTTCACATTCCGTAAATTTATGTTTTCCGATTTTGAATCAATCCTACCGGAAGGAAGGAAACGGAAATCTATTCACAAATATTTTGTAACTATTGAACGATATGAAAATAGGAAGAAAAAGAAGAAAAAATACAAATAATAAAACGAGTTATGTCTTAAGGCAGGACTAAAGGCGTTATTGTGCGTTCGCAAAATAAATTGATCGTATTATGTTATGACTGCGCTTTGCTTATATGTACATGCTAACAAAAACATATGACAATCTCTCGCTTAAAAGTACGAGAATAAATATAGGAATAAACTGACTATAAATCGAATTAAATCTTGATTCTGTCAATGCCATTGTACACATTGAAGTGAAAGTAATCTTGATAATACTAAATTGAATATTTTCGTTCTTGTCTTTTTATCAAAGAAGCAACTTCAAGAGATTTTCTTGATGAAAACTTTTTCCCCTTCAAAAGTTGTTTATTTCGAATTTATATCAATTATCAATGAGCATTTAAAGTTAATGAGTTTGAGGAAATTATCTTTTTATGTCTTGACTTAACAGAAAATATCTAATTGTATGGAAATAATAAGATTTCTGTTTATTCAATTTCTTCACAATCCCATTTACGCCTTTTTCGAGAGTATTTAAGCAAATCATGAATGTCAAAAATCATTGAAAAGCGTTCAAATAGAAATATTTTGTCAAATTGACTTGAAACGTGAAAATAAATCACTTATATCTGAAAATTATTTTAATAATTTAAAGTAAACAGGATTGCTTTTGAATCAAAATATTTTTAGAATTTTCTTGTTACATCATTAATTATGTTTTATACAACATAAGGTAAGGTTTCCCATTAAATTATGAAAACATTGTTTTACTAAGATAATTATTTTGATTTAATAAGCCACTTAGAAAGCTTTTAAATCGTGAGAAATTCAACTACCTTATTACTGAACATTATGAACTTTGAACGGAAGGAAAATTTCTTCAGTTCCTCTTCAAAGCTCAATTAAAATGGAAGCTTTTCTTGATAACTTCAGAAGAAATACTAAAAATGAGATCAATTTTGACTCATTCACAAAGTTTGCACTTTTCTGTTTCAAATTGGGAGGTTTTAAATTCCAACAACTCAGCGCTGATGCAGATTTGAAAGAAAGATTTTATCATAAATTTCAAAGAAATTACTTGAGAGTAGTTTTCATCGCTTTTGTGTATGGTTTCTTCTCCTTCATTGCATACGCTGTGAGAGATGCAAAGGATTTTGTCAGCGGGAGTTTATCTATACCAAACATGGCAACGGTTTTATTAATTTGTTTAAAAACCTTCATCACTTATTATCACAAGGAGAAGATTTGGAATATTTGTCAAGATTTGAAAGAAGTTTTCGCAAAACGTGAAACAAATCAAAACGAAAAATACAATATCAAAGCATATTTAAAGGAATATAATTTGGAAACTCGAATTTGCGGATGTATCTGTTTAATTATTTTTTTGTCTCTAGCATTTCCGATTTTTAAGTTCTTAAATTATGGGACGATGGAATTTACTATTCATCCTTTCGCCTTGTTCTTTGCAGCATTTAGTGGATTTTATTATATAATCCTCGGTTTAGCAACAGATTCAATGCTTTTTGTTTTGATAAAAATCTTAGCTACGGAATTTGATATCTTGTCAATTGATTTCAATGATTAAAAATTTTGAAAAATGATGAAGAAATCGAGAAAACGATTGAAAGGTTAATCGAACATCATCAAAAGCTCCTTGAGTACGGTGATAAATATTACAAGATATTTATGGCGTGATGTTTTTCTACAGCTTCGAAATTAGCGCTTTGATATTATGCGTTCTCGCATTTCAATTGTTATTTGCTGATGATACTACAATTTACACATTTTGCGCATCGTTTTTCTTTTTGATGGCTGGGCATATTTTCTTATTATGTTCAAATGGACAAAAATTGGAAGACAATAGCATGAAAGTTGCTGAAGGTGTTTATGCCAGTAGATGGGAAACTTTCCAGAGCATAAAAGTTAAGAAACATATTTTGTTCATCATGATGAAATCACAACGTGCTAAACGATTGACTGCTTTGAACTTTGCTGATGTTTCTCTTTCAAGCTTTGCTCATGTAAGTTTCAAATTCGATATTTTTATTAAAATTAATTCTTTATGTTTAGATTTTAGCAACCACCTGGTCTTACTTTAATCTTCTGAAACGTGTTTCTAATGGCACTTAAAAGATTGAAATTTAGACATCATTACAAATTGTTGTTATTATTAAATATCGATAATGACAAAATGATTAAGTCGAGGAATGAAGTTCATTAACAAATTTTGCTTTCAAATTAAAATATTGCGAACAAACTCACGCTTATTCTCAAATTAAATATATTTGTCACACAACATTACTTAAAGCAATGTTTCATCCAACATTTGTATTGCAAACAAAATTTATTCACGAATATTAGGAATAGAATTGATTAAAATCATTTCGAGAGAAATTTGCTACTAAAGCAAACCATAAATATCATTTCAAGCAGAAGTTCTCCCTCGAACAAAATAGATCTACCAAAACATGTTAATTTACGTATTTTAAGAGCAAAAATAAATGGATATTCGAAAATATATTAAAACTATTTATTGGATTTTGTTATCATATTGCTTACGGACATTCAAAGGTAAAAACTTTATTCACACTCATAACTTTTTATGATAACCGCCATCATTTCTAATGGAATTGCCAACTATAAATTTGCTTCAATGGACTCAGGGAAATATTGAAAACGATCTTCTATTGATAACCGAAACCAGAGGAAAAAAACAATTTTGTTATTTTTTTTTAGTTCCAAAAAATTTTATGGAGCTTCTTATAATCTTCTTGACCTTGTAAAGCTTTAATCTCATCATAATCACACAAAAGTCAGGACCTTTCTTGTTTTCAAACGAAGTCAATCATGACTTGATAATGACTAATTTTGTTATTTTTTAATTTCCAAGCAAATTTGATAATTGTTGACGTTGGAAATATCAATAGAGCAAACAGGCAATGATCAAAAATTCAATAAATAATCAAATTGGAGCTTCTTATAATTACTTTAACCTTGTATAATTTAATCTCATCATATTTAATCACACAAAAGTCATAACCTTTCTTGATTTCAAATTGTTTCAAGTCGATTTGTTCTTCCTTTCTTAATAGTTTTGTCTCACACTATTATCTACTACAATTTTTAAAAACAGGAAAATGAAACAATTAAAAAAAATCTCACTTTATCAAATCTTCGCCTCTATTGAAATAGAAAAAACTTTTTTTGATCTTTCAGTTTGGATGATTTTAAAACAACTGAGAAAGTCTTTAAAATGAAAGAAACGAATGAGATTAATTTTATTATCAGTAAACGATTCATAAATATAAAAGTCGTTCTTCTCCCTTCAATGGGAATTTTTTCTGATTCATCAAAATCATAATTTTGTAATTTATTCAAATGAAACTTTGGCAATTTTGAACTCTTAAAAATTTTTCAGTGCTTCAGAATTTTACCTAAAATATTTCGTAGTTATTTATCTGATTTAAGTTTAATTATGGAAAATTGTTGTAAGAAGATATTTCAAAGTTATTTCAACACATAAAAGCATATAATTTTAGCTCATAATTTGTGACCTCAACATAACTAATTCTATAAATATTTCTCTTTTCAGTTCAAATAAAATCTAAAATATGTCAGCAATTTACGCCACTGATTCCTCTAGAAATTCTGATAACTTGCTTGTCACTTCAAGTTAATTCACTTCACTTTTGATCAGCTTGGAAAGAGTGAAAGCTTCAAGCTCTGAATGTTGGGAACATTATTTAAATATTTAACGAAAGTGGTTGATTGTTTATTAACATGCATTGTTATGTTAAAATGCATTGCTGGAGTAAGTAAAAGGAACATCTGAATGGAATTTAAATTTCAATACTCACGGTTTTAATGTTTGCTTCCTTTCATTCAACAACCATTTAAATTATATTTTGAAATTCACTCAGGGAGATTTTCACAGTGAAAAGAATTTTAACGATAAATGTCTACAATTTTAAGCTTTATCGTGTGAAAAGCTTGGCTGTTGAGATTTGCTAATGTGCCTTGAAAATTTTTCATGTGCAAAATTACGCTCCGGATGTTTGCAAGTGAGAAACAATGCTTTTTGTTTTCCTTTTCAGCAATCACCATGGTCGTTCTCAAAAAACCTTTTTTGAAAAAAGTAAACTAAATAAGCTAAACCCAAAGTTTCCAAAAATAAATTTCATCAATCTGTAATTTTCGATTATTGTCTTGTCATCCTCCGCACAATAAATATAAGATAAACAATATCGCTTTTAGATGAAGCCCCGAACTTCAAGAGATTTTTTTTTCGTTATCCTCCAACGCTAACTCAATTTATTCTCCGGTGCACAATAGCTATGAAAATTCCGATCTTTGTAATCTCATCAATGTTTGATTTTGGCAAAGCACTCAACACAATCTATTTTTAGACTAGAGAAGCAAAGCGGATTCAGCGGCATCATAATCGCTTTTAAGCACACAGATTTATATTGCTTATTTTTCAACTCTTGAATCACTTTGGATTACATGAATTAAACCGATTTGAAACTTTGATATTGTTAATGGATTTCAATGAATATTTTCTTCTGCTATAACTTTGTGTCAAGATTTAATTTTATTGTTCCGATGATCATAATAGAAACTTTCACGACTTCATCATTTGTTGTTTTCCATACAATCTCTTGGAAGGATAATTGAAAGTTTCAATTCCATTCAGGTATCTGTGCAAATACAATATCATGTTCAACAGAAAAGTTTTAACAAAACATTCATTCATAGATTCCACTTCAATGTTGGAATTTAATAACAACGAAAATATTTATGACAACCATGTCGTGTTCTAAAGTTAAGCGTGGCAGAGCTTCACATTTCACATTGTATTGAAATTCTTTTAAGAATTAAAATTTTAGTTTCATTTACATTAAAAGATGTTTAGAGTTTGATAAGATTTGATTAATATTTTGAAAAATCATTCAAGTTCATCATGAAAATTAAAGGCTGGTTTAATTAATTTGTAGATCACTCAAACTTTATTCATTAGCTGAAATGTTTAGTTTGCCTGCATACTCTCAGGGTGTAATTATTAAATATCAACATAATTGAGTGATGTTTTTGTTTGATCTAACAACTTGTTTAAATTCAGATGACAGTAAAAGTTACACAGCTTTCCATAAAAATAAACAATATTTAATTTAAATGTTCATTATTCAGGACAATGCAATTTTAAGAAAGCAAAAAAAGTTCTTCACATTTCTGAAATGAAAATTTTTAGATAATTAAATGAAATGCAAATAAAAATTCCTTGCAATGAATACACATGAGCGATCTATTAGCAACATTTGATTACATTTAGTGACGACGTTACTAATATAAAATCTTCCACTAATTTGTCCTATGTATAAACTAATTAAAAGTTAAATAAATATCTGCATTCATTTAAGTTAATGAGTCTTATGCTGATACTAAAAGCTTTTATAGAATATCAGAAAAGCACACTTAGTGCACAGTTTATGTTGCAACTATAAAAAAGCAACATAAATACAAGTTAAGCTATGCAAACACGTCGTGCATTTATAAAGATGCAGTTCTTCATCCCCCAGTTCACTCCCATAGCTTAACTTTTCAAAACTTCAAGCAGGAAGAAAAATCTTTCATTTAAATAAATGAGTAATAAAAGCTAAAGAGAAGCTTTATTATGGAATGAAAAACGACTTTCTAAATCACAGGAGCAATACTTTTCTTCCTTTCATTTCCATTTATTTTTTGTTGATATAGCGAAAACAAATTCCATCGAGAAAACTAAAACTTTTTTACTTTAACTTTTCATATTAACTCTTATGCTTACATATTATTTAAAAGTTATATCAAGTTAGTGAAACCTGAAACGTTCAACAAATTCAATCGACTGCAAGATAAAAACAAGATAGAGGAAAATCAGAACATATGGAACGGAAACATCTGATAAAACTGTTTATCTAAGAATGAAATTGCTTTCATATCTTTCCTTCTGCATGTACAAATTTTCATCATTATTTTCATTTTTTAACGCTTAAGTGTGGCTGGCGGATATTCCAACACATTCCTAATTTACATTACAATGTTAATATTCAACATGACTTGCAACAAGCAGATTTAAATTGACTTTAGAAAAAGCTTAAAAGCTTTTAATGAAAGACTCATAAATAGCATTACGAAAACGAAGTTTGAAGCTCGCATTTTTAATTACAAGCAACTTTTTCAATTAAAATGATACAAAAAATAATGAGGAAAATTCATTTTGCATGGGTAATCTGGAGCATATTTCGTGTTCATGACACAAAAAGCCATAAAGTTTTTTTCTCTGTCATTTATTGTTTATTTAACGTCACTTTTATTTTGGGATTCTATAAAAAGTATTTTCATGTGATGCTTTAATAACACCATGAGGCATATCGCGGTGTCATAAACAAAGCTGCGTGCTAACAGTTTCCAAAGAAAAAAAAAGTTTTCTAAATTATAATTCAATTAATTCATTTTTCTCTTATGTGTTGTGTTCATGAATTTGAATCTACGATTAATTGGAAAAGTAAAGAGAAAGAGACAAATTAAAATTCCACCCTTTTATTATGAAATATTTGACAATTTCCCGAGTTTCAAATGTAAACAATGTTGTCATTGTTGAAATTATTATGAAGTTTAATAAAAAAGTTTCTGACAAACATTTCCGTTACATTTCCTATTTATTTTCCTCTTAATCGAAAAAATGAATAATTAAGTATACAGATTGAACTCTAATTGTTTATGGCTTGAAGAGAAAAATTCTTTTAAAGTTAAAAAGCTTTTTGTTTTCGCTGTTGTCAAGCGTGATGAAAGATTCAATCATAATTGACTTCCAAGGTGTTTACAATCTTACAATAATCATTGAGAGGATTTTCAAACTCAATCTCTTATAAAAGCTTCAAGACGACAACGTTTCGACTTGTTTGCAGCTTTAGTTATTAAGAATTCAAAAGAAAAATGAATCGAAATTCGTTGATGAGTACCATAAAAAATTGATTATATTTTTTCTAAAGAACAAAATGATAAACTCAAGATCTCAATTGTTAAAGATTTCAATTTATTCATCAAATAGCTTCTCGAATCAAATCAAGTTAAATTGAAATTCAATGTTCCTATGTGTTGTGAAATTGAATACGTCACAATCATTGCTTACTTAAAATGCTTCAATTTGCTTTTAAAGTAGAATGAAAATTTGTGCATGGAATTTCAAAGACGTTAATGTTTGTGAAGAAAAAACATTCTGAATTAGAACATACAATTTATTTGAAGTAAATTCCAATTTTCTTCTCTCTTAGGTATGTTAAGCTTATAATTCTCTCTACTTGCATTTCATTTCCTTCAACAACAAGGGGGAAAACTTTTCTTCAAATTCCTAACAAGCTAACTTTCTTGTTCTCGTTTTAAAAGACTTTACAAGATTCAAGCAGTATCTGTTAACATTCAGCAATTTTATTTTATATTTGAAATATCTCAACAGACAAATACTCAGATGAATTGTGAAGTAAATTGCAGCTTCCATTAGGATTGATGTGTACATGTTCACCCAGCTCCGACACTTCTGAGCTTTTGCTTCGTTTGTGAATGCCAAATAAAAATTTTCTTACCGTATTGTAGATTTTCTATTTAAATTAAGAAATAAATACCTAATTTCACATATGCACTACATGAAGGATTTAAAATGATTTTACATGATAGTTTTCGGCACTGAGGACGTAAAGTGCATGTCATGGAGAAAACTTTATTGATTTATATTTTATCTCTTCCATGTTCCTGTTTATAATCAGTTTTGCCTGTGACGAGCTTTCCATCAGTTTACATTTACGTACAGATAATTTATTTACCCTCACTTTGCTTCAATTTTAATACCATAAACCATAGAAGCAATATAATTGAGAGAAAATTTCATAAGAATCGATTTTATATCAGAAACTCTTTAAACTACAAAGTTCTTTAATCCAGTCAACAACTAAAGCTGACCTACAAGTGTACAACAATATCTTTGCCAGATTAATTTCGCCTCCTGTCGTGCTTTCAGTTTATAGTCTTCATTAGCATTTTGTTGATGGAAAACATTCACGCTCTTTGCACATTCGTGCTTAACTGAACGTAAAATACAAAAATCAAAGCCGCAGAAAATTCCTTCATAGTCCAGTTCGTTCTATCGTGGAAAAAAACCTACAGTAACACTTTAATTTGTGTTTTCACTTCACAAGTTCATAGATTCATGAATCTTATAAGAATGAACGTATGAATTGTAATATGAATTAATGGAGAAACGATGTTGAACAATGAAAACTGTAAATCATTTAAAATGTAATAAAACTATGAGAATTTTTCATGGTTTTCTTTCGAAAGTTCTCTTATCCGAATGCAAGGCTTTCCCTTCATAAATTTCATAATTTTGATTCATATTTTTTAAGGTTTTTTAAATTTTATGCTTTAATGTCTTAAAGGAAAGAAGTTGAAATGAGAAACAATTGAAATAAGCAGCGTTGATTAAGCAACTCAGTTATGCAGTTATGAAAAGGCATTTTCCTGAGGGTCAACAAGGCAATTCATGTATTCGTGTTATGTTTCACAACATTGCAGAGACCTTTTTTCTCTTCCTTTTTCCGAACCCCCAAAGCATTTTGTGGAAATTAGACTTTGAACACATCTGATAGTGAGTTTGCATTTCAAGAGCTTTAAAGAGAATGAATTTTAACACGTCGACGACGATGTAGAAAATGAAAATTAAGCTTCAATCATTTCGAATGCATTCCGAACGACATTGTTTTCATCAATATGTGAAAGTGACAAAACAGTTGAGAATTTAAAGAGCAAATGTTTATCAACTTTTAACATTTATCACCCTCTGCTTTTAAACAAACTTCTAGGAGCTTTGCTGACGCTGTATAGAAATTACGCTGTTATAAGGACGTAATCTCTTTCTATCTCGGTTCCTTTGTGAAATGAGTGGGAAAAGAAGAAGTTGGTGCTTTCAGATAACGAAGAGAAAGGATTCTAAAAGCTCAGTAATGTGAATCGTCGAAGTAAGTAATAAAACATAAATCATATTCAAGTGTTCAAAGCCTCAAGTATCTGCACACCTTCATCTTTCACATTATCATTGTGGCAGTCTTGACAAGACGAAAAAGGATCTTAAAAGCTACATCTGCCTAATGCACAGTGTAAAGACTCTTTTTTCTCATAGTACGCATCATTTCGTTGAAAAACATTTGCATACAAAATGAGTGCTTGATTGATGGCACCAAATATTTCATTCCATCAAGTTACCAAGTTATTCTTAGACATAGATCGAATGCCCTGAGTGAGAGTAAAGTAAAGGCGTCAGTAATTTTTCGTCAAAAATGAATCGTTTGCAGGTCAAAATGATAGAAGAATTCTTCATAAGATACAAACGATTGCAAGAAGGAGAACCATAATGTTGATGTCACATCCCTAAGGTCATTAAAATTGTGTTTGAAGCATTTTTTTCGCGCTGAATCTTTTTAAAGCTCCCTCGATATTTTATTTTAAAACTTCTAACACTCTGAGAGTATAAACAGGTCAGTGTTTATTTTATTCAAATCATCCTGAATCTCATCAAATATTTTCAGGAAATAAATAATTAAGGAGTAGAAAAAATACCTCTATCAACAAAACAAGAATTAAAAAAGGCCCACAAAGATCTTTCTTTCTTTTCAATGTCGAAAAAAAGGCCTTCAAAGGAAATTTAATCTCCTTAAATCTGTTTAAATGTAAACGCCCGCAAGAATTCATTAATTGTACAAAGTCATCGTTTTTAAGAGAAAATATTTGAATGCAATTAGAGAAAGGGTTGGAAGTTTAGTAAAATTTTAAGCTTAAAATGTTTTCAAATATGCGAAGACGCTGCTGACAGAATTCTCAAAGAAGCTTTCAACCGATGTCAAGGAAACTGACTCTAAAAATCTGAAACAAAGAAATGAAAAAGCTTCAACCGTTCTCAAGATCATAAAAGAATTTTCTTTTATTCAATCTTTCATTTTCTTTTATTTTTCTCAAAATTTAATTTAAGTACACATCAAATATTGGTTTTAGATACTTTTAGAAATCGTATAATTAATCAAACTTTTCTTTATTATTATTCTTATTTTATTTCATGAAATAAAAAGTGTTTTTTGCTCTCGTATACTCATTCGTTATTTTATGTTGCTGTAATTAATTTGTTTTATTTATGTTTATGTCTCATCTTCTTCTTTCATGTTCTATTTATAATCTTTTGTAATTTTCCAAATTATGCATCAGCACGTCAGGAAAGTGATGATCTATGTGTATGTGTGTGATGTGAGAAAACTGCCACATGGCATGGGATATTTTTGCTTACAGAACTACTCAAGCTTAATTTTCTTTAATTCTTTCTCTTCTTTCACCATCCAAAAAAAATGGGAAAAGGAAACAAAAAAGTTTAAAAATCTTTATGAGGGATGAAAGAAGAGAAAAACAAAAAGTGTCATCTTACAAACTAAGCAAAACTTGTTTAATTTTCTAATAAAAGCAGAGCTAAGGAAGTATAGAAGGAAGGAAAATCAAGTTAATGCCATCAAAAATTGATACTTTTCTTCGTTCTTATCATCAAGCAAATTCAAACGATTGATATTTTTTTATCATCAGCGTCAGATTGGGATATGACAACATCTTGTGTGCCAACTCCGCATCCTACCATTGAGATAATAAACGAAAACAACGAAAATTGCTTACAAAATAATCAATTTTCAAAAGTTTTAGAAACGCAACTGTTTCGCAGTTATTCGTATACATGTTTTGTTTGTTTTACTTTAATTTTTTTTAATTTTCATTGAAAATTTAGCGTTGAAACAAAAAAAGAAGCTTTTTGAAAATATTTAAATGAGCTTTCCAAGCTTTTAGAGTGCTTTGAAAGTTTTTTTTTTCACTTTACGTATATGAGTAAAATTGCACGAAGCTCTACATACGTTAAATTACGTGATGTACGCTTATTACGTTTGTTTTCCCGCGTAAGCGGCGCTTATGCGACACTTACGCAAAGTCACGTATTCTCAGAACTTTTTAACTTCGTGCAATTGAAGACAATCATTTATTCAAATCATTTAGATCATTCATCTTAAAATATGACCAATGAACTCATTAATTGAAAAACAATTTTAAATGCGACTCTTCGCTCTTCGTAAATTTGTTTGTGTCGTATAATTTGCTTCGTATATCAACGGTTTTCCGACCTGATTTGATCGTCGATTAAATAATTTGAACGATTTTTATTATTTTTCAATTGTGAGAAGAATGAAGAGATTCTCTTCTTTCTTTTTTGTATACTTTTGTTTTTTAATTGTGTTTTGTGTGCTCTATGAAAGAGAAGCGAAAGCTTATTTTTTTCATTAATATTAATCAAGTTCAGTATACTTCAAGAAGTTTGTGTGAAAAACTTTTCACTTAAAATCTAATATTGAATTATTTTTTTTTTCTTTTGTCAAAATTTTGTTCTCATCTGTCCAAACATAATTTACTTTTGCTTTTTTTTTCAATCAAATAGTTTGCATCCTAAGATCTAATTGGTTTTCGTTTTAAAAATTATTCATTACACTTTCCTTCAATTACAACCACGACATCAATCATCATTTTAGTCTCATTGAATTATTCTCTGTCGGAAATAAATGAGTTTTTCATATTCATGTAACTTAAATTATTTTGAAAAATAAAGAAATAATTGATCAGGAAAAATCTTTCCTTACTGACCCAAATTATTTTAATTCTAATTGATAAAAAAGATTGCAATTTGATCTAAAGAAATAAATTGGTTTTGATAACTTTACGTTTGATTGATGATAAACAACAAAGAAAAAGGAGTTAAAATAAAACTTATGTATGGAGCAAATAAGTTAAAGTGGAGAGACTGATCTTAATTTGATTGGTTTTCCTATGGATTTACTCAGAAGTCATCGCGATCCTTACCTTGATGCATTGGATCATAACCCATGCTTCCGTCGTAGGCTTGCTGTTGATCATATCCACCTGATCCGAGTGAGTAACCCATGGAGTCTTGCGCAGGAGCTGGTGACATCATTGGTGTAGCGGCACCACTAGCTGGCCCTCCCATTGAGTAGGGACTGGCACCAGCGGCCTTCTTAGCTGCATATAAGTTTGCTTCTTCTTGTGCCTTTCCAATATTCTTCTTATAGCGAATGCGTTTATTTCCAAACCAGTTAGAAACTTGTGACACTGTTATGCCGCACTTACGAGCGAGCTCTTCCTTTGCTTCTTCTGATGGGTACGGATTACTTAGGTGGCTGTAAAAATATTCATTGAGAATCTCGGAAGCTTGTTTGCTGAAATTTCTTCGCTTGCGTCTTGCATCGAGGAAACGAGATCTGAAAATTGTAAAATAAGATTAAGTGAGAAGTTCCATTAAGTTAATTGATTTATGCTTTTTACCTCAGTATCATGACAGCTTCGCATGTCGACTGCTTCAATTGCATTTGAATGGAGCTGAATTTCTTGTGAATGATCTGCACCATTCGTTCAATCTCTTTTGGAGTAATGGGCCTTGTTCGACTCTGTTCACGTAGCAAATTCATGACATGAGTTGTAAACTCACTGCAAGCTTGTTCATATTTCTCCAACTCTTGATGATAAATTTGGCGAATTTGAGCCAGTTTTGCACGGTAATCTGAATGTTCAATTGCGTTATCTTGTCCTCCAGTTAAGTCCGAAAAATCTTCTTTTAAAGTGGACGAAAAGAAGAAAAGGTTTAATTAACTTTATTAATTGTAACAGTAGGATAAAATTCTCAAATGAATACCTGATGCAGCAGCAGAAGCAGAAGCAGCGGCACCAGCACCACCACCCTTTTCTGGCCCAGCAACACCTTCAGCGATAAGCATGTTATCCAAACGCATCAATTGAGGATCTGGAGGCTCTTCCTCCTGTGTGTTGCGCAATGACAAAACGGTCTTTTCTTTGATTTCACAGAGAACAGCAAATAAGACCGGCTTCATACGGTGACAATTAAGAGTGTGCTTGCGAGCTTGCGCTTCATCAAGCGATTGATCCGTGATGTTCATAATTTGTTGGAGAATCTCGCCAATATCCTGTTTGCGAGGGTCATCTACGACAGAAGCATCAGGCATTCCATATGACTGGGGGTAAGAAGGAGTTGAACCGCTATGAGCCATCATGCGATTGGGATCTTCCATCTATCACTGAACACCAAGCTTATCTAAATAAAGCAAAAAAAAAAATTATGCATTTATTGAAATATATTCGAAATTTCATTGCATGTATTTAAACGACAAGCATTTGTTGCCCGATAATGCATAAATAATCAACTTTATGGCAATGACCGGATCGAGAAATTGCAAAACCAATCGAGAAGAAAAAAATTCATTTTGGTTGCATTTTTCTTATTTCGATAGCATTGAGCATCTTATTCTCCTATTCTTTCTGCTCTTAAACAAGTTTTGTTTTTTTTTTCTTTTTTAATCTTCTCCAGTGAAAGATATTCGACAATATGTGAGACAGAGAAGGCAATATAAAACTGAGTGAGATAGAATGATGATTTATGGTTTTTCACAAGAAGGGTAAATTCTAATGGAATTTCTCTAATATTCGTAAGATATTTCGGAAAATCTATATTACTATTGCTCTAGTTTTTTGGATGGCTTGTGTTTAAACTAGATTCTATAATATTAATTGCACGAATTATAAACTAAACTTGCACAACAAAATAATCTGAGAAGGCTAAAATTATATCTTCAATTTTTTTGTGTAAATTCATGTTTTCCTTACAATTTACCACTTTCTTCTTAGTCAATCGACACTTGTATAACTTTTTAACACGATTTAAACACTCAAAACACACTATTTCTTATATATAAATCACAAAACAAATCTCAAACTGTAAAAATGGATGAAACGAGACAGAAACTCAATAGAAAGTTGAAAGCCCCGCAATATATATTTCAAAAAATATTCGTTAAGTTTTATTAAGAGAAAATATATTTGAAATTTCACATCTTCTACTCGTAAGTAGATTAAAGTACATAAGAAGATTAAGTTTCAAAGAATAAAGGAAAGTTAAACATATTAATACTTAAACTCGTGCTTTCTTATGACCCTGAATACCAATTGAACAGCGACTTTCGACAACATCAATTGACTTGTTCTTCTTTGGTGTCTTCTGATCATCAGCACCATGAGCGCTCTTACGTTTACGTGGTGGCGAGTCAGTTGGTGCCTTCTGCTTCAAACATTCAACATCATCAAAGACTACTTGAGCTCCACCGCTTGTTGTTGGAATAACTTCGCCTTTATAAAGCTTTGTTTCAAGTTCGCCATCAGTGTCAGCTTGCTGATCAATCAAACAATAACGTGAAGATTTTGCCTTCTTAAGATCCTTCATTTCAGGACTTGTCACTGTTTTAGCGTTGTAATATGGTTGCAAGATTGTTCCCAAAGGAACTGGATGAGACGGACGATGTTCAAGCCATTTTTCATTTCCAACTGACTTTGAACGACGATGACGTAAATTTGACACAACCGTTCCCTGAATAAATTAAAGAAACATTAAATAAATAATCATTTAAAAGAATATTTTCATTCAACTTACTCTTGGACGTGCTTTGCGTTCCGAGCCTGGTGGTTGATTATTTTCGCAATTCGAATTAAATCGTCGAATTAAGTTGGAAACTGGTTCATTGGTCACCGTTTGCTCTCCAGTTACAATATCTGTAACTAATCTCAACTTTTCTTCTTGTGATCGCATTTGTTCATTCAACATACGCTTCTGCTCACTCAATTTGATGTTAAGTTCGCGATTTCTTTTTTCAGCTTCTTCATGAATCTTTGAGTTGAACTTTCGTCGTTGTTTTTCTTTTTCATGTTCTTTCTTGTCAAGTTGATGTTGCTTTTCGCCAAGATTTACTTCCATTTGTGAGATGTAATCATCTTTATCACGAAGTTTTCGGTTCAATGCATCCAAGGATGTTTCATATCGCATGATTTTACTTTCATAAATCTTTATTCGTTCGCGCTCTTGATTCAATGTTGCTGTCAATGCAGCATTTTCAGTTTTCACACGAATATTCTCTGATTCCATGTCATAAAGAAGTTTGCGAACTTCTTTCTCTGAAATTAAATAAAAATTAATAATTGAATGAAGTTAACAATTTTAAATCTTACGTCGAGCTCCAAAGTCATCATTTAATCTCTGACGACAGCGAATTCGATCCTCCAAACAATTCATCAATTCACGAGTCACGTCTTGAATGTTTTCTGATCTTAAATGGAAATCAGGGAAGCTTGGAAGTTTATAGACAAGTCCAAGATCAATTTCCAAGTCTCGTGCTTCTGCACGACCATTTTCTTCCAAGTTATGCATTGCCATACGGAAAAGTTGATTTGCCTTACGTCGTCCCGGTGTCAAACCACTGTCAAACGTTGGCTTCATCGGTGTTTGACGTGCAATTTGGACATCCTGTGTGATTTCTGCAAACTTCATTACTTGAGCTGTTTCGTCATAGTCTTCAGACCGTGGATTAACACAAACAATCATCTTAACTTGTCCCTCTCCATCAAAGAAATTCTTGAACAAATGAGTCAATTTTGAATCGCGATATGGAACTTTCTTCATCGCACCTGTCATGTTATTTTCACGTAAAATTTCAAGACAATTACGCAATGTCATCAATGAATTGTTGATGTTCCCTGCTTCTCTTAATCTCTGCCCAGTGTTCTTGGTACGATTCGTTCGTTCACTTCCAGCTAAATCAACGAGTGATAACTGAGAAACAGTAACTTTGTCACGATCCTGGACAATATCTTCTCCCATTTGATCAACTGGAGCTTGCACTAATCGAATTGTGAAGACGCTGTGACTTCGACTCGATTCAGAATTGAGAATTGTGTGTCCCATTCGTTTACGCTTTTGTCCCATATGAAATGCATTCAATGCTTCTTCCACTGACTTCACTTCAATCTCAGTAACGCCATGGACAAACATGTTATGATTGATGTCCTCACGAATGATTTTCGTTTGAAGTGGTCTGTAATTAAATGATTTTATTAATTTAATTTAACTCAATTAAATTTTATTAAACTTACTGATTACGCTGAGTTGTTGGTTCGCATAAATCGTAAACGCTGTTGTTATAAATTTCAATATAAGAGATAAACACAGCAAAGCTGTTATCTTCATCCAAACCACTCAGTGTTGTCACATCTGTTGATGCTCTCGAAGCAATTTCAATGTCAGTGTCTTTACGTTCAAGCTTCATGAGACGAGCGTTGATTTCTGCCTGACGTTCCAACATCGCATCGGCTTCAGACAAAACATCGAAGCCGTTGAGTCGATCAGGTTTAAAGACGTACTTTTTTGCTTGGTAATCAGAAATTGTTTTGAAGAGGACGTCCATGCAGCGAGGCATAATTCCACGATCTTGTCGGTTTCCTTTAATTTTTTTATTTCTATAGAAAATTCAATTTTGAAATTGAAAAGTAAGAAAATTTACCTGTCATAGTGAAAGTTTTTCCTGAACCAGTCACACCATAACTGAATAGAAGTCCATTTCGTCCTTTGATGAGTCCTTCGACCAAAGGTTGAGCAACTGTTGTGAAGCATTCATGTTGAGTTGAATCAACATCGAAGATATGTTTGAATACATATTGCGTTTCTTTATTGCTGATAATTTTATAATTAACAGCGCTTTCAGGTGGAATCAAAGCGACCGTTGATGATGAAACAACACGAATGCATGATAAATCGGAATCACTTTGCATTGGGCGGATACGACAAAAAACTTGAACAGGATCTTTGATAAGATTTTCTTTTGAGGCTTGTCGGCTTTTAGGTGTTTTGGGAGGCAACATTTGTCTAGCCGGAGTTCTCATTCTCCTATTGATAATAATCATCATAAATTCAAATGTTGCAAAATGTTTGTTGTAAATTTAAAAAGAACAAAACTTACGAAGATTTCATATTTATGGAGATTATTTCACTCTTTTATGTTAAATTTAATATTTCATAAGCACTGTTTAATATTAATCAATAAGTTTAGGGTATAATATTACGTTTAAGTGTTTTTAAATACGAATAAAAATTTAATTAAGCAAAAAGTTCGTTTTGCGTTCCAGTTTGAAATGTGCAACCGTTAAAATATGAAATACCGAGGGGAAAGGCAAATCAATTTTCAACAGATTTTAGGTAGTTTTACACCCCTAACTCGAGACTTTTTTAACGGTCAAAATTGAAAGCAAACAGAAAGTAAAGAAAAAATTCTTTAATTATTTTAAACAGTGCTTAAATATGTTATATTTTAACTAAAGTCGTGCATGAGTATTAAAACATATCAAAATGAATGAAAGTTCTTCAATAAGCGCAAGAACAACTCGTTTAAATTCGTTGATCCTTGGGCGACCTGAAGCTTTACCAAAGGAACAGAAGGAAATTTGTGCAGGAATTAATCGAGATGGGCTTTTAGATGCTCTTTTCTTACTTCATCAAGAATGTAGTAAAGATTCTGTCAAAAAGAAGAATAAAAACATTCAGAATTTTGCAAGCAAATGTAAATATCATTTTTGAATCTGGATCAACTCCTTGATCCTCATTTTTCTCGTTATCATCCTACAGATCGTCCAATTATTCGTGAAACCAAACAATTGCGTGTCAATGTTGAGGATTTTGTTGTTAAAACTTTGATTGGGAGTGGTTACTTCGGTGAAGTTCACGTAAGTATTTTAATTTACCAGAATTTTTTGTATATTTAATGTAAGACGCTTCCAGTTGGTCACTGATAAATGCTCGCACGATGTATACGCAATGAAGACAATCAACAAAAAATCTATAGTTGGCAACTGTCAAGTAAGAGAAGAACGCGATATTATGGTCTTGGGACGTAAATGCGAATGGATCACTCGACTTCAATATGCGTTTCAAGATCGAGAAAATTTGTACTTAGTGATGGAATATTTACCTGGCGGTGACTTACTTGGCCTTATGATTCGTTTTGGAGCGTTTGATGAGGAGTTGGCGAGATTTTATCTTGCTGAAATTGCGTTGGCATTAAATGCGCTTCATTCAATGGGATTCGTTCATCGAGGTAAGTTAATCATCTTTAATTAATTAATTTAACTAACATTTCATTGATTTTCTAGATGTCAAACCAGAAAACATTCTTCTCGATCGTTTTGGACATTTGAAGTTGGCTGATTTTGGATCTGCTGTTGCACTTAATGAAGATGGAAGCTTTATGAGTCTTTCGCCAGCTGGGACGCCTGATTATATCGCACCGGAACTTCTTTCAGCTCTTTCGACAAAAGAAAGTCAGAAAGATCAAAAGCTTGATGTAAGTCTTGAAATTAATTTAAATAAAATGAAATAATTTTAATGATTTTCACAGGCGTCGTGCGACTTTTGGTCAATGGGAATAATTGGCTTCGAAATGGTGACAGAAAAGACTCCTTTTCACAATGAGAATGTTTACGACACATATTCAGAGATACAAAATTATTCAGAAGATAAACGATCAATGAAATCATTGGAATTTCCATCTGAAATGAAAGTGTCAAGAAACTTTAAAGATTTCTTGAATAGTTTGGTGACGAAGGCAAGTCGACGATTGACATTCGATGAGATTGAAGATCATCCGTTCTTTAGTGGAATTGAATGGCATAATCTTCGTGATCAAGCACCGCCGATAATTCCAACATTGTCTGGCGAAGAAGACACTTCAAACTTTGATGATGTGGATGTGTCGATAAAGCGATCGCCAGTCAAGAAGAAAATAACTTTTGCACCACAAAATCCCAATGAATTTTCAGGCGATGATTTTCCATTCTTAGGCTTCACTTACATTTACGAAGAATCATCAAAATTCTTAAAATCTTCTTCAAAAACATCTGAGTCGAGATTGGAATCGAAAATCGCTGGGAAAATTGACAATCTTCAAGATACGATCAAAGAACAAATGCGAGAAATTAAAGAATTGCAGAAGGAACTTCTTTCAGCTGAACGTAAAGCAACTCAAATGATCTCACTTGAGAAAATGTACGAAGAAAGTAAGGAAGATGTCGAGAAACTTAACAAGAAATTGAAGGAAAAAGTTGGCGAAGTTGCAACAATGAAAACTGAAATGAAAATGCTTAAAAATGAACTTGATGGTTTAAAGAAGAAATTGAAGATTGAAGAAGAAAATCAATTGAAACATGATACAAAAATTGCTGACGTTTTGAGTCAAACATACAAGAAATGGGAAAAAGCAAAGAAAATCTCTGACAACAACTACGAAAAGCAGTTGAAGGAAGCGAAAGGTGAAGTGAGTAATCTCATGGATCGCATCAAAACTGGCAACGATGAACTTTCAGAAAAGATTGAAGAATGTCAGCATTTAAATAAAGTTTTAGAACAATACAAGGAAATGCTTGAAACAGCAAAATCGCAACATTCGAAAGACAAAAATGAATGCGAAAATCTTCGCAAACAAATTTCATCGGATGTTGATATGAAAATTCAAGAAATGAAAAGAAAACTTAAAGATGAGAAAGACGAAAGAATTAAAAGTGAAGAATCTCAATTGAAGTTGAGAAAAGAACTCAGTGAAGCTGTTAAAACTAGCAGCGAGTTGAAGGAATCAAAGGAAGCAACAAAAATGGAAATTTCAGCAATTCGCAAACAACTCAACGAGAAAATTGACGAAATTAATCGATTGATGAAATGCAAGAAGGAACTTGACCAACAAGTTGAACAATCAAATCGTAAAAATGACGAACTTCGTAAAGAAATGTTGAAGATTCAAGAAGACAACATAAAGAAGCAATTGAGACTGTCAAAGATCGTTTCGCAGCCAATTCAAGTTGGTGGTTGTCGTTCTAGTAACGAAGGCGAGTTCAAAAGTGCTCATGGGAGTCTCACTGAACTTAACATTGCTGTCGATACTGAAGACTTAAAGAATGATTTAGTTCGTGCAAGAGAAAGTGAAGACATTCAAAGAAAGCGAGCTGATAATCTTGAAGAAGTTGTGCAACGACTTGAAGAGATGATCAAGAAAGTCAACAAGACAAATGAGAACACTGCCGGTGGTTTACTTGAACGTCAAAATGAAAAGTTAGAAGATCAACTTGCGACAATTCGTGAACAATCAATTCTTGATCGACAATCGGCACGAACTGCTAATCTTCAATTATGGAAGTTGGAGAAGGAAGTCAGCGACATTAAACATGAAAAATCGATTTTATCTCGACGAATTGAAACAGCAAATGAAAAATGTTCGTCAGCAATTCATGAGAAGGAAAGCATCGAGTTGAAAATGAAGCAACAACTTGAGACAATCAACTCGAAGGAAACACAAATTATCGATCTTCAAAAGGACATCAGACATTTGAAGTTTGAATTGAAACAAGAACGTGAGAAGTGGACGAGCAATGAACGAGATCGGCTGCGTGAGAAAACTGAGATCATTGAAGGCAACAGTCGAATTAAAAATCTTGAAGAAAAGTTGCGAGAAGCGAATAACAAAGTTCGATTACTTGAGTTGAAAGTGTCAGCTTTAAGTGACGAGAAGGAAATTCTTCAACGTCGATTGAATGAGGAAAGAAATCTTCACCAAGCAGCAGATGAAAATGTCAAAGAACTTCAAAAAGAACTCAAAACGATTCAAGCAAACCACAAAATTCTTCTTGAAGCCGCACAAACAACTGAAAATCTTGCCGATGCTTATGAAGAGCGTTTCAATGATGAAGTTAAACGAAATAAAGCAAACACTGAGAAGATTGACGATCTTTGGTCAAAAGTTCGTTCACGTGATGAGACAATTGCAAAGATGAAACATGAGTTGAGTCAAGAGAAGTCATTAAAGATGTCAGCTGAAGCTAAAGGTTGTCAACTTCAGAATGAATACGATGAGATGAAAGAAGATTTGCAAGGAATGCAAAATCGAATGCTTGATCTTCAACAACAATTAGTTAAGAAGCAAGAATTCCTTTATGAAGCTCAAGAAAACGTTGAAATAACAAACGCTGACTTGCAGCATTTACAAAAGATGAAGATGAATTACGAAAGTGAAATTCAAATGTTGAAGGAAGAAACATCGCGAATCTTGACCGACTTTTATCGATCGAAGGAAGAAGTCAAGCGACTCACAAAGGAACTTAAAGATGCAAGAACTGACATTGATGAGATGGATCAAGAGAAAGATCATCTGAATAGTTTGTTAAGTGAGTTGAGAACTCATTCAAAGGAACGTGACATTAGAACTGAAGCGACAGTTTCACAACAAAAGAAACTCATCGAATATCTCACACAACGTGTTGAAGAATTGCAAAACAAAAAGAAGCGAACAATTGCTGAAGTTTTGTTTGGTGCAAATCCACCAAATCATCCACCAGTAACGCCAAGAAGCTCTCGTAAAGAAAATGTTGCTCCAAACGCTCAAGACACGATCAAATTGAAGAAAATTGAAGATGATTTGAAGAAGGAACGCGAACGTAATCAAAGATTGAAGGAAAATTTAATGCAAACTAAACTGGAAATTCGTAAAAGTGCAAGCACGAAATCGCCTGAAAGAGTAAATCATCAAAGTTATCGTGAATCAACAGTTGAAACAAATGATTTCGGAACAACACCATCTCGAACAATCACAGCAACAATTCATGCTGAGCCAGAAAAGAAAGTTGAGAACGAATATCGTCAAAGTGATTCATCACCGAAAGTTCATCATTTTGCAATGACAATTGAAACAGCATCACCAGCACCAAATGCTCCGCCGACTTTATGCCTTGCATGTGAAAGAATTATTTTAATTGGACAACCTTACTGGCAATGCAAGGAATGTAAATTGTCAGTTCATAGGAAGTGTCGTGGCTTTGTTAAGTCGCATTGTTTATTAGGCGATGGAATTTCAGCCACAAGTTCATCATCAACAACAGACGCAACATCAGATACGACAGCATCAATTGTTGTACCCATAAGACGGAACAGCAAGAAGCATAAAAGTGTAACACTCGATGATGTCGATGGAATTAAACCTTTCTCTGACGATGTTTCATCAATCGGAAGTGGAAGTGACTTAGCATTGAACAGTTATCATGGTGATCACATTTTAAATTCATCACGCTTTGGATTTGGTTGGGGAATGGCAACAGCTCCAAGGATTAATGCTGCTTATGCTTTAACAGAAAACATTATTTTGTTTGGTAAGTTTCGTTAATATTATGTTTAAGAGGTGCAAGAGTCTGGAAGATCAAGAAACTTCAGACGTCTTCACATTAACGATATTTCGAGCAGTAGATGGCGCTTTAAACTTTCTTTTAATTCTCTTTACAGGTTGTTCCAATGGATTATTTTCATACCGACTCGATGACAATGAAATTGTTCAAATCAAAGGAATATCAAGCGTCAATTATTTTGCCATCAAATCAGATTTGACTAAATCAATTATGATTGGCGATAACGGTGACAATCTCTATGAATGCGACATTAGAAATTTAATGAACAAAAGTCGACAATCAGGAATGTTAGAAGCGAAACTTGAAATTCATCCACTTGACTTATCAATCGCTAATCGTTGTGCTGATGAAAAATGGCATATGGTGGCATTACATGGAACAAGTGAACATTTGAACGATGCTATCGCAATAGCAGCAACAAACTCAAGAATTGTAATTCTTAAATATGATGCAAAGAGTGGACGATTCAAGCCGGTAAGATCACTTGACACTGTCACTGCCATCAACTCGATATTATTCACACAACATTCAGCAATTGTTTCATGCGATAAGTTCTTTGAAATTGATTTGAATTCGTTTGTTGCTGAAGAATTCCTTGACATGAGTGATCAAAGTTTACGACCAACAAAAGTCACACAGCCGATGAATGTATTCAGAATTAATTCTAATGAGTTTCTCTTGTGCTTCCGTGATTATGGAGTGTTTGTCGATGAATATGGCTTAAGATCGCGACAAGAAAATCTTGAATGGCTGCATTCGCCAAAAGAATTCTTTTATAAAAATTATTTGCTGTTTATCATTCACGATGAAATGATTCAGATTCTTAGAATCAACAACAGCACTAAGAAACATGAAAAAGATTTACTCACTGACAATAATCAATCGCGAACATTTGTCATGATTGATAATGAGAAGAAGTTCACATTTGGATCGCAGGTCAATGATCAAAGTTATTTGGTGAATGTTTTGAGAAATGTTGATGGAGTTAATGGAACAATCACTCAAGATCTCATCACAATTGATGCTGAAAAAGCATTCAAAATTAACTTGAATCGTTCAATGTCATCAATCATTAGCGACTCGAGCACATCTCTTGCCACAATGAGCTCGGTTGGAGCAACAAGCAACGACACTGTTAATTAAACTAAAAAATATCTTATAAATTACTTAATTATTTTTTTCTTTTCTCTTTATTGATGTATCTAAGTATTTAGCGCTGATAACTTAAACAAAGCCTTTTGAAAATGGCAAAGTCTTTGGACTTTAATTTCTGTCTTAATCTATTTTTTATTTCTGTCTCAATTTTACAATTTAATAAAAGTTTGTTTGACTATAATAAAGCAGAAAAGTTTATTCAACTTATAATGTTGTCATTCAAAACATCTTCGCCTGCAAGATAAGCAACTTTTTTGAGAAGATTCTCATCGAGTGTGAAACCTGAACAAATTGTTTTTGCCATGTCTTTGGATTCAGGAAAGCCAATTTCAGTGCAGAATTGTAAACATTGGACGGCCTTCTCTGGTTGTTTCTTGAGAATGCAGACTTGAACATAATTTTGCATCGAAGTGATTTCAGCGTCTCCAAGAATCTCATCTTGACTTCCAATGATCTTGTCAAAGATTTCTGTTGCCTTCTCGAAATCTTCAATTCTGCAAATTAATGTGAGAATGTCTGACAAAAGTCTTGCTGTCCAGATCATCTGCTTCGTTCTCATTTCATTCTTTTCTTCGATCTTCTTCCAAATATCATAAGCAATGTCACCGAAACTTTGAACAAGATTTTCCTGTCGTGGAAGTGAAGGATTTGGTTTGTTTTCGATCATGATTTTTGTAATCATATTGAGAAGATTTTCTCTCGTTGTATGATCGAAGAGAATCATGTGCGACCAAATCAAAGGAATTGTTTCAATTGATCCTGAAACTTCAATCGATTTCAAGATTTCTTCCATCACTACTGGTTCAGGGATGTAAACATTGGGCACAAGATAATGATAAGTGTCCATGAAAATCTCAAATGGTTCAGTTGATAACAACAGCAAAAAGAAGTTTCGATAATAAACCGATTCCTTGTATGAGTCGCCAATTAAATTGTAATTGTCACCATGATGGAGTAAAGCGTCGACTCTCTTCGCAAGGTTCTTGTCATGTAAATGGTTACGACAAACATCCATAGCAGTAACGAAGAAATGACAATCTTTAAGGTCTTTGATCTCGAATTCTTTTCCTTCAATTTCATTCATGATGTCGATGAGAACATGCGACACTGGTCCACGTTCTCTGCAGAAGATCTGAAGAATGTAATACCAGCTTGCCAATGAAGGTTGAATTCCAATTCTCTTAAACTCTCCAAGGATCTTCAAAGCATTGTCTCTTGATGTTCGTCCACCCATTGTTGTTATGCTGCTTAAACAAGAATTTAATGTGCCTTGATTTGGATTTAAATTCGCACTCTTCATTGTTATTAATAATTCCCTCATTAAATCCCAACGTGCTTCATATCCTTCTCTTAAAAACGAGACAACACTGAGAATAGAATTGAAGGTTTCAACATCAAGTGCAATGTTGTTTGCGAGAGCTTCATTGAAGAATGCGTAAGCTTTTTCCGCTTGATAATATTTACACATTCCTCTGATGATTGTTGAATATGCTTTTGAATCTTTCGGATCGATTTCACTGAAGATTTGTTCAGCTAAATCATAATCTTTCCAAGTTTTTCGTGGACGTTCATTTAATTTTGCACTCATACGGAACCAACGCTCTTCAACCAAATCTTCATCCAGTTGTTCCTCGTTGTTGAAGAAACAAATTAATTCAAAGAAAGATTGCATTACTTCAGCTGGAATCTCTATTTTATTTTTCTGCAAGAGTTGATAGACGAGAGCAGCATCCGTGACATCAGCAGCTGCAATGAGACTTTCGAGATCTTTAACTTCCACTTCACTTTCTTCCGTGTAAATTTTTGTTGGTACAAATGCTTCAATCGGTGGATCCATTTCTGTGTGCTGTAATAAATTCAAAGAAAATTACGTATTTAATTATTTTTGAATAAAAACATTTACATACTTGGAAAAGTTTCCAATTTTCTTGTCGAATCCATTTTGCTGATTTTCTACCAGATTCTTGAGCTAAAGCAAAAGTTCTCTTTGCAATATTAGAAGTAGGAATCAAGAATGGATCATCATGGAACTTATAATGTGGCGCTGTTGGGTCATATCCAACTGTTTGACTCAACGCTTTAAGTAAATCTGTCGGCGATCTTTTGATTCTATTTGGAATTTTTATTTCTTCATTGTCTGATGATGATGATGACGATGTTGTTGCAAAGGTTTTACAATTCCATGTTGTTTGTTTCCTTATGAAAGGTAATCGAGTGAATGAGCGTCTTATATTGTGCATTATTTGTATTTTTTTTAATGAAAAACTTTACAGCACACGGTAAATAAGTTTTCACAGTGAATTCTCTTTTATTCGAAGCTTTTCTGTAATCACCGACTGAAATTCATTTTGAGGTTAAGTTTATGAGTTGAAAATAACTTCACAAAATAAATCAAAAATAAACAAATTGGAAATTGAAATTAAACTTTATTAATCTTCTATTTTAATTACACAGGAAAATATTTTCTCATTACTGTCCTAATGCCCCTGCTTGCTTTTGAAGAAGTTGAGAGAATCTATTTGTGATAAGAAGCGAAGTATCAATGAAACGGTCAACGCAATTATTTAAGCAGGTTTCTGTTTTGCTATCGAGTTTTGTTCCAGGCTTATCAACACATTTATCCCAGCAAACTTCATTGAATTCGTGAATCTTGAAATAAAAAGAAATTATGTTGGAATCACTCATGACATGTTTTTGTATTTAAGTTTCCTTACTTGAGCATTGACTTGAGCCTTCTGCTTTTCAAGCATTAAGAACTCTTGCAACTCTGGGTCAACTTTTCCATCACCTCCACCAAGATCAAGATCTGCCATTATTCAATTTTTAGCAATCAATTTATTTTGATTCTTCGAGTAGATTTCGGATCAACACACAAATTCTCGACTTCAGCACCTTGTGGTGAGTGTTTTTCCGAGTTATTTATTTGGTGGTGAAAAAAATCTAAAGAAGAAAGATTCGCAAAAACATTTTGAATTAAAAAAATGCCGAAAAGTTCAAGATTGCAACGTGAAAAACATCGTAAGAAAACACGATATTCTTCCGATTCGGACAGTGATCGAGAAGTGTCGAGAAAATATCGCGAAAAAGAAAGATCAAGGGATAGAAGATCTCGTGAGAAAACAAGCTCATCCAGACATAATAAAGAAAGCAGCAGCAGCAGAAGAAGACGAAATTATTCCAGTTCATCAAGTTCGTCTTCGTCAAGAAGTAGCAGCAGTAGCAGCTCAAGAGATTCTCGCAGTTCGACACCTTCAAGCAGAGAGAAAAGTTCATCAAGATCAGCAAAAGCTTCAAGTTCGTCTACAAACAAAAAGAACTGTAAGTTGAATAAAATGAAATTGAGTTAATATGAACGATTAAATCTTTAGATACTTTTTTAGTTGATCACATAACAAAGTTCGAAATCAATGACTTGTATAAAGAAGAAGACAAAGTGAAAATTATCGATGACATTGAAGCCGATTCTTTCAAACAAGAAGCGTTCCAATCAAAGAAGAAAATTGTTGTTGATCTACAGAAAGATAAAATTATTGTGCCTGAAAATCTTAATGCAACTGATCAGGAAGAATCTCTTATACATCCCAACTTTTTAGGTGATGAGGAAGTTAAAGTTGATAAATGGATAAAAAAGCTTCACTTGTATAGAAACCAATAATTCTTAATTATATTGTAAATGAAAGATAAATTTTATTTTAAGATACAAGTTGTACAAGTATTACTTAAATCTTAATTCTTAATTCCCATAAAATTTTGTTTTACTTTCCTCCGTCATCATCTTCTTGGTGCTCCTTGTCGCTTGTTTCTTGTTGAGTGGTGTCTGTCGTTGATTCTCCATTCTGATCATTCTTGGTGTCTGATGTTTGTTCAGTTTTGGTGTCTGATCCTTCTTCATCACTTTTCTCTTCCTCTGATTCTTCACTTTTATCAGAAACCTCGTTAGAATTTTCATTCATTTTTAATTTCTTTTTCCCTTTTCCCTTCATTTTCTTCTTTAAACGTTTTGCTCGTTTCTTACTTGTTTTGTCTTCAGCTTTCCGTTGATTGTCTTCTAAACGTTGTTGATATTCTTCATTTAGTCTCTCAGTTTCACATTCCATTTTAAGATGTTTTTGTCGAGCATATTCTTTGCGTCTCAAATGACGATAAACATGAAATTCTCCACTACCAGCACCTGCACTTGATCCCATAACATTCCGTACAAACGATGGTGCGTTATACTCTTTGTCTTTTCTTGCAAGTTCAGGTATAATTACAGGTTTATCCTAAATAATAAATGATCAGTAGAAATCAACTTAAACAAATTCTTAATTAAGAAATTTACAAAACTTACGGGATTCTTCATTAGTTTCTCCAATTTTGCTCGCTGGACATCGGCAAGACTTCGATGTACAAACTTTTGCTTTTCTTGGTCATCCTTTGATTTAATTTCATTAAATATCTCCATTTTAATCGAACGAAAACGTTTCAAAGTTAATAATAAGAAGTTTGTTTATGTTTATTATTGAAGAGTTGCTCTGAGGGAAGAAAAATGTACAGCAAGCTTGAACCTGTCTGACTGTCACGTAAAACTCACCATATGGGGGTGTGAAACTAAGTGATGAACTCACTTTCAAGTGTCACTTGAAGCATCAAAACAAACCAAATTCTTAATAAAAAAATAAAAATTAAAGTGGAAAATGTGTATCTACGAATCATAAAGTTTTATATATCAATTCTTAATATCAACGTTGATCCATGATCAGTGAAAGAATCGTGGAAAACTCTCTATTAAAGTCTTAAATTGAAATAATAAAAATGGCCCCAGTCGTACAAATGGAAAGCCAACAACAACAACTTCAAGTAGCAATTCCGGCTAATCAAGGAGGCTCTATCTCATTGTCGATGCTTATTGATTTTATCGTGCAGAGAACTTATCATGATCTCACCGTATTAGCAGAATTGTATGAAAAACTTTCAATTTGTTATGAAATATTTCTAAAAAATTCTAATTTTATTAATGTAGGTTGCCTCGCAAAACGGATATGGAGAGGAAAATCGGTAAGTTTTATAATTTCCTTATTAAATATTTTAATACAATAAAAATCATTTCAGAAATCTACAATTTTGCGGCACGAACTCGTCAACTCTTCATACGTCTTTTGGCTTTGGTAAAGTGGGCAAATTCAGCATCGAAAGTTGATAAATCAGCTGTAAGTTTATGAATAACTATGAAAATTTCATGATTTTATAAATTTTTGAATTATTTGTAGCTCATTATGAACTTTCTCGAGAAGCAATCGATGTTGTTTGTAGAAACTGCTGACTTATTAACAAAAATGGCTCGTGAAACTTTAGTTCATGCTCGTTTACCATCATTTCATATCCCCGCAGCTGTAGAAGTTCTCACAACTGGATCATACAATCGACTTCCATTATGCATCAAGGAGAACCTCGTAAAGCCAGATCCCATTCAACCTCAGGAAGTTGATGCAACTCTTGGTCGACTGAATCAAGTGATTCAACATCGTCTTGTTACGAGTAATCTTCTGCCACAAATGAGAAAGTTTAAGATTGAAAAAGGTCGCGTAACTTTCAATGTTCCCAATGAATTTTCTGTTTCATTGACAATGATGGGAGATGGTGACGTACCTTGGCGTTTACTTGACATCGAAATTCTTGTGGAAGACAAGGAAACGGGCGATGGTCGAACACTTGTTCATCCATTGCAAGTAAACTACATTCATGAGCTTATTCAGAGACGTCTAGTGAATAATCAACAATCAGCATTATGTGAAGTTTACAATTGTCTTCATTACTTCTGTCAGTCACTCCAACTTGAAGTTCTCTACACACAAACCTTGCGTTTATGTCGTGATCGTTTAGATGACAATATTCATGTTGAAGAATACATCATTGGAAGTAAATTGACAGTTTCATATTGGCGTGAATTATCGGGAAGTAAAGATGGAAGCAGAACAGAGATGAGATACAGAATCTCACTTCTAGCAAACGCTTCCAATGCCCTCGCTGTCGTTCACATGCCATCAACATCACTCGGCACAAAAGATTCAGAAACGAATGTTCGTGAGAAGACTGAACTTGCTGTTAAAATGTTGTCGATGGAGAGACTTTTAGTTCATACGGTTTACTTTCGAAGTGTCGCTCGTTTAAATGAAATTCAGTCTGAATTTAAAAGTTTCTTGAAAGATCTCGACAGTAATTTGCAAGGAACGACAGCAATTCTCACAGTTCCTGTTCTTTATCCTTGTCTTCGTGCTGAACAAATTCACATCACTGTTGACACACACACCGGACGATATCATTGTCACGTCCCAAAACATCTCGATTGTCCCATCATGAATGACATGCAAACAGCTTTAAATTCTGATCATTCAAAGTTACCCGAACTTGTAACTGAGCTTCGCTTTTGGATAACAAAGCGACGATGTGAGAAGACGTTGCAACATTTGCCGGCAATTGCCAAAGAACGTTTACCAATCATAACATCAGCTGAACATCCAGCAACAAAGATTGGACGTCATAAGATGTTTGTACAACTTTATCGTTATCCGAATGTCATTCTTATCGTGGGACTTAAGTCGAAACCATCAAATCCAAATGAAATTGATTATTCGTTTTATCTTGTGTACATTAAACGAGTCTCGATTGATGAGAATTCAAATGACGATACACTTTTGGATTCTGGAACTCCAGCAACAACACCAGCATCAACGACAAGTGTTGAAGTTCCTAAAATGTTCTTACGTGTTTTGACGATGATTGAGTTTGATACATTTGTGTCAACACACGGGCCTGGCACGGCAATTGTGAAGGATCTTGATGAAGATGTTGTTGGTATGAAACGTAAATTATCAGCCGACACGTCATCGCCACCTAACAAGCAACAGAAGACAGCAATTCCAGCATATTTCATTCCTGAATTAGCTCATGTTGTTGCAATGTGTGACGAGAAACTTCCATTCATTGCTATGGCGCAAGAACTTTCAAAACGAAATATTCCACATAGTGGACTGCAAGTTGAAGCTCATGCAACGTCTTTAATTCTCAATCTTTTATCACTTCCATCACCATCTGAAGTTATCTTTCAATCACCACAACAAACGACAAATGAAAATAAAGCAACAAAAAATACTGAAAAAGATGCAAAGCCAACAACATCTGATCAACCACAACAACCGCAACAGCAGCAACAACCACAGCAACCAAAATCGGCTCAAAAAGATCGTCAAATGTTGTATCAAACTTTTGTTACAAAGCCAATCTACAATGCACTCATGAAACGTCTTTTATCGATCTCAATTCGAACACAATTTACTAAACCAAATGTCACTGATCGTTCATGGATTGTTGAATTAATTTTCAACAGCACACCGTTGCCAAGTAATCATCCAAAAGAACAAGGAAATCGTCGTGCTGTTTACTTTCATTATGAGATGCTGCCAACTGATTTAATATGGAAAACAGTCGATCAAATGCTTAATGATTGGATTAAAATTGTTTTACTCTTCTCACTCATTCATGACTTTGCTGAATTGTATAATTGTGACAAGTACAACTTAAAGAGTATCGTGAGTGTCAAGTCTTACAGTTACACGCATCTTTTGTTACTTTATGGTGAAAACAAAGAAATCAGCACAAACATTTTCTGGTGTAATGAAGCCAAACAATTCTTAATGACATTCATCGGTGGAAATTTATCAATTAATCCACATTCATTACTTAATGATCAACTGCAATCACATTTGAATACAAATCATTCATTATCGCAAATTGCTCACATCTTGAATGAAACTTATCAACCTTTGGGATCGATTGCGAAACTTCCAACTTTACCTCAACTTGGCGTTCATAATCCGAAAATTCCTGTGCTGACTTTTTGTATAATTCCACAATCACCGACATTGCTGAGAATTGCATTTCATGGAACATATTGCTTGGAAGTTCGTTTACGTGGTGGTGGTTTAGTTTCTATTCGTGACGGTGCTTACAGTCGCTTTGATCGCGTCAATGTCGTCATGGAATTCTCGCCAACACAAGGACTTAAAGGATTTTTATCGAAGTATGTTGACGAGAACGCCGTTTATCGTCGTCGATCACAATCAGAAGATGACAATCCACCATCACCTATTCAAATGGACGATGGACCGCAATTATTCCGTGGACCACAAAGTCCCCGTGATCCTGGACTTCGATTTGCAGCACCAGCAACACCGCCAAGTACTTCAAATCCACATACACCAGCAAGTCCACATCCAATTGGGCAACAACAGCAAACGCATGGAAATCAACATCCAAATTTTAATATGACATCGCCACCGACACATATGCCGCATCCATCGCCAGGATTTATGCCGTCATCGCCTTTGAATCAGGCAAGTCCAATGACAGCAATGTCTCCTGGTCCTAGTAATTTGGCTTACATACAAGGACATTCTGATAGTCCATTTGGTGCTCAAATGTCACCAGCAGCAGCTTCAGCATGGCCTGGTTCTCCAATACCACGACCGTCGCCACGACCAGGGCAATCGCCTGATCACAAACCTCAAATGATGCCGCAACATCAATTAAGAATTCTTCCAGCACGATCATGGGCTGGAGCTGTTCCAACATTGTTGACACATGAAGCATTAGAAACATTATGTCGTCCATGTTCACTTTCTGGCATTCCGGGACCGGAAATGAGTCCACTTGAGAGATTTCTTGGATGTGTTTTCATGAAGCGACAACTTCAACGACTATTGAAGGAATCGAATCTTGCGATAACGCCGGTTGAGCCAGGGGTTGTCTTATTTCGTGCTGAAGGTCTTCAATGTCAAGTGTATTCAAATCCAGATCATCTTCAATCATTGCAGATAAGAATAACGCCGACACTTCCGAACCCTCAAGATATGAAGCCGCAATATCAATGGAACATTGATGACTTGCAAATACTTGAACAATTCTTTGAGACAAAAGTTGCAGCACCACCATATCGACAAGCATCCATGCATAGTTTCATTAAACTTTTTGGAGTCCCACCACCGGTTTTGAAAGATTTAATTCAAATTATTCGATTGGAGATGAAACCAGAGCAATGTAAATCGATGGGCTTACAATGGAATGTTCAACTTTGTATGAGAGCTTCGTTTACATCTTTCCCTATAATTCCTTTGGGAACGCCGGGGATTGTTAACACGAAGAATAAATTGCTGATCTTTGTAAGTTATTTTAGGTTTTACTTTGAATTAAATAATTAATGAGAAAATGAAACCAAACGATATAGAAATCAAACAAAATTTATTTCGTTTTGTTTCATTTTTCGACATGTTTTTTAATGAATAAAATTAATTTTTATTTTATTTCCCAACCAGTTGGACTTGACGAGAATCACTGATCAACCTTTGCAGCAACATCCAATTGTTGTGCTTCCCATTATTTATGAGATTGGAACACAAATTACACAATTGGTTGAACGACGTGATCTCAACACGCCTGCAATTATTATACAAGCAGCAAATATGCAACTGAGAAAATATTTAGAGAAACGTGGAGTTACAACAGCTGACTCGACATTATATGCGGCAATTCATGACTTATTGTCGAACTTGACGTTTCAAATTCCTGGACAACCAAATCAAATGCCTGGTGGACCACCTTTTATGCCAGGGCCTGGTTCTGTTCCTGGTCAGGGCCCAGGTATGCCAAATCAACAAATGTCAATGCAGCAAATGGTTCCAGGACAACAAATGAATATGGGACCAGATCATTCGCAAGTCATGAACCAACAAGCGATGGGACAAGTCATGGGACAGCCTCAAATGAATCAAGGCTATGGAATGGGACAAATGAGTGGTGGACCATCAAACGAATAATTTAAAAAGTTTTTATTCTTTTTTCATTTTATAAAAATAAAAAATTAAATAAACAATAATTTAATGGATACTTAAAAAACACTTTTGGTTCTCAATGTGGTTTAAATAAATTGTTTTATTGAATATTCACATAAATAAATTAATTTATTAAATATTCACATAAATAAATTAATTTAATTTAGTAGTCATCACAGGCGAGCAATCTCTTCTTCAATTTTAACATCCTCACCGTGCTTCTCGCTTAATTTTATTCTCCCATTTAATGAATCTTCGATCTCCTGATAACTTTTGTCTTTGCTTTCAGGAACATAAACGATGACAAAAAACACTCCGAATATTGCAAAACTGGCACAAATAAACATACAATTATGAAAACTTAAAATGTTTACCGCTGTCGAGAAGAATCTTAAAAGAATAAATGCCCAAATCCAATTGATTGTTGTGCAGATTGAAATGCCAAAACTTCGAACATTTTGTGGAATAATTTCAGCCATCATTATGTATGAAAGCGGAAGACGTCCAACAGATGCTGTGAAAATAATCAACGATAAACTTGCTACTGGAATAAATTTGAGATCAGACACGTCTTGATTAATCTTGTAGTAGCTGTAAATTCCCATTAACAATAATCCAAAAACATATCCAATTGTGGTGACAACGTAAAGAGATTTCCTTGAATAGTTGTGTACTAATTTAAGTGACACTAAAGATCCCAACATAAGTAGCATTCCAACAATTACTGCACTTATGTTTGGGGTAAATGATGAACCAGCTTCAATGAAGATATCTGCGGTGTAATTGAGAAATGCAAAAAGTCCACTTAATTGATTGACCGTCATTAAAATAGCTCCGATTAAAATTCCTTTTCCTGCAGCTGGAGAAGAACCTTGAAATTCAAGAATCTATTTAAATTATAATTCAAACTTGAATTTTGATGTTTCTTACGAAACTCGTTCATGATTGAATCGCTTCTGCTTATCACGTCGTTGTGTACTTTGCTTATCATCTTTTCAAGTTCAATATTCACTTCATCTGAGATTGTCTCAAGATTATTTATTCCTCGTAATGTATTCAAAAATTTCACGGCTGCTTCGGTTTTCCCTTTTCGTAACAAATAAATTGGCGTTTCATTAAAAAATGAAAAAAGTATCACAAAGGCAAATATCATGCCAAGCATGACTTTTGGTGTCGTGTAGTAGTCAAAAACAAGTCCACATAGATAAATAATTAGCATGCCAAAATTCGTTGAAAGCAAGAAGAACGATCCTAATGATCCTCTAACATGATCTTGTGAGATTTCTGAAACATACAGAGGCACAAGTACAAAGCAACCGCCTGATGAAAAACCAGCAAGAAATCGTCCAAGAAATAAAAAGTTTATTGTTGGACTAAAAATTACTGACAGCCACCACAGCTTTATGAAAATAAATTAATGATGTAAGTATTTTAAAAATCACATCTAATTAATAAACTTACAGTTTGTGGAAAAGCTACTGACATCAATGACCAAAATCTTCCAAGTTTCTCTGAAAGCCAGCCAAAGAAGAACGAACCAACTAAAATAGGCAATTTTTCATTTCTTTAACACTTTTGACCTCATTAAACCGGTTCATGAAAGAAAAAAATTACTCAAAGCACCAATTGCAAGAAGACCTCCAATCCATGATGCTTCTGTAGAAGTTACTGGGGAACCAAAAGGAGAATTCTTGCTTTGTAAAGTGCTCAGGTATGGTGATGTCCAAGAGATTGACGCTCCAATACATAATGATAAAATATTCACTAAAAGATTTGAATAAAAAATATTTTCAATATCAAAAGTCATTCGAAATTTTATCACCTGCTAATGTTGCTTCATACTGTTTTCTTGTACTCCGCTCAAACATGTTGCTGTTTGTAAACTTTCTTCAATACTGAACGCAATTCAACAATTTTGCTATTCACCATTACATTGATACTCGATGAACAATTAAAGAGTTGAGAATTATGAAAATATTTATATCAGCAAACCAAACAATCTTATCAGCTATGTAACATTTGATAGAATGTCAAGAAGTTTTATTTTTGAGTTGGTTAAGATATTCTTTATCTGGTTTCTCAGCAGTCATATCGCTATTATAAATTTAATCGTCAACACTTTATTGCTTATGTCTGCTCATTCTTCCGGGGTTTAAATATTATTGTGAAGTTACTTCAAGAAATGTCAATAAATTAAAGTAAATTTTAGTATCATATCATTTTAGTGATTATACAATTTATTAAATGAATAAAATTAAAAGAACAAAAGTACAAGTGCATTTTTTCACGCCGCCACTGATGTTTTTCTACTTATCAGAATTTATAACAAAACTTCGATTGTTATCAAGTTTGTTATCAGTTCAACCGGTCAAGTTTGCTTCTTTTTTTAGCTTTTGCATCTACAATCGTAAAGTAGGTAGCAAAGTGAAAATAATGTTCAGTCTTTATCTTAAACTCGCTGAGTGTAAACGTGTGAATAAATAAATTAATCTAAAATCACGTGCATAAAAAATTTAAAAGTGAAATTCGGGTAAGCTAAAATTAAAAGTTTTGTAAATGAACATTTGGAAAGGTAGTGAAACATGAAATAATCTTTAAATTCGTAATATATTTTGACAGGAAACGTCTAATTCATCTTTGAAATGGCACTTGCTTAATTCAACGGAACTGATTGAAAGACATTAAAGTTGAAGGTAAGGAAAAGAGAAAATTTCTAAATTTCATTGGTGAAAGCGAATTTTTTATTTGGACGCTTGATTGCAAAGCTAAAATAATACAACTAAAAATGGCGGCTTTTAAAAATTTTATAACATGGAATTTTCAATATTCGCGCGATCAAATAACCTACAAAATTTCTTTTCAGTTTTAATTTGAAAAATCTCACATGCATAATGACAAATGCACTAGTCCGGTTAATTAGGGATTGCTGGTTTGATTCCAGTCGTCAGAAAAATTTACTTTTAATTTTTCAATTTTTCATATATGGATGTGAGATTTTTCAAATTAAAATAATTCATTGAGCACTGTATTGTTTAATCCTGAGTGTAAAAATTACCTAAAATTTCTTTTCAGTATTCGCTCACATAAAATTGTCGAGTTAGTGGATTTCATTATAATTGATCGAATTTATATAAAATGTAATTTAAGCG